AGAGCAAAAATGTTTGATGGGGTTGCAGTGGAGGTGATGGAGGAATGATTTACCTAAAGGTTAGTTTTGCAGTCTGCGGGTCGTCTCTCGTGCCATGCTCTTAAGCCCTTAATAAGCAACTGAAGGTGTCTTAAGTATGTACAGAAAGGTGGATGGCGGTCATTTTGCTGCCGTCTTGTATCAAAATAGTGAAAGATCAAATTGTATTGAACTGTTATTTCGGGTCATGCCTCAGAATGTGTTGAGCAAAGGCTGTGTCTGCTCCACCCCATCTGCTTTTAGCATGTCACTATGGTTTGTTTCAAGTTTAGGTCTCTTGCATGGCTGAGCTGCTTTTTGTTCCTCCAAAATCTTTGTTCGTTGATTTTCCCCACTGTTGATTCCACGAGAAACTCACGATGAGAAATAATGCGGGTCAGACTGTAAACAATAAACGAAACACTTTAGGTAAACATTTCGGAACCACCGTTTTCAGATTCCTAGTGAATTCCTTGAACAATTTAATCCTGTTATCGTGCCCTACTTTTTACAGTTCGCTTGCAGCCTCTTAATTTTCTGGTCTTTACAATTTTTACCTAGGGTAACCAAACTTCCCTCCTCAAGATGACAAAAAACTTCCGGGAACTCCACTTTCACAAATCGTTTTGTCTGTGGAGGCAAATGATCTGACTGTTTACGATTTTAATCTCACTTTTATTACCCTACTCTCTGTTCTACCGCACATTTGATCACCTAATTGTCTCATGTCAGTGTCAATAATTGCCTCTTGGTGAAGTTAGGAAGAGACGGAGAGGGTGGGGCAGAATTTCTCTCCCTTCCATCCCAAAGCCTAACTATTCTGATCACCAAGTTTTGTCGCATGAGACATTGCATTGTTTTGTAAGAAAGGAACTTTCTCCAGACTAACTCATTATTTCTAGTTGCTTCTCATGAAGGCTTTTGCACACCGCCGAGCTGTCATTGTAATTATTTGACCTTTGGTAAGTGAACAATTCCATCTTTAGTCTATTAGGCGTACAAATCATGTCCTACTAAAGATAAAATGGTGCTGTAGATGTATGCGGTAGTATTAGAATGTTCAGGGATGGTTAGTAATAAGTCCCTTCACTTGAAGCCGGAATGCAAATGTCTAAAGCTATTTCTCACCACAAGCCGGTTAGTCAATTAGTAAGAAAATGCAAAAATACGAGGCATGATTTGTTAGTACTCCATGAATGATATACAGTGGGGTAGCTACCGCCACGACTTCCCCAGCTGATGCATTCACACAAGATTTGTTCCGTCACTCACGCTCTTAAGCACTACCGAAAGTTGCTCCTGACGCCCCCGTCTCCGACCATTCAAGCCATAGCGACATGTAATGCCTACACAGAGTACAAGGACCTTCCTGTACGTGATGCCTCTATTTGGGACTGATTTGTCACCAGATTCCAACTGTTCAAATCACGTCTGCGATGTACGCTTGGCTGCTGCACACATCACTGCTTTCAAATTGCATGCAACCGATTTGGTGAGAGGCTTATGCAGCATTGGAGGTGAGCGGAATGCGCGTCGTGAAGCAGTCAAGCTTGAGTTAGAGGCAGGCATGGGTTTGGTTCAGTCGACATTATAAGATGGGAGATGAGAATGAGGGGAAGGTGGTGGAGAGCAAAATGGAGTGTACGGTACCGATGGACTGACGCATATCTAACCAATTGGATGCATTTCACGGTTCTCCACAGTTCTTAAGAAGACCTTGCAACGAAGTAAATCGAAAACCTTACGAACTTTTTGGATCTCATTACTTTTATAATATGCTAATTTTAGGTTTTGATAACGGAAAGGATAAACCATTATTATCCTCGGATACGGTTGTGGTGACATAGAGGACTTTTCAGAATATGTTCCTGGAAGGTTTTTTGTGCAAGCAGTGCATCACGCCAGGTTGGTCACGACAGAAGTTTACCCAAAGAATAGCTTGGGTTGAATGATGTTCCATCGGAGGGTCAAAGTGATCACCGTGCATAGCTTAATTTATAGTAGTCCTCGATACAGAAGAACTGGAAGGCTAGAATAAGTCGGTGTAATTAGGGCCATGCGCTGCTACTATGGGGAGACCTTAAAGACGGTAATTCTGCCTAAAAGAATAGTATCATCATCTCTTGTCACTGGCTCGTTTGCCCCTTTCATTTGACATTTAGCCAATGAGTCATACGGGTATACCCAAGCGCCCCAACCTGTCCCATTAACAGGGTATTTTTGACGTGTCCTGACGGTTGTCGTTTTCTGTCCAACCAGTCAGGCAGTCTGTCGGTACCTCTGACTTTGAAATGTGACCGTCACTCAATCAGTGCCAACTCATAGCAGCTATGCAAAGCATCACTGGGTGGTTCCATATCCAAAGAAATGTTTTGCAAGCCCACCCAAGAAGCCAGGCCATGAAGTGTTTGAAGGAAGTACGCTGGCCTTTGTACGGTCGTCTAAATATCATCCGACTTCTTCCACTTTTCGTTAATACTTTGCGTGATTCCGATGGGTAGGAAGCAGCGTTATTCCTCCAATAAGGATATTTACTGCTGAAAACTCATGCACACGAAGGTGCCTGCTAAAAGCTTATAGTGTTCCAAATGTCTGTGTTTGTGCATATGCGTTGCTATATGTGTTGCCGGTAGCAACAAGACTCGATCGCAGTTGCCTCACATCGGAAAGTAAACGGCTAGCTCTCTGTCGCACTGTTTCTCCGACCATAATTCCTGCTTAAGTATTCCAGTTTTTAAAGGCAATCAAAAGCACTGGTATAGCAAATTTGATATTGAAATTGTAAGGCGTAATTTTAGAACCTAAAAGTATAACATCTTGTGTTTATGCGCAGCCCTTGAGATGCCTCTTCAGTGAGTTTACATTTTGAAATGATTGGGTATATTTAGTTATGATTCGCTAGCATAGTAAATGAGTTTCCTTAAAATCACCTTTTGGAGGCTCACGTGTATCCTAATGGCTCGGTTGGGACGTGCTACTTAAAAACAAAGCTTGGCTTCCTTTTTCACTCTGTGTGCGTGTGTTCCCACGATCGGGATGTGTGCTTCCTGTATGTTAGATATGTGGTTGTTTTTTATTCTTTTTGCATCAAAAGTACACCGACGACTACGCTTTCCTTGACTGTGAATAAATGCTGTATAGCCGCTGTCAGTCCTACCCCATCACAGCGGGTACTGAAAAATTCTTTGTTCTCAGCGCTCTTAGTTGTCACTATTCTTCACTGAATAAAATAATAGTTACTTGGTAGGTTCCATTTGGCACTGGTTGATCTTGTAAGTAAAGCTTGTGATGTTCTCCAACTGCCCGAGTCGGTGTGGTATTTTCCTTGTGACTTGCCACGATTTCAGCCCTTTGTAAGAGATACAAGATTTCTTTGGGGTGGAGAATGGGTGGTATAGTGGATCGCGTGTGGGTAAGTGGCATCGGGTACGTTTCAATGGATTTTCGCCAATGTGGTGCCTCTACTCCCAAGAGTATGCGCATACCTTCAATTACTTACTAATGAATCAAGGATTTGTGGAAATGGTTGATGAGAATTGGGAACAAATTATGCATAGAGCGCTCTAAAGACATTGAAAAGTATACGCATCTGTAAGTAGCTTCCTTGTGACCGTAAATGAGGGCTAAGAGACCAGCAGTTTACCTTACCGCTACTAGCGGTGATGCACAATCGCGATAGTTATCCACATTTACGTATGGCTTTTTAAGCGTCCTCCTTGATTAGAAGTATTTTCAGCGGTCCTTGATCAGTTATGGGACGGTAACTCGTCATAGTTTTGAATGCTGGCATTCCAAAACAAACTGCTCTGGGCTCAATAATCCCTCTGTTGTGGTACTCCACAGATTTCTTCACCCCTCTTAGAATCCGCCCTTCCATGATACTTTTCCGGTCAGGGAGGTCGGGATCATTATTGGTTATTTTGGTCCCCAAGTTATTTCTGAAGGCGTTATAAGACGTGTGTATCTAAAAGAGCCCCCTATAGTTACCCTTTAGCATCGTACAATGTCACCAATGTGGAGGATGGATCTGCAGGTGATCGGAAATATCTGCGTGGTTCAATTTCCACGTAAAATAGATCTTATTCTCCTGTATCACTTCCGGCTGTGTGCTTACCAGCATAGAAGACAATACCTATATTCTCTTATGTGAATGTGCTAATTCACGGGTCAAATGATAGGGGAACGAGTGGTGGAATGTGCGTGGATACGCAGCTTTCTGACTGATTGACTCGCTCGATTATGACAACTCTCGCAATCACTTTTGACAACCACAATCAGTGGGTGTTTTATTTATTCTTTTTCTCCGTTCTTCGCTATTTAGCAGCGCTCTCTATACGGTATTAAGTGATAAGTTTCTTATTACTGTGACCGTTTAGCACGTTCGCTACCAGGGGCAGTCTAGATGTTTTACCGTTCCAGTGGAATCTATTCGTTAAACATGTGAGTTCCTGTACTCTTGAGACGACGCTTTTTCCACTGAAGGTCTGTCTCACCGAGACCTCGGACACTGGAGTCCAGATCTTTTATTGGTCTAAGGGGGGGGGCGGTTGTGATTAATTATTTTGGTCAATTTTAATGTTTGCCAACTAGCAGGAATGCGATTTCCCATTTCCGACTGGAAACAGGGGAAATCTAGTGTATTATGTGAAATCAAAGCAGTGTGTGTATGCCACGCAACTTTGTGCAACCACAGTTGCTAAAAGAGTCAAAACACGTGTCGCATGTAAGTGACACCGGACTCAGGTAGAAAGAGCGGGGCGGGGCTGTGGTGTATAAACGATTTTTTGCTCTTTAAAAAGTCATTGCATAACCGTGGTGATAAGCTTAGAGGGTAGACTTGTTTCTCCATCCTTTGATGTAAGCGTTGTTGATAGACCCTTTCCCGTTTTTGCTTTATTTTGCACTTCTGATACGCAAGCACATCACGTGCAACATTTGTCAAGAATTCGGCCGGATTTGAAGTCTTCTAATAGCTTCTATGTTTCTCATTTCGCCCTACTTTGATATTTAGTTGCTGCCCGAACATACTTTCCTAACATTAGTTTCTTGCGGTGTGAAGAGGTGCATAATCTTTAAATTCACCACCTTAGACGGAATTACTGTTTTTAACAATACCTAGTTAACTCAACAATCGTGGTGAAATTTTTTAGCTATTCCGTTGTTTTGTGTGACTAACTAGAGACTTGAATTCATGAATCTTTAGGCACTTTAGAATCTGTTAAAACCCTTGGGAATGCAGCATGTAGCTTTTGTAAAATATGTTTTTAGGGATGGGGATGGACCAATGTATACTTTTTTCCATTGGGACACCTGAAGATCGGGTCCACTGAATCAGTTGGTCCGAGCAGTTCTTTTTAATTTAGCATTTAGAAAAGAGACCCTATTTTCCAATGGAGCCTGTTTCCAGTCCAGCCGATGTGCCCGCACAGATGGCGCAGTTGAGTCTCCAAACAAACGGTTCTACTTCTAATGTTACTGCTGCTGCCACTAATCCTGTACCTGCTGCCATTGTTACTCCCATCACTCCGGTCACAGCTGTCAACAATAACAGTAGTTCAACTCCACGTACGCGAACTGGCATTCCACGCTACGCTATTCCCTATCGACGGCCCGACAATAAACCCACCGTGGATGGTGGAATTCAATCTCCAATCAGTCCTCCTGTTTCTGAGAAGGCCTCCAGTTGTCAGCAGGCCATGCCACGGGGTAGGAATGGGTTTCGAACCGAGTCCCTCGGAGATGACAGTCTTTCTTCGGGCTTCGGTCGTGGCACATCGCAAAGATATGGCAGGGCGGCTTCTGTGGGTGAGTTGAGGTTTTTGGAACTTTCTGTAGAACCGCTCCATTATATTCTTGGCATGATATTTTACTTTGTATGAGTTTACGAGAAGCATTCAAGTCGAAGCAGCCTTTTGAAGTTTGTAATAGTGAAGAAAATTCTGAGTGGAGCTGGGCTTTTCTACACGGTCCTCTTCTACATTAGTTCACTTATCCCAATGGCATTCAACTGATTCTCGGATGACTTCGGTGTAGAATGCTGTGTCAGTACATTGCAAACTTTTCGAATGCGTTTGTGAATAATTGTGTTGTGCTTACCAATGCTTACGACTTCCTGACTTGCAGGAATTAGTGTTTTAGTGTATTTTTTTTCTAAACCTCGTGACCACTTTCACCCTGATTGTGTATTTCTTTATGAGAAAGTCATGATATTTCGCTTAAAATCAGCATCAAATGTTCCATTATCTGAATTCAACAGACGAAAAGAGTGTACCCATACAACTGTCATCTGAAGTGGCACCAACTTTCTCTTCTGTCAACATTTGTAGTAAGGATCACTTTTCGCTAAACCGTGGCTTTCAAATCTCATTGCTGTGCCATGGTTGGTACACGAAGTTGGATTTCATTCTGCATGGAATTATGTGTCATTTCTCACCTAGAAATATTCCAGATAGCTGGAATTGGCTACTTCCAAATTGCTCGTCTGCGCGACTCATTCCTGGGACTTTCTGATCACGTAGGCGGTGCGCAGCTGCACTGGCCACAAGTTAGGCATTCCATTCATGTGCTGGTGGGAAGTGGGAGAAAAACGCACCTGATGTTGAAGGCCGCGATGCAGTCGTCCTGTATGTAGTAGTGCGTGCATGTGCGCTTGCGGCATTTGCTTCTGGTGCTGATGGCAACCCATTAACGTTTGTCCCTCATCCTTCCTACTATGGATGCCGCACATACACACGCACAACCATTCATTTCCTTCTCCTTCCGCACGGTAGTAGATTGCATTTCTTCAGTCACAATTTGAAGTTGTAGGATGTTAAGCATACACTCACTGATTTGGAATCGAATATTAACTGGACTCGGGTTCCTTCCGTTGGCATGAGTTGAGAAGTTCGTTGATTGTGGGACTGCTGGCCGTAATATTATGTTTACTTAAAGGTAATATGATCATAATGCATATCCTTAATCTTGTTTTGATGGTCATCCTCGGTGCTACCACCTTTTATTTGTATTCAAATGAAACGAAATCAACTGAGTGGTAGATGGGGGAGCGAATCATGCCTTGATTTGTCACCTTAGTGAGAATGCTTTTGATTTAAAAGTTGGCAGCACTTCCCATACCTGCATCTTGACTTCCAAACCACGTTTGAGAGATTTTCAGCTGCCTTTTTTTCTGAGCGTTTTAATTCAATGTCATTGCAATCTCCTAACATGATGGGGTGTTAGGTCCTAACAGTTGGCAGAAACATTGAAACTCGATCTTCTTAAGGATGCTTTTAATTAATGTGTGGTACCGGATCTACAATCGGATTGGTTGTGGCTCCCTTATCCATTTTTCCGGGAGTTGATGCAGATTTGGGCATTCATAACAGACGATGTTACTTTGCACAGTAAAAGACCAACCAGACTGAATCCGAACCTGTATTATGGGATCGGTAAAAGTGGGTATATTCTTCGCAATTAGTGAAAGACGTCGAAAGTACCCAGTTATCTCTAAAAATGCTATACCTGGTACGAATCTAGGCGTAACGTGAGTAGAGCGCCGCTATTACCCTTCCACCGACACTCACCCTACTGCAATAGCTCATTACCGCGATAACTTATGAACTAAGAAATATGCAAAAGGTGTGTTTCAGAATGAGTTATCCACCCATTCCCCTCAGTTAGTGAATCAGTGATTTTGTGTGAGTTACTCCCCTCTCATTGTTGGAGGTGAGCTTTTCCTATTCCTGTTCCTTTTCCCATGTGTTGTAATCAAAAGGTTTGGCACCATACCCTTCAAAAGGTTGCTGCAAGAAGTTAAAAATCCATTTTTATGCCCATGCCATCCAAACAGACAAAAAGGTCTATTATACCAGTTTTTTGTTCACTACTAGTTGGTTTTTTGATTTTATTCATGAAATTACACGACTTACTTTGCTAGAGAGGCATCTCTATTAGGATTTCCATTCTGTAAGACGAAAAGAACTTTTGCCACCTTGTGACGAGTTTTCACTTACACATTTTCGTAAGTCGGATGCTACAGTGATTGATTTCAGTGAATGCCCCTTAGTTTAAAAGCACACACAGACTTGCATAATTATTGCAGTGGAAAGGGCACGGGCACTCAGTTAAGTTTGTGGATTTCTGTACTCTCGGGATGACCGGATGGAAAGATCTTGACACATTCTCTACCAAAGGTCTATCTCATCGGGAACTCGGACACCAGAGTCCAAGTGTTTTACTGGTCTAATAAGGGGGCAGTTGTGATAGTCTATTTTGACCAATTGAACTTTTATCCAACAGCTAGTAGGAATGCAATTGTCCTGTTCGAATCGGAAATAGATAAAACCTACTGTATTGTTTGAAATCCGTGCAATGTGTTCGTGATAAATGGCTTGGTGCAACCACAGTTGTTATAAACTGATAAGACACATGTGTCACATATCATAAGCAAGTCAGGATGTGTCACAAACCCATTAGTCGATTGTGGAAAGTGTGCGTTGTTCCTTTGGCAGCGTAACTTTGCTTTTGGCGCCCCGAAAATATTCCGGTCTGCCTGTATTTATGCAAACACACTTGCTCGCGAATGTGACTGCTGCGGTGGTGAATGGCACTTACCCGCACATTTACGCAAAACAAAGATTTCGTGAAGCACCTTTTTTATGAAATATAATCTGCCCTCCTATACTCGCGCTTGGAGGTAACGCAATTTTTGGAGGCTAGTGTTTTCGCACAAGTACAGCACTTTGGAATTTTTATCCCAAATAGATGATTTATTCAACAGTTATTTTCGCATCGCAGAAATTGGGGAAATAACCTTGAAAGCTAGTTAAGTTATTGAGATGATGTTTTGAGACCGATGTTTTAGAATTTACGAGGATAAAACGCTATTGCAAGTTGTTTTATGTCAATTTGGCTGCAATTGCCCTCCGTCGTTTTTCACCACCCTTTTCCACTTATTGGATGTTTTATTTGTGTTAGGTTGCTCATTTTAAGACCCTATAATTTTGATTGCGTGAAACGCATTTTTAGCGAAATCCCTGGAAACAGCTGAAGACTAACATTTATTATTTGCTGTAGGCTTACCGGACAAAATGCAGCCTAGCTAGAACGAATTTCGCTGTTCATTATTCTCAGTGGCATTTTATGATCCTATTCCATCATTATTTGGTAAAATTCTTTACTGTTTAGAGGAGAAGAAGGAAATGGGTTTAATTCTTTAAAAAAACAAACAGGTATTTCGTTCTATTAAATTGATATCAGCGAAATTTTCGCAACAGAAACTTATCTGCATTCAAGTACAAATTTACCCACCACTATCGTATCTTCTGTGCCGAACTCGGGATCAACCTTCGATGATTTTGACTTTACCAAATTTCTACTGTTTTTCCTTTTGCAAATTTGACAACCTTTGTTGGATGCCTTCGTGTTATTTCAAAACCCGATGGCTCCTTGCTTGTGATTGGTCACGAATCAACCAATGGTTTGCTTCCTTTCGCTCAAGGACGTTATGGAAATCTAGGAATGGATTGTTTATGGAATTGTGGGGGAGCGCGAATGGCGCAGGCTAATCGAATGTGAAATCCAACGTATTAGATAGGTTCTGCGTTATTATGAGGCAAAAACTTCGTTTCTTCTAGGTGCCAAACATCTACATTGGTGGTAATAACAGTATTTGAGCTGCTGGCAGATTTTTACGAACCGTATGAAACGTTTCCATTTCAACATTCTAGAAGTTTCCCCTTCGAAGTTGAGATTGCCTTTAAATCTCAAACATCTCAAAATGCTTCGCAGGTCGCTCTTTCTGACTCACCTGGTTGGTCAACGTAGCGTGGAGGCCACGTTATATTTACCGATATTTGCTTAGGGTCAGGGTCGTTTAAAATAAACACTCTAAAATGGTGACCGCTCACATCCTCTACTACCTACGTAAAGCGATTGCGCACCTGCACACTGTGCTCAGGATTTACTCAGGTTATAGGCAGTAATAACCTCTGTTCGGAAGTCTTTGTCAACTTGGATCTTCTGATTGGACACGGCCACTGAGTTGTTTATAATGCTAGTGCACTGAAATCACTCCGAGATCACGGAATAAGATGGTATAATGACTTGGGATTCCGGTGGCATAAACGTGTCTGGAAAGTTTCGTTCCATTTCTGCATCGACCACCATAACAGTAGTTTTAGCTGAAACCACATGGAAGACTGAAACAGACCCCCAGTGTCGGTAGGATTGGTGGATTCACTAGGTGCTCATTCGGGGACAAAAAACTGATGGCTGAATGGAATATTTTGCTTACGCTTCCACGTTCTGAAGGAATATGGGGCCAAACTGATACCGCTCAACCGTCTATCTCGATTATCGTTTTCCTCGCTCATTTTCGACCACTTTGACAGAATAAGACTACTTGACTGTTTTGAAATCCTATTTAAGGATGCAACTCAATTTTCCACATCTCTCAATGGTAAAAATATCCCTTTTTTCTAAAGTACACTTTTTACGACAATGCGATACCGTTTGAAGGTACTGAATTGTTCAGCTGCAGGAAATGGTTTGAAAGCAACGCGATTAGGTTAATCCAATAAATTTACCTCCTTTTTGTGTGAAAGAAGGATGAGAAAAGAGGGTCCAAACATGTGATGGCCTTTACGAAATCCAGTTCACATCTGTTTGCTGTGCACGGGAAGCGGTTGTGTGCAGGCAATTCGTATCATTACACAAAATATCTCGTCTTGGTGACCCAACTTTTCTGATTTAACTTATTAGAAATGATCCAGTCTAACCGTTTTGACGAAGCTTAATACATTTCAATCAGAAAAGGAGACTTGTGCAATTCTACTATACCTGCTGTCAATTCACCTTGTAGTCATCCGTCGCTGTCATCCCAGCCTGGATGTTCGGCAATTGTTTCAAATTCAAATAGACTACTGATAGTCTCTTAATTTTTTACGTCTTCAAAGGCACGTATTTTTTTGTATTATTTTGAAAAAATCAAGGAACGCAGCAGTTTTTGAAACAACATTTCACAAGTGCTGAATTTATACATTGCCAGCTTTTTCACTTCTATTGACAAAAGTAGATTTTTGTTATAAAAGGAGACGCACCGGAAACACGACATCTAAGTAGGTAATTAGATTCCAAATGGGATTTAAAAGGAATTGAAATTTGCATGAACGTCTCTAGGTACTTTTTAATCATTGCAAACGTTGCAGCTGTGCCGAACTTACGTGGCTATCAAATACAGTTTCGAGCTTTCCTTCCCTTGAAAGATGTTCTTGAAGTATCGCGGGTTCTATGCAGCAATTCAGCATATGGGACACTGGATCTTTTTAATCGAAGTATCTGTGGAAGATAGCCCAAAGGTTTGGGGACTTATTTATAGTCGGTGTGTCGAAATTTTGTAAATTTATAAGTCGCATTAAGAACCTTCCACAGGCTTGGATTTGAGGAGGAATTTGATTAATCATCATGCACTGTTGTATCCACGGACGTAGGCATCCACTCATTGCCAGTGATGTTGGCTCGTGGTGTTGATGACCGGTGTATGGACTGGGCTGGCGCACGCTGAGAAGAGTAGGCGTAACAGTGGTAGCACAGACTCAGAACTTACTACCACATTTAACTTTGCGGCGGGAGCATTCCATTGCAGGGGTGTGACGAGCGAGAGACGGTGGAGATGGACCGCAAGTCCCGATTTGGCTCAAATGTTCCTTTTTTAATGAACTTTAACTCCATTTAGACAGACAAGTTAAGTTAAAAACTCTACAAATTACTTTCCCCGAATGCACAAAGGCCCATCGAAAACATGTTACACCTATACTTTCCTGTACATTCTGGCACTGGTTGTGAGAACGGGGCGGAGACGAAGGGCACCAGTAGTTGTGTCCCCAGTGGCAGTGGGAAATGTACATAGGATACAGTGTACATTGTCCGAGTAACAATTTGCTCTTTTTTTAGATCCTTTACGTGGCGACAGTGAATCCGAGCACTCTAGTGTAAGTTTTCATGTTTACTTAAAGGAGAAATGCAAATTTAAGGTTTCTTCCGCAAACTTTCTCAGACAAATATTGGGTTAGTAAATATGAAATTCTCGACCAGTGGTAGCTCTTATGCTTCTGTTGTCCAAAAATGTATGTTTGGCTTTTAGAAGCCTCCCTTGGGGCGATTTTTTGTGCACGATGGGGTAAATCATTTGCTTTTTCGAATGAGTTCCGTCTTAGGGGCGACGAAACAGCGCAATGGAAGTGTGACGAAAATTCTACTTCCAGGTAGCTCATTTCTCAAGGGTTTAAATTCTGAGGAAATATTATATTTTTGCTTTTAAGGATCTTTACAATTTCGGGCTATTGTTTGTGCGTACGTACGGTTATCCGTGTCCGTTAAAATTACGTTGGTTACAAGTGTGCTCAACACTAGAGGAAGCGAAGTAAACAACCCAGTCCCGATGCTTTGGTATCCCCACTGTGGCACCATCACTTGTGCTACCGAACTGGTCGACCCAACTGTTGCTCAGAGGCTAGGCAAAATTAAGGTTTCTCTAGCAGGCCAAGAGCATCCTACATCTACTTCTTGTTTTAGCCCCTCTCCCTGTGGAATGGTGGGGCTCTGCGACTTCTCTAAGGCCGCAGTGGGGGCATACTACTAAAGAAATGGAATATAATCTACAAAAACGGAGGAGCTTGAGTATTTGAAGAGACATTTGACAAATATCCTTTTTTGATTCGTGTCTCTAGCCCTCCTCGTGGTCACTTTTCTGCTTCTGCGGTAGGGAGTCTTTCTGGGAACAACAAAAAATCGGATTAAAGCTGAAATGGCAAATTTGCATCTTTGGAGGGAGGAGAATGGTACATATAAGTGCCAGCAGATGCTGCTTTGGTAGGGATTTCCGAATAATACATCCCTCGCAGGCCTGTATCTACTCTGAACGCACTTGGGAGCTATTTCTAGAACTAGCCGATTTTCCACAGCTGGCACAGTTGGATCGTTTCATTCAGGGTCACACGACAAGTATATTGTTGAGTTTAATTGTGATTCGCTGAGACCCGATCCCACTCAATCGGCTGTTATTGTGTAGGAGCTGAAATTTGGGGTGTGTCGTTTTAGCTTTTCTGTGGACTCAACCATCCATGGCACACATCTTCCTTTTACACTGTTTATTTCTAGTAACTTGAAAACCAAAGCAGGTGTGTCTTTTCTTTTGGATTGGGTTTGCTTACTGCTGCCACCGATATAGCACCCAAGGTTTTCCTTGAAGTCATAATGAGGCAAACCAACACGGAAGGTTAATAACTAGCGTGCGGAGGAGCATGACCTCCAGGTCATGCCGCCAAGCAGAAGTACAAGCCGCGAGGGCTAGGGGGCTTGCCTAATTAAACTAGTACCATGGACTGTCCTCACTCATTTTTGACGTATTCCATCCTTCCTTGGTGTTTGTTTCTTTTATTTCCGCAAAAAATATTCTCTTAAAACCAAATTTTGTGGGGCAAGTACTCCGGTTTTCACGAAAAACGTTTCATTTAGTAATGCAATATGAGGCAAAAAGCCATTTCGCGTTATGAGTCCTTCAATCAGCTCATTGTCATAACTCGCGTGAAGGAATTGAGGAACAACAATAAACGAGTATTTTTCTTAAGCTTATTGTCATCCTTTGATGTATGCGGAAAGTATTTTTTCGCTTAGCTTTCACCCTGACTTTCCCCTCCCAGTTGATATAGTTGTTGACGGCTTGTTTCATCACTAACATTGTTTTTGACGCGTCAATCTCATAGGCTATTTTCGATAGTAACATGGAACTCTTGCTATGGAGGGTAGAGTGTCTTCCTGGAAGTGACGGGTCTTTGATTGATTTACCATTTGAAGAAATATTTTAAACAATTTTCGGATGATACGGTCTGTTACCGAATACGGCGTCTTTGTAGTAGATGGGGCGAGCATTGTATCTGTTCCATGCCTGGTCAGAGGTAAAAGCCGAAACTCCCAGCGAAGGTCTAGTCCACTTAGAGTCACTCTCACATGTCAGTCATCTATCTATCCATCTATCCATCCATCCATCCATCCATCCATCCATCCATCCATCCATCCATCCATCCATCCATCCATCCATCCATCCATTCATCCATCTTGTTATCCGTCCATCCCACTTGTTCTATTCGATTCACAAAAAATAACCGTTTCTTCCATACTTTTGCTACCTCTTAATCCGTGGATGTGAAATTAATACTTTTGCCTCTTAGCAAGATGGAACTCATGTTCGAATGTGCCAATAATACTTTTTTTCGTCTTCACATTCACCACAAAGCTTTGCAATAAATGAATAACCTGAAAAATAACCATACCCCAAAACTCCCAGACTTAGTGCCTAGGAGAATTTGGATGGGTTGTCCGTCTTTCCCAAACTGGTCATCAGAAGTCGTAGTCTCGTGGGACAGGTCGTAGCAGTGCCTAATTAGTCACCTTACAGCACAGGAGGATGCCCTGCATTTGGGCTATCAACCCAACCTAGAGCCACTCTAGCCTCTCCCCTTACCAAGCTGGTTATCATTTTTTTGTTATTTTTTGATATTTTAATGCCACTGTGCAGTGTCAAACAAAATCTCATTCCTATGTGAGTCTAGTTTACCCCGCAAAAGATGTGCATCACTTCATGGTTTGCGTGCCTGTCCGAATGTGCGTGTATAATCGGCCATGCCTGTCCAATTAGTCTATCATGTCGTTTCCTCTAGCACAAATTTTAGCTTGTTCTTCACTTTTTAGGCATTCTCCTCATCAGGTAAGAAGGCCGTTTGTTTATTTTTTGATCCCATTAAAATAAAAACTTTCTTTATAAATCAAATTTTGGTCTACTTTGTCATCCAATAGGCCAACCAAGACGAATAACCTCGAAGATAGGCTCCCTCAGAAACGCAGGTTATAAACCGGGTGGAGGAAATGTAATTTCATACCACTATTTCTAGATACTTTGTGTTTCATCTTTCATACCACTGATAAAAATGTGTGCTTAACATTAAAAGGTGAGAATCCTGGACACGAAGGTGGATTTCAGCCATGCCCAGAGCAAGTGCAATTCAAAGGCGAATTTGAATTACAAGCCGGGTGAGTTGGTTTATTGCTGAGCCTCTATAATATTTTTTATCACTTGAAAATAAATAAAGTGCCAGACTTCTTAATGTCATATTAATTTTGAAAAGAGACAAGAAAATGTTTGGATGGATGAATGAGTGCCTGGGTGAAGGAGTAGATAGACCGTTGAATGGGTGAATGGATAATTGGGTGGACCGTTGGAAGGATGGATGGACAAACTGCTGAATACATGGGTGAATGAATGGATTGACAAGTGGGTGAGTGGGTGGGTAGTTAGTTTGACAGATGAAATAACAAGTTACCATGTAGCTAAAGTTTGAGTTAGAAGTTGATCCGTAGCCTTCAGCAAACTCTATTCATCGAATAAGACCGGTCGTGTTGGATCAGTATCTTTACCAATGACCTGCGTCGACCCAACACACTTTGTTTAATCTCAAACAAGAATGGCTAGACAGGGCAGTTGATGGATTGTGGAATCGTTAGATTGCTAGATGGCTGGATAGGGGGCTGCACGGACGGGAGGATGCTGACGGGTAATTGAACTGTTGGATGGATAGACGAGAGGATTTTCAGAAGTAGTGCCAAATATGTGGGTAAATGGATTTTCCAAGAATGGATGTGTTTTTACGGCTTCGAAGAAAGTAACACCTGACTTTTGGTTCATTAAAGTTCAATAAGTTTAACCACTTGGGAACCCTTCTACAAATCCACTTTGTCCAATACCGGCCGAATACTCATGCTTGAGAGGGTATTTTTAAATGTTATCATAGTCAGATAGAAATCCTAGTCCAATTTTTTTTGAAATAATTTCCCACCTTTCATTTTCCCTCGTAGGCGGTGGCGATATCCAAATTGTCGAAAAAAAGCTGAACTTCAAGGAGAATAGCAAGCCCCGTGTCAACTCGTTGGCTAATGCCAGACACACTCCCGGTGGGGGAAATGTTAAGGTGGGCCACTCTTTTTAACATCTGCGATTCTAACAGGTTCGGTGATTATCGTGACATTAGGTGTAGAATGTGGATTTCCTTCGGTTTCCTACTTACCTGGTTTGTTTTCAAATGATCAAATGTCATCGGTGGAATGTTGATTACGTCAAGTTTCGCGGCCAAATCATTCAGTCTTGCTTTCTGAGCTCAGGCCTCCAGCGTGATGTGTTGATGGTCAGGGTTAAACTTCTCAAGTTGTTTTACCGACGCGCTGCCTGTCCATAGGCAGTCGCATTGCCAAATTTTTAGCATTTCGAGTCGTTACAAGCGTGATCCATGTTCGGAGATAAATAGTCAATGCTCAGGATGGAAAAGAAAGAGTTAATCAAGCGATATTTTACAGGACTTCAACTTTCAAACAAGTTTAATATTTAACGAAATTGGACAGTTCAGTTGCTATAAAGGCTCTTTTCCTTCTTGAAAATCGTCTAATAGGTTTAATGCTATGGTGTGTGTGGGGGGGGGGGATCGAAAGAGCTGAGCCATAGAAGGGCTGACTGGAGTCATTGCAAAGCTGGCATGGAGGTCTTAATGCATTAAACTCTATGGTGGAACGATGAATTTGAAATACACTCCTTAATACTAGTGGCGAATCGCATTGATTTTGATGGGATTCATGCATTCAGTCTCCTGGTAGATTACTTACATCGGAGAGAGGTGATTCATTTGAGGGATTCTACTGAAGACTAGAAGATGCCCTGCGGCGATTGCTTCTTGCACATCAATCACTTCATGAGGACACACAAGTTAGGGTTCACTTGCACAAAATTTAAGTCATTTAGGAAGACGATATGAGGGCTTGAGGCACTGCTTTCTACGGTACATTGCTTTTGCCTGGATACTTGAAAACTGAGGTGGTGTGAAGATGTTATTGTAAACAAAAATAGGACCACGGATCTAGTGCCTACTTTAGAAATTCTCGACACCTTGTCATTAGCAATGTGCAGATGGCTCTCAATAAGAACCCAATAGAGGAGGGTCATGATGGACTTACCTAACCCCTCCTCACCCCTACTAATGTAGATAGAGTCCCGCAAGTTGAAATTCAAAGAGGCTGCTACTTCGCGAGTGGGCTCCTTACAAAATGCTTCTCACAAAGCGGGAGGTGGTAACGTCGAGGTTAGTGCCGTCCCATGCCTTGCATGCTAATCCCGTGTTGCTACTCTTGTCGCCACACTGATCCCACTCACCGATCTTCGCGCATCCTACTAACGTTGCTCCCCGAATTCTACTAAAAGTGGAATAACTTTTCCCATCTAGGGGCCATTATTTGGTTTAAGGAGGAAAAAGATAATTATATTACCTAGGGAATAATAGGCTTCCCTTTTCTTTTCTCAGATTTTCAATGAAAAGTTGCCATGGCTGAAGTACAACAAACCAAATCTGCCACCAGAGGAGAAAGCGAAGATTAACAAACACACTCCTTTGGCATCCGATAGCCCCAATGAGCCTATCTACACGTCGCGTCACCCCAGCACAGCAAGCTGATCGGCTGGAGGGGCAATTGAATAATCCGTTGTGCTTTCCATCACAAACATTAGTTTCTCTCACCTTTCACGGCTCCTCTATGTTAGTCATTTTCTCATTGTCTGTGCGCTCCTAACAGTCTCACTTTTCAATGATGATAATGGCTAGGACTCTTGGTTTTCCTTTCTTTCTCTCCCACCGCCATTTGTACATTTTCCTGTTGTCCCCACATTTCTGGGAACCTCACTTATGACTGGGACTTCCCGTCCTGTCCAAACGGAGGTACTTTATGCACTTGTCGACGCATGAATGGACTCGCTCGAAGAGGTGTCATCAGCCATTGAGCTAACTGCTTGGATTTCTGCTTTGGGGCCACGGAATCGTGGGGGTGGGGTTCAGGGTTTGGATGGTCCCAGGGGTCGGTCTTGCTGGTTTCTGCACCTGTGAAGACATCTTATGGCACAGATTTGTGCAGGTTTGAGTACATCAGGTCGTTTCATTGGTTGCTGGTGATGATGTTTTGTGATATGATGAATTCTGGTAGGCAGGTTTCTACTATCAAAGGTCCCCGATTACATCTGTATTTCACTAAAGAACTTTTTTTCGATAAAGCAAAAGGCTTTGTAAAGGCATAGGATGGGGCAAAATTTTTAAAGTTGTTAGAATGTTGGAAAGCAGACTTTAAAATTTTCGTTTTGGGCAGTTTAATCAGTGTACCATACGCCCTTGGCGAATAAAAAGCATCCGAATTTACAATAAATAATCATTGCAAGTGATAAATAAAAATGATTTGATACATTGCTCTTACTTTTGTAGCCCAATTATTGTTCTTCTGTAGCAAATACGAGGCGTTTATTAGATTTTGTTTACGCCCCAAATGATTGGTCATCTGTAATCGAGAACACGTTATTTGCAATCCATCAGGGCTATAATATGTATCACGAGACGACATCTCTTTACGACATACCTTTAAACCATCTCGACTACCAGTATATCACGGATTGCAAAAAATTGAAGGAATTAGAGAAAATACTGAAGGTACTGAGATCAGGCTCCGAAGGTCGATATCCAGATTTGGAAAGACATTGCGAAAAGAAAATACAGTCCATAGACCCAGAAAAGTAAAAAGTCATTATTAGTTTCTTTGAAGTTAAAGCATTATATGGGTTTTTTTCCGACACTAGTACTGAATTTTGAATTTATTCAGCGATCTTGTAAATAATTGGCCAGGAAAACCAAAATTGTACCGTAAATGAACCATCTCTGACTTCTACAGAAGTCGAGACTTCTATGTCCTTATGTGTTGGCTTCATTGCCTTTCAAAATGTTGTTCGTCTGCACATTCATGAACGAGAATTTTGGTAATGATATATTGAATTTGACATAAATCTTACTTTCAAAATAAAAGCCATATGTTTTTGATGCCAGATGCCTTCACGATAAAGTCACTGCTAAATCTTAAAACAATATATATTCCAGTCGTTTACTTCGAAAACCCGGAAAACTGCTGAGTGCCAGGCAATTACCCAACGACGAAAGGGAAGAGCTTGAGAGCAACTTTAAGGTAACGTGCCTTTGTGAAGCAAAAAACAACATAATGAAAAGGAGTGGCTTAATGAAACCAAACGTCAAGAGTGCTTATCAAATGCGTGCGGTTTATATGATATTAATGAAGATGAAGAGGACGAAACCCTTCCAAAAGTCAGGCTTTGGGGATCAATAAACCCCGATACTGGAAAAGGCACTAGAGTAAGTCCTACCTAACACCGATTTCTGCTTACAAAATGAAATCTTAATCCACATGGCTGCGAAGCTGATGGAGTTGCTCCGAAACCATTGTTTGCAAAGAAGGTTGGTTTATAAAAAGCGGAATGGTAATAAGGTGGTATTTCATTTAGTATCACTATTATATCGACTTTTGGAAAAGAGCAAAATTAAGGTGATAGATTTGAATTCTTAGTAGTGCACTTCAACACAAATGTAATGCATTTTGACTTAGAAAGCGAGTTTAAAATCTGAAAGTTATTAAGGAAATTAGTAGTCATGAGTTTATGCTTTGGTAAGTAGATTATTCTCTGCAAATAGGTGAAATCTTTGAAAACAAAGTCTGGGAAACTGAGATCCTACGAAGAATGGGATAAGTAAGCACTCTAAATGGCTTTATTAAGAACTTCCTAGCAATTTTTATGTATAATCGGTGGAACAAATCAGCTTTCCCACAAATTTTGACCTTAAAGTAAAAAGTGTTATCAGGCGTCAGAGTTATGCAGTTTTTGGATAGCTTACTACAAATGCTCCTAATAACTTGCAGAGACTTGCATGATGCAGGAAATTCATGGTGTGTTGATACTATAAATTAATTGGGAGGAAACTATCAAAAAAATATGGAGGATCAGAAGAATCGTTAAATTCAAGAATTTCAAGCATCCGTAGTAAAACAGTTTGAATTGCTGACCCATATAGTTGTTTTTTCCTACTTTAAGAACGTCATTTTATTGTATATTCGATTAAAGAATAGGGAAGGAGATCGAAAAGGAGCTGGAGATGGACGAGCGGGATGGAGAAAAGAGCAACGAAATCGCAGCTGTTGGTGCTGAGAAGGGCGAGGAAAGGAAGAACAATGACAATGAAAAGGCAGTGAAATCAGTTTGTAGGGACCTTTCTAAGCGGATACACAACATGCCCCGACAAATTCGAGTTGTGCACGCTCAACGGGAGAAGGAGAAGGGAAACGAGGTTTGTTGAAGTTGGCATGTATTGATAAATTCCACCCATGAGTATTGAATGACCAAAACAAAAGTAACGGTTTACTCCTTAATTTGAGACTTACTACTATCCCAGTCGCTGCACTTTGCATACGCTCCATCTTTTTGCGTCATTGGGAAGGTGTGTTGCCCACTGGGCATTTAATTATTCTTTGTCTGAGTGTCTTTCAATAGCAATTCCGATTCTGTAGATGTGTAGTGAAAGCCGCCATGGTTTTGACAAGCACCTTGTAACAATCCTGATTTTGAAAAGTATTTTAGTAGCTTAGCATTAGCATTGACCTTTACAGCTTCATACGACCTGATCAACCGATTACAGCTGTCAAATTGCAGCTTCAAATCGTGGGACCTTAAGTGCTCCCCAAAACTGCAACAAGCTATACTAATGTGCAATTTTTATTGAAGACGTACAAAAGAGCTGGGAACCTATAAGCTTAGCGGGAGCAACAGGCCATCTATGGGAAGTAAGGCCTACTCACACTGAAGAGTCTGTGTAGTTAAGTGTATAACCAAACAAAACATTAAGTATAGCGACAAAGTGGGTCCCAACAAATCAGGAATATCTTGTGATTTCCTAAAAATGCCTTAAATAATACCCGATTCTACATTTTTTATCTATCTGAATGATCTAATCCTGCATTCCATCAATACAGGCACTGATTGCAGGTGACTACAACGAGGCATTGGGTTACTATTGTCGAAGTCTCGTTTTTGAACCAACCACCGCCGTTTACAACAATCGAGCTTTGCTGTGTAAGTGCTTGAGAAAGTACAAAAATGTTAGCCAGCCTAAAAGGACAATAAAATGTCTTCAGTCTTTTGCTTACAGACTTGAAACAGAAGAAGTGGAAGCTCTCGGTGGAGGATTGCAATCGTGTTTTGGAGAAGGAACCAGAGAATATTAAAGGTGAGTAAAACTCAATTACTACTTATAATGTGGAGGCATTATAATCCACTATCCTTTCCCAACGAGACACGAGTTTTATAACATGTTTCGTATCTGGAGGCCAGGGAGTAGCTAAGCGCTAACCTCTAGAATCTCCGTTTCCATCTTAAGTTCATTGAGCAAATGATCATTTTATTGGCGGATGTCATTGCCAAGGTTGGGTGATAATAACTCGAAGAGGGAGTGTGCGACGAATTTGAAAGATGAGGAAGAGGCACGACAAAAAATTCTGTTCTGGCAGTCCATTTCAGTTTTGGAAATTAGCCATGCACTAGCTGGGCGATCTGAGTTAAGAGTTATGTGCTGGTGGTGGTTAGCCGTGGTGAAGGTGGCTGCAAACTATGTAGCGCCCCAAGGCCTTTCTGAAGATGAAAGAAGACATAACACTTGAGCAGAATATGCGTTGACGTACAGAAGGAGCCACCTAGCATGGTCTGGAGGCCAGTTTGCTCGGTGAAGGTACAATGACGAAGCCCCTCAATGGCCCATTACCAAAACCGGGAGTTATACAAACCATTAACGTATTAGAACCACACTTGTATTGATATCAAAATTTAACATCGCTAGCCCATCAGAGGTGCTAACCCATGTGAGGCACAAAAATAAGTTATAGAAGCCAAAGTAACGCCACGATCAAGTTATGAGAAATGTCAAACTTGCTTCAAGTCCAGAGTTAAAAAGCAACAATTTATAATCGTTGGTGGGACTTATATGTTAAGGAATTGCTGAATTGCATCTCATTTGTAGCATCGATATTGGGTAGACTTAGCTTGACCTAACAAAAACCTCTTTTGCCATATTAGCTCTACTGCGAAGGGCACAAGCCTTTTACGAATTGCATAGTCTGGTGAAAGCACAGAAAGATTTAGAACTTGTTCTCGTATTGGAACCCAAAAACTCTCGAGCTACTGTAAGTAACCCTTTCATCTCATGTTGATATGCAAGCCAAAGGTGAAGCCTTTACATGAAACAAAAGTGAAATCGATATACAGCTATCAAATCTTAAAAAAATAACTTTTATTTGACCGCATTCGAAGTTAAGTGGACTAAATCTTAAGGATAAATTCACCACTATCTCCTGAGTAGTCAGGATGAATGTGGCTGTAATGCATAAAACGCAACACCTATTTAATTTATCACTTTCAAAAGCATCATTCCTAAAATTACGAGTTGTATCACAATTAAATTCTTTGATTTAGTAAACTCGTGTAGTTTGTCACCTTAAATCATCTCTGTAATCGTAATAAAGCATACCAACATGGATGAATGGTTTGTTATTATTTCAAAGAAAGGCTGGAAGACTACGGTCGTGCTCGGGAGGCCGAAAATGCAGACCGTGGAAATAGAAAAGCCCACGTAGTTAAGTGTATAATTAATAGCTACTAGAATAATGCTTGTTAAGTCGTTTAGTCATGTCTTAACCAGCCTTTTAAAGTAGTATCGTGATTAGGTTTCACATACTGTTATATCACAATTGTTACCGAAAATGTGGTTAGCCATTGGGGCAGAATGTGACTTTACTGGGGTATTGCAGAACAGCTAATAGGCTAGAGGGGCGATAATTTTTTGAGCAGCCTGTTTTGCTGAGACTGTTCAAAAGACAATAGCAGTAATAATTGCATTACAAAGAAAAGTTTTCTACCTTAATTTGGGGTGATGCTTTTGGCTGATTCAAACAGGGTTATTTTACGAAGTTCTCTCCAGCAAACTTTACTTAAGCATTGGTGTCGCAAGTCGGGCGCTAGTCTTCGGTGGCAACATTTCAAAGGTTGACCTTGTTGAAAAGAAAAAGTTGCTTGGGGCAAAACGCGTGAATTTGTTTTTGTGGCCTAGTTATTTACTTTATTCCCAATTACTACTCTCTGACTACTTTTAGCTTTTAGTACTATGGCAAGAATCTAGTTGCCCGCATTTATCAGCTATTTTTATAAGGTATGGAAATTCTAAAATATGTAAGGCAGCGAAAGAAACATGCAGTCCACCTGGAACTCTAAGTACTGCAATTTATATATTGTCGTCTTAAAACACAAAGAATGGGGCTGCGTGACATTTTTAGAGCTCACCAACTATCAAAAAATCGCTTGTAATCTCAAATCCCATCTTTTAATGGCCCCACTAATTTATCGTTAAAGCTCAACGCTACCATTAATTGTTCGTTTTTAGGTGTGGAAAATGAGAAAACTTTGTTGTTTTGATGTGACCCTTCCCATTGGTTATATTTCGATACCTTAGCCGATCCTTATCAGCTCTTTTGTTGTAAAAAACGAATGATTGAAGGCCATTTCCTAGTGCTGCAGAAAATTCCTCTTAAAGGAAGGAAAGGGAAAGGTTTTTTGTGATGCAGTCAACATGCAAATCCGAATGGGGACTACACTTGACCTCATTTGGTTGAAATAAAGACAATTTTAGCATTATCATCAAATATTCCAAAAAAAAAAACTGTTTCTAATTACAAAGAAGTTGCAATACAGCGGCTTAAATCAGCTAATAAGAAGGCTCAAGTTATCTCAATATCAAAAGTTTACAAGAATTCCATGATCCAAAGATAATTGTATGCCCAAGGCCGTGTCTTTTCCATCCCAGGCGCTACTGAGAAGAATAATTCAGGGTTTTAAATGTGAAATTCAAGCACTATATCGGGAGACTCATTTCTTAGCTTTCCTTGTATTTCCCAGTTACAGGGGATGTAGTTCAAAATTAATGGAAAAAGATAATTCTGAAGTTTAGTGTCCAACACAAACGAACCCAAATGATAGCCATCTGTGTTAAAAGAAGTTGATGCCAGGAGCTATATGGGAATTCTTCATCTTAGACACTCTTGAGGAAGGTTAGAGAAGATCATGCCAGCCGACAGCGCAGTAACCTCGAGGGTGGCCGCCGGATGGTCATTGATGAGGTGGATGAGGATGAATTTGAGTGTGACGACAACGGGGAAGATGAGGAGGAGGAGGAAGAGAAAAGAGCTAGTAATGAAGATGCTACTCAAAGACGGCCAGTTCCACTGCATCAAGGCGTTGAAATTGAGGAGGTGCTTGATGAAAATGAAGAGGAGTCGAGCAAATCTAAGGTACGTAGAAACTTTCGTGCTACTTAGTGGCATTGGTTAGATGAAAAATATAACATAGAGAATTTCCTAGTGAGGATTTGTTAATTTTATGATCGTGAATGCACGATGTGAGGATTTGATCAAATGTTTTAATACTAATCCGTCCTGAGGAGTCTTAAAATAATTATTCACCCGGGAGGAAATTAATGATGACAAAGATTACAGGGAACAATGGATGTTTCTCTGGTTTAAATCAAGTATTAGACTAGGATACATTTCGTTTGTTTGTTAGAACGGTAATTCCACTAATGGAAGGGACCTGTAATTTTAGAAGAAGGCGAAGTATTTATTCGTGAGTACACTCACGATTGACAGGTCCCGTCACTTTTCATCAATGCATTTTCGTACTAAAAATCGTTATTTAGCAAAGCTGTGTTCTTTTTACAGAAAACTAAAAATTGCGTTGGAATTTTTAAATTACCAGACCGATATTTCTTATCTGACTGATCATGTAAGGCAAGCGAATGAGGGGGTGTGGCTTTTCGTGATAAAATTGAGTAACTGTGCTATTCTACTCAGAATATTTAATTCATTAAAAGAATTTATACTACTAGCCATCATTCTTTCCCAACGAGACGGTACCTTGCTCCAAATTCTACCGTTACCTCATATTCCATTCGTCTATTCTACCTAGCACATGATCATTTGATTGGCTAATGCTCTTAGGAAAGAAAAGTTGATTACTTGGGGGAGAAGCATGTAAGAATTCCAATGAGGATGTTGATGATAAAACAGTACTGCTGACAATTCCTAGTTACTTCAGGTTTGGTACGAACGTGGTTCCCTTTTTGAGTTATTCACCATCGGAACCCAATTTTGCAAGCTATGTCCGGATAGTACTTTCAGCTGTTGCAAGACTCTGAAACCGTGGAACCCGGTTGGCCTAAGTTTGCGAGGTAGACAGGCTTAAAGTTACATATATCAAGCTTCTTTTGAATGCATTTGGTGAGAATCTAAAGTGGCAGCAGAATAGCAGTGAACGCAGCAAAGGCTGCTGTACCGATAGGTGGACGCAATTTTATTCTTTTAACTATCTCTACAAGTCACAACAAACTATTGCAGCTAGGTATATCAAAAACAGCAAGAACCTTTATGGTCACCCGGTGGGGCTCTTGAAATTAAAGGTGACAGATTATTTCTAAAAAAATATAAACCACTTCAAATACTACCTGAGATGGATTAGGTTTTTTGACTAGGTGCTAGGACTGTCTCTAATTTCTTGAAGCATATTTAATTCAATTTTCTGGAAGTTTTCTTTTATTGGAAAATTTTCAGGCATTCTGGAATATCTTTAAACTCCCACTCACGTTCAACCTCCTAGTTGGCTAATATCCCAGGCAGATAGGCTTAAAATGGGCTAGTAATCACTATAGGGTCAAAGCTAATCAAAGTATCGTAAATCCGCCGCAATAGAACCAGTCACTCATGGTTGTCAACACCTAAAGCCATTCGTATTGAAGGTTTTGTCTCCTGGATATTCTGATTGAACAGATTTTATAGTTTGTAGCATATACTACATGCGATAGTCCGCGAAGGAATTGACGAACTTGTTCCCTCAAAAGCTCAATTCCATGTGGTAAGGAGTGTAGCACCTATAACGCTGTTAGGATGGTGGGACGCCTTCTCCCATGCTAAGTGCCGCCATCAATGTCTGAGACATTCGAAAGAAGGTCAACGATTGTCGTAGGCAGAAGTGACGACATTGTGGGAAGGAATATTTAAACAGACTGTCTTCAGCAGGTGCTCTGACTTCTTCCTCCGGAAGGACATTATGGGGGCACAACGGTCACTCCTTCACTACGATGTAACTAGGAACGTTAGGCAAAACCGTTGACAGGTAGTAAAAGTTGTATATTTGTTGATATTACAGAAAGAAATCACACCCAATGCCAAGGGTGACACCCAAAATGACGCGAACAGTGGAGTTAAGGTGGGTTCTAATTCTTTTCCAGATGATACTTCAGTTACCTTTCAAGAGTAAATTAGGTATATTCATATGTAATGATGATGACAATACATTACTTCATTTGAAGCACAAATGTGATATGATAAAGTCATCAGCGGAATATACGGGTAGGGACAAAGATAATATTACCATTTTTTCTCTTTGTCTATGACTCTGCAAAATAACTATTAAAAATTGTAGATATAAGGGCCAGAAATTAAGAGGCTATTGGCCAGTGAACCCTGTTTGTTTACGAATTCTAGCAACTGGAATTGGAACAAATTGGGAAGGAGGCGTTCCGTTCTACCACAGGTATGTCTAAATTTAGGAGTGGAGTCGGACACGTAATTAAAACAGGCGATTTTGTCGCTTCGTCAATTCCAAGACTTGTGTCAAGTGATCAAAAGAGCTCGTGGTGCTTTCGATGGACTTTGCTGCAATGATTTGCTGGATGCAATTTTAGATATGCCTGCGTTAGAAAGCGCCGAGGTCAACCGTCTCATCAGACAGGTTCACAGTGACCTTAATGGTTGCAAATTGAACGTGTTTGCCTGACGAACTCAGCTTAACTCAGATTTTTTAAGTGACAAAATCTCCCTAGTAAATGTGCAGAGTATTTGAGGAGGTTGGGACATGCGACAGCGAAAAGCACTGCCGTGAAATGGTTTAACCCATCCCGTTATAATAGGCGACCACACTCCATGATACATCTTTTTCACAAGGCCTCATTATTTTAACGACAAGAAAAACTTGAAGTTAAGGTGTCAAAAACCTCCAGTATTTAGCACGAGTGATGCAGCAATTGGTTTACGTCAACATTAACTGGGAAGGGGAAGTCGTGAAAGAGGAGCTAAGCAAATGGGTGTTATAGGCCATGAAATAACAAATAACAGGTAATGAGCTCCATCAGCTATCATTTGTTGGAAGAGCATTATTTGCTGACTAACTAATTAGGAATGAAAAGTTGCTTTTATATTTTATTCCAATATTATGCAGACGAACTTATTACAAGTTAGCTCAAAACTATCCACTTACTACCCACATCACCCAACCAGCATTACGCTTTGTAAATGGGGGTGTGTGGAGTAGCTTGCAGACGGAAATGACCTCCTTGAAGGTGTGCGTGCACAACTCCTTCATGAGAAACAGTTTGATCTAGTGAATCACATGGACGAGATAATACAGGACCTCGCACCTTGTACCGCTACAAAGCTTTATTTTGAGAGGAAGAGAAGGAGTTACTATCTCATCCTCTTGCCACCAGCAATAGAAAAGCACGTAAATCGCCTGCGAAATGGAATAATTGGTTGTAAAATTCAAGTGAGATAGAGAGGCTGCAGCTAGGCTTTTTCTTGTCTGCTAGGAAGAAAGCACTTGAAAAGGTAATTCACATTGGGCGTTTCAAAAGGATTTTAATGGTGCTCACATTAGTAAAATATTTCAAGAAACTGTCTCCATCATTTCAAAGTTTGTCCACAATAACTGCGCGATATTTTTGGCTACTGTGAACATTTCTATTTCCTGGTGCCTTGTCGAAGGTATGAGGTGCTAGAAGCGCATGCGGCATGAGTATGCGCCACTTACAACCTGTGAAAATGCCATAGCATAGTAGAACCAATGTTTGGTGTTACAAACTGCTGTGTATTTGTGATCATGGGTACTGTCAAGATGCCAACAAGAATAACCAAGAGGAAGAGACTTCAGAACACTGGGTGCTCGCCTATTGGATGGAGCACTGAAGTCCTGCGTTAATTTGTCTTGACCTCGCAGTGGATACTGGTAAATTTAACGTATCTTTATATGATATTGACACATCAGAGGGGAAATGAACGTGAGGACGAACAGTATAACCTCCCAGATTGTTAAGGGAAAGGGAAATACCGGAAACTTCTAGTAACATCGGAATAGAAGCCAGTTACAAGCATTCCCAGCATTTACGTGACGTCGTACTCCATTTAAATTAAAATCATTGTTATGCGTGCCATCTTCAACCATCTCCGATTTTACGCCTTGTCAGAGCTTATGACAGAAATCCAATTCATTGAAACCGCATACAAAACAGGATTATTTTCGTGTCAGCTGTGCTAATCGCAAATTCTGAAGCGGTTTAACTCATTCACTTCTTAGTTGAACGACCTGCATTACATAGATCTCATTTGAAAGAGTCAAAACAAATGTCTAAAATGGGTTTGCACTAACTCATTTTGCATTATGAAACGCTTGCCTGCCAATAAAACCAACGTCACATATATGTGACATTCTACTTCTTGTATACCGCAAACAGATCGGCTGATAACAGATCTTCCTCGATCTGAGGGGGATCAGATCAGGTGATGTGATGAGTTCGGCAACCTAGTATCCAGATCGTATTGAGGCAATAAGGGCAACACATCTTGATTATGAATTTGTTAAGCTTAAAGGGTTTCCTGTTAAGTCACAATTAATCAAAAAAGATGAATATTTGACTCCAGTTGATTAAAGCATATTGTCTCATTTTTTTACCCTTATCAGTCTTAAAAATTTTCTTTTATTTTGTGAAGAAGATATTGAAAGAAAACGCGTGGAACTCATACAAGGGCTTAAAGGAACCGATCCAATCAAATTGAAATCAGGTACTATCTAACGCTTCTACAAAATGCTTAACTATCTCTTTCAACTTCTAGCTCTCGACATTAAACTTGATGCGGAAATGTTGGAGCAGTATATATTTGCCCTCGAGACAATCAGCTTACCTCAAGGTGGGCGCTTAAAATTTGCTTCTATTTATTTATTTATTTTTTTACTTGCTGTATTCGCATAGTGAATAAATAGGTCTGGATAATTGTGCTGTTATTCAATCGTCCATCAAACATTTTAATTTTTAAGTGCACCACTTGATTTTTTTCTCATCGGATAAAAAACGGTTTATTACTAGGCGAATACGAATTTGTCTACAATGCATTGGATAGAATCAGCAAGAGTGCTAGATTCAACGTCGCAGTCCTGATGTTGGACGGTGCCGTGACGAAAGGTAATTGAAGTGGTTAACTGGGTGGAATTAGCGTAGTAGCACCAACTTTCAGACTTAATTTATCTATAGTTAAGTTCGCCTTCAAGTCATCCTTAAAATAAACACTTTTTGATATGTGATTTGAAAGACTTTGTACACATCCTCCGAACCCTATCGATGTGGGCGAAAGATGTCAATAAGCAACCACGCCATTATATTTCACCTGAATCGTACTAATATTGACAATTTTGTCTTATAATTCTCTTTGCTCGTATCAGTTTGTGCATTTTTCAATTATACAGTTTAAATCATTGGGAGAAGATCCGTGAAACCATTTATTCATCGAAATAATCACGATTGGAAGATATGAAGCCTACTTCCTCTTATCTCCTCGTAAGATCTAGGATAAGACCTTCTCTTAACTAGTTCATTAGGCCAGGCTTTTTCTCAGCAAGAAGTTGCTTCTCTACACTCGACTTATATCTGTATAACTGCTTTGGCTTTCAGCCGAAAATCCACTGTACGCGTTTCTGCCTGAGGTCTACCACACCCACAAGCCAAGTCAGCGTGGTTTTGTAAAGACAAAGTGATGCGAGCCTCAGAAGTGCTCCCTTGGGAGTTTTTCGTGCAGGGTCACGTAGTCTTAAAGACGCCATACGTTGCTTCAGAGAAATAGGCTTTGCCGACACTTCAAATTTTACTTCAGGAATGCACATTGTGTCAGTAGCCTTCGAGCACATTGGCACCAACTGTTTCAAAGCAATCCATCATCAGGGTTTTGTCAGCACGCGGTTTGAATTTGTAGTTTCGTTTCACCATTGAATTTTGAATAGCAAATATGTTGAAACAAAAACGAGTTCATTTGCCTTCCTCACGTCTTTTACACTCTCACATTGCTCACATGTGCTTCGAATAGTCTGCAATCTTTCACTAATAAGGTTGAAGAGCTTCCGTTGAACATTTTGCATCTTGCTGATCTTGTAGTTGATCTCCCAATTGGAGGCCAGTCGTTATTAACAGCATGCATCTGCAACTGGTGCAAAAAGCCACGAATAGATGGATTAGCAAACCGGGATTTTCGCGTTCGGACAGGGCGTATCCGAGTGTCTTGAAATGCTGTAAAAGAAGCTTCTTGAATACATTATACGTCTTTGCATCTATCCCAACCAAGTGCAAGAAGTAGGGTACTTTGAGAATGAGGACGCAAAATTAGCGTCAATTGTGCCCACCAGGACAGAAGATTAAAGTCGTACCTCATCAGAAGTCATTCAGTTTGAAGCCGGGCTCGTTCCGAAAGTGTTTTTATAACTTTTTGTCCCTTGTATGCAGATATAAACCAATTGCTTAATCAATCGCCCCCAATCTTACTGAAGGGTTATTGGTACGTTAGTTAGTGGTAGTGGGTGGGAGAGTTTTCCCAATCCCGATTTGTCTGTCTTTGAGTGGGCTGAAGCGTTTGAAATTTTCAAGTCATCACTGTATCGCCTACCACCCACTGAATCCTCTGCATCACCTGAACGACACAATTTTCTTGTCTTCCGTTGCTTCTCATCAATGATTGTCTTCAAAATTAACATACGACATCTCTTTCTTTAGGTTATTTAATCAAAAAAGAGTTAAATGCCTCGTGATTACTTAATTGCGATAAGTGGTGTGAATTGGTTGATAGGCCCCTATGAAGGTGATAGTAAATTCACACTTTACTACTTCGTAACCTATTTCAGCTGTCCAGGAGATCTTCGACAAACTACACTCTTCTGCCGTATCCGCTGACTACAACATAGCGGAACTACAAAGTAGATTCGCAGCTTAAACAATCAACCGTGCTTGGCGCATCAGCTTTTCTAACGTAGCTTGCTGTTCAGTTGAGTGATGTCTTTTTCCATTTTTATGGTTACATTGCTGAACATGTAATGTTTTGTATTTACCAGTGGAGAAGGAATATAATTCCTGAGTAATCTTAACAAACCCCCGTTAGATCCCTAAAAATTGCTTTTGTGTAGCAACTCCAGACCTAACTGTTGGTGGACGTTTCGTATTTCTTACACCGGTACGGGTAACTCCTAACCTTGAAGTCTATAACTAGATAGCTATAAAAGGGAAAACAGTTACCACGACATCCACATTTTGACAACAATATCCAATGTGTGGTGAGGCCGTTCTTCACCTCCTGGTTGAAATTTGCGTATGCGTTCCACAGCAATTTATGTGCCAAGTCATCACGGATACAAAGTCGATCTATTGCACGATCCGCTGCTCCCTGGTAACATTTGCTTTTTTGCTAACTGAGACGGTGGAATCAGTGATGCTGTTGTGTCCGAAATCCCCATGCAGGTATCGCAACAATTAAAATTCTACAAATCGTTTTGCTTTAGTGTCACGGAAAGACTTGGATAGTAGACTAGATAGTATAGCGCGAACGGGAAAGGGTAGCACTTGTAGCCTTAGAGTCCTCAACCAGAGAACCTAAAGCTTCCAGCGAAGGTGTACTCTGTTTGAGGCGCTTCTGACATTATCCCAGACACAGAACTTGCATACGGCCGTTTATTGAAATCACTTCAATCGCTGCTCTTCCATACAACTGCCGTTGATCTCCATCCCGACGTCTCGAACTTCAGTAACGGCAAAGCACGCACATCCATTCATACTACCACGCTGTCTGCGGCAGTACGTTCCATTAGTTGACGTAGGTTTGTGATGTGTACCGCAGCGTCTCGCATAATTTTGTACAGAATCGAAAGAGACATGCGCAGACTGCATCCGGGCATTTTATTCAGCGAAACCTGCATTAACAGAGAGTCCAGATGCACCAGGCTCACACTCGCGGACGACTACATGGAACGTTCTAGCAGGACTGGGATATTTAATTTCAATCCTATAAAACGGGACGCTATCATGGTGGTAGCAACTCCGTCCTCTTACCGAGAGTCACACTCTTCCCCATGTATTGATAGGGCGCAGAGTAATCGGCAAGCGATGAATGGAGACATCAAATCCGACCCTGAGAATTGCTACGCATGCCTACAGAAAACTTCAACCGCAGTCTGTCCAGTAACTGGACGCTTATCAATAGGGCATGTAAGTGGTTCTAATGTAAAAATTTAAGTGATGATCGCGGTTAAATCAACTGTAAAAATATCGGTTCCCACCCACAAACCCCAACGTCCCGGTACGGCTTTAACAAACGTCAGGTCAGTGACAAAACCTCTCCAAGACAAAACTAAACTACACACTCTGACAAACATACCGTAAGCAATTATTTCTTTGCAATTACAAATCAATCAGAATAAACTCTAAAATAATTTCTCTTCTTTGAAAGAGCATAGGATACATTCCCCGTGGAAGCATCAAATTTTACGCAATGAGGAGATTGGATTGTCATTATGCCGAACAAACCTATTTCTCAACTAAAAAATGGGAATTCAGTAACTTTTCTTTCATTTTGGTATATATCACAAGAGGTGGGGCTCCAGAAATGGTATGAGGTACACATAAGGAGGGTGGGCGGTTCAATATTCGGTTAGCCGGTTGTGTGATAGTCGATCCTAGGACAATATTTTCTTTAAAAATAAGAATGGGGCTTTAGTAATGACAAGCTGCATCACAGGGGCTCCTTGATGATCGAGTAGGTCAGAACCAATTCTCCTGGTTGTTTCCAGTAGAAATGACGCACTGTTCTCAGATTCATTTCGGGATCCAGTAGCTAAACATTAAAGAATTCTCCTGTACAAACAATCATAATAAAGTCATTTGACGGGTTTGTTGCTAAGATTACAAAGAAGAACCGAATACCCCATTCTAGACGCTTTTTGGTGTTCCGACACGACAAAGAGCCAAACCGACCAATGTAAATTATGCTCCTCATTCCAAGAACATTCTACATCCATTTGATTGTCTTAGAATCGACTCAAATATCTACCGCATGAAAAAAAAAACATTTAGCATAAAGTCATGAAGAACAGTTTTGCCTTGTTTTTGACATGCAGGATCACGTAAGTGAACAACCAGGGAGTCAAATGTAAAATAAAAATAGAGAATTCTGTCCGCTGTCGAACATCATTGTTTTGTGGATTCATTTAAGTTGTTGGCAAACTTAGGTGTGAATTATATCAAAGAGGAACAGCGTTCTTTCATAGGCCGGGTTATCTTGAAGCAAAAAATTCATCTCCACCATGGTTCGTGCTTAGCATGGTAATCAATTTACCTCCTTTGTAGATTCGTTTATGAGTGGAAAGAAAAACCTAAAGTAGCCAGAAAGATCCAAAGCGCTTCAAACGTTCATTAAACTACAAATAGGCATCTGAGATCGCAAGAGATAAGGGGGAAAAATAAAGGTGGTTGATCAAGGTAGACTCACGTGATCGCCACACCAGACTTGGATAATGTCCTCCGGTGTGGAAGTGGCTTTGAAAGCGGCGTTAGCAACGGCTGTGAGGTCAGCCAATGTGGTGCCGGGTGGCGCCTGAGCGGGCACGAAAGTGACGTTGGTGGCCATAAGCTGGGTCGGATTTTCACCACCGCCTCCAGTTCCAGCACCACCATTGCCAGCTTGCGTAGAACCCGCCTGTCCATTCGAATGCGGCGATTCTAGAAAAGAAGCAGAGGAAAGTTGGTTATTTCTCCGTCGGTAAATAGCTGCAGACTACAGTCACTTTTCTGATAGTATGGGGTCGTTCAGCATAGTTTCTTTAAAATTCCGAGCTATTTTGCAGCTTTTTTATCAGGTAATTGGAGTGGAGTAGTTCCATACTCAACCATCAAAATACGATCAGAAGTTTAAAAAAACACGATAAATTAAATTCAATCACCATTATACCAAGCCATTTTTGATCTGACGGCAGCAAGGTCATTCATTACCTTCAGAGTTGGCGGTAGTGTTTGTGGGATTCTGCGAACCGTTGGACATCTGATCGACAGGAACTGAGGTGGCAGACTCGACCAGTTCGAGCATTCGCCGAAACTCGTATTCCATCACTTTTCGGATGGTCAGTGTTTCATTGGCCGACAAACGCTCCCGATTGGTTATTGTTACACCTGCAGCAGTTGCTGGTGCGTTGGCTGGTGTTGGCAAGCTAAAATTGCAGGAGATAATAGGTATGGAAGATTTTATACCTCTCACTCTGTCCTTGCTTAACTAGACTCTAGGTAAGACGAATACTTTAAAAGTGACGCTACTGGTGCGGGGGATAGACGGTACTGAACGTCCAGCTGACTATAAATAAGACTAAGAAGAATGGGGAAGGAGCTCTAGAAATGGCTGCGAAGAGAACTAACAACTAAAGAGGTAGCAGGAGAGTTGAGTGAGAGTATTCAATGTGCATTAAATACAACTAAGGCTAGGTTTTCATTCTCTACACTTCACCTATCACCGACACGGGAAAATTGGAGGTATAAATGAACAACAATTTCAAATGCTACCTAAATCTGAACCAAATTCGATAAAATACTTCAAAAAGGAAGTCAAATCTTACGTCTTTGATTTGGGATTGGTGATTTTGAGATCTTGTGTAAGACAGAACGGTATCTTTGCTGCTTTGATGGCTTTGTGCTGTAAGGAAAGGAGAGCATTAGGAGACGTCTACCCAAAGTGTTGAGGATGGAAACTTCAAATCTGGTTGGGACGATGAAGTAGAAGCATTACTCCCAATACAACCATCGTCAAACCATGGATTTGGAGAATTGGTCGAGAGGGGTCTAATGCGTTTCAATAACAGTCTTCCTTAATACACCTGAGAGAATCCAGGAATGAAGAATTGAAAACTTCTGCGGCTAATAAGTTCCCTCCTACCTGTAAAGGTCAAAACGCCTATTACTATGGAATTTGCTACTGTCGTCTGCACAGCGATGACTCTATACTCATGGTTTTACATGGGATAACCAATGAAGAACCATGGCCAGAAAGCAGGGTGCAGATTTGAAGCGTTGACAATAACGCAGACACTTGAAATGCCACTTACGGCGATAACGACATCAGTAATCCACTCTGGCACGTGCTCGCACAAGAGTCGTTGCTCCTTTGAGAGTGCCGTGTCGTGGATAATGAAACGAGCCAGAGCGCGTCCACGACTGTCGCTGAAACAGTGAAAAGAAAACAATGCTGCCATAATCAGGTCACTTGTTAAGTCTGGACGACAATCACCTACTCAATATAACCACAGCAGTGTGAAAATAGAAAAGACAAAGTTGGCTGCTCACCTTAAAATGATGGGAATGTGGTCGGGTAGTGAGACGCATCCTTTCGTCAAATTTGGTGCGTCTTCAAGGAAAGAAAAGAAAAGTAGTGGAAAGAGCAACGCGCAAGCTCGTTCCTTCAATCTCTCCACATGAAACTTACTATCGCCTTCACCACATAGCTGAGCCTTTGGCCAGCTTTCGAAAATCGCTTGCAGTAGCAGTTGACCATAGTTGACTGAAATAGAAACACATAAAAGTCCAGAGATGTTACAATTAACTTTGACCGTATCTTCAGTCTTCCAGGCTTTCATATTTAAGCCTCCAAAGGGAAGAGGGAAGGAAACAGACACACGTTTGTGCCAAATCAAGCAGTTTTATGGTAGTAGGGCGCTCACCCGGTTGAATGGGAAGATGATCAGTGATCGATCTCGGTCATGACAGTATTGCTCAAGGAGGTCAAAACTTACTTTTTTGATCGGAAGAGTCTTCAGAACTTGCAAATCCAGCGTCCTTGAGGGTTATGTGCGCAGAAAGGGCGTCCGAACTGTCCAGATGAATGATAGGAAACTGTGTAGAGAGGAGGCGAGAAAAGGAATCAAATAACTTGGGCTATTAAGCCTGATTACCATTAAAGAGTACTTAACAGGGCAAAGACACTCACACCACACCGCAGATCAACTGAGAACCAACTGGGCACATAGATAAACTTCTCGCGTTCCTTCACCACGGCATCGAAATCGACGGGTCCAAGGTCTTGCACAATTTTGGCCTTCAAAATGCATAATGCCACTGTTTGAAACATTCCTTTTCGTCAAAAAATCCTAGAAGACTAATTCCCATGTTTAATTGGAGTACCACCTAACCCAAATTAAAGCATGACTCTATCTAGGGGATTTCCAAATCCTCTTTGAATAAATAACCATTGACAATGATGGAGAAACCCAGACGCTCAACCACTGCTTTAAAACACACAACTTTTGCAAGATATTGGGTGCAATATCCACGCAAACCATATTAATAATTGCCTTGATGAAACAATTTCCTGAAAGTGCTCACTGGAAGGGGCAATCAAGCTTAAATTAAAATTATTGCACAGGAACTTTTTCAAGAGTCTAGCTAATGACGAAGCAGTACCGGCATTCACGTAAGTTTTGACCGGTTTCAAATCTTGCTTTTTGGATAAATAAATAATTATTACTTTGAAATGTTTCGACTGCCGCATCTTTTCAATTTCGCAATGGCATTAGCCCCACCTAAAAAACACAAAATTTACAAGAACCATTCCTGATGCCAATTCTGTTACAAAATGGCGTTTATGTGGTTAAGTCCAAGCCCTGTCAAGGTCCAGAGTAAAGTAGGCAGGAGGCGAAGATTTCAACGCGACATGTGGGTACTTGAATGCCGAAGACAGAGACAAGAACGCGAGTCTCGAGACGCTCCAGAACTTTCGAAAACTAGCCATGAAAAAGAGTACTCCGGGAAAATCGAAACAGACTTTTCCGAGGGTTTCATTGAAGCAGCGGCTGAACAGATGGGCAAGGAAGTTGAACATACGCACAAATTCCACTACACGGAATCAAGGCGAGGGTAGCCAAATGCATAGGGAAATTTCCAGTCAGTCTGAAATAGCGAATGATGCCTAACTGGCACCACTGTTGCCAGATGACGCGCCATCATAAACTCCCCGAAACTATTTCATTTGCTGAAATGGTCGGCATTTCAATCCATCCTCCTTTCCCAACGAGACAGTGGCTTACTCCGAATCCAACATTTTTTCTGTAGAAGCAAACAACATCGTCCCAAGTGTCTCCGTTTCTCAACTATTTATTCTCCATGTGATCACGTGATTATCTAATAGTAATGCCAAGAATAGGTGAGGAAATGTGATATTTGAGGAGAGTGTGGCGAATAAAGTTGAGGCGGCATCGCTCTCTCTTCCCCCCATTTCAAAGTGTAAGTCTTTTCACGGCTAAATTTTTGTCGTATAAGAAATGGCAACTGACTGACTGACTAGGCTTGACTTTTTCCCGAGGTATTTTATCGGATAGATCTCAGATACAATTGTTTGGCTCCAAGCAAGCAATCCGTGCACCACACACACAAAGCAAACAGCCTTTTGGGGATGAAATGAGGCGTGATTTTGGAGTTTGGAATAGATGTTGAGTGGGTCGTTTGGGAGTAAACAATGATGCTTGCTCCCCTCCTCCCACCTCTCAGTACAGGTCATTGATGCATGGCATAAGATACCCGTTTACTTAGCACTTAGCAAATAAGATACATATTTCCTCGGCTTTTGTTGATTGAAATCACAAATTAGAATATAGGTTTCAGAGAAATAGGCCTAAAGAGTAGTTTTTTGGACTTGACAGATAACAACTCTATAGATAAGTCCACTCAACTTGCCATATTATTACAATTGTTAGATGGAAATGTAAAAACAAAGGTCCAAAAACGGGCCACAAACATTTCATGAAATGGACTCGAACAACCGAAAGAAAGCCAATTGAATAATCCCGGGATGTCACGCAGCAAAAGTGAAATATCTGTCAAGGTGCACGACTGAGGCCAATTTCGCTTTAACTACGTTACCCTCTTGATCTTTCAATCTCCAGGTAAACATTGTGGGATTAAAGTAATCGAGAAACTAATGAGTACCTGTAAAACGTCGTAAATTGCAACGTGGTTGTTGGCATCACGAGTAACGATGAAGCGCTTTTCACTGCAAATATGGTACTGCACGATTGGAGCGCCACCTAGAAGGAAATAAGAGATGAGTGGCTTCAGCTATGTTGGATTTACAGGGGGTTAGATACAGTAATGAAATTGTGTCCGTCAAGTGAATGAAAAATGCTAATGTTCATTTTGGTAACGACTTGCAGCTTGTGAGAACTTGGGACGTGCCTGAGATGTGTGTCAACCTATCGATGTGGTACTCCTTAATTGCGCCCTCAAATCTTTTCTTTCTATCCAGAACTCTCTTCGACAAAGTGGCTATTGAACCTGAGAGGTGCGATTTGAGCTTGTCTGCTTCCAAAGATGTAGGACACTGTATGATTTTTGGTATAATATGCCCCATACAATGCATTCACAGATGTTACTTATTTCAACTATGTTATAAAAATGCGACGTTTTTGGATTATTATAGAATGCGGTTCTTTTAGCGTTCCAAACTTTAGGCGAAGGAACATATGACGCTATAAAACAAATTTTAGAAGAAGCTACTACAACTTTGGGGCCAAGTTTGAATTCGCAAAGGATAGATAGTACCGCACTGATAGACTGAAGCATATCAATGTTCTATAATGCTACAAATAAACAAAACAATTCACAAATCCAAAGAATACACGACTTTTATCGGTCTCCCGATAAGGTTGTACAGATCTTTTGAGTCTCTCACGATTCGACCCCCAAGGCGAAGGACCAAAACTCATTCATGTAATATAAGCTACTAGCCTTCCAGCCTTCTCGTACGTTTGCAAAATACGTAACCTCCAGCTCACTCAGAGCTATTTATTCAATTGAAATGAAATCACAGACCTTTGATGATGAAGGTGGGAACAGAGGTGGGCACGGTGAGGTGGAGCTGCCGTTGCTCCATCGGCGTTTCTGACGTCTCGTGTGTCCAGGGTGAAGTGTTCAGCGTATCAGCTTCCACGGAATGACCGCCACTTCGACGCATGGAGCCACGTGGAGCTTTACGCAGAGGTGAGTTAATTGGCTGAATAAAGGGAATGCAAAAGAACAAATCTGAATCCCCGTCTAGGGAGACAAATTCAGTCCTCTGTTGCATCGCTTGTGATCCTCAGTGTAGGCCACGTAGTTTATAAAAAGAAGGCTGCAACCGAGAGCTGCTTAAATGTCACCACTTAATTTTCCATTTCATCTATGTTTTCAGGGTAATTACTTTACGCAACTTTGAGTCAGCCACTTCCAAAAAAAAACAGTCCTTAACCCTCAGAAAGGTTATTTTACAGAAAATATTAAAAATGCATTGTTTGGGTTCAATCAAAGAGCATTCAGCAGGACTTAAGAGAAATAAAAGACGCCCAACTTCTGCCATTTAAAAAAAATAGGATTTCTGATTTGTTCTACATTATCAGTCAAAATAATACAGTAAAGCGTAAGAAGGGAGAAATCGCACTAAAAGTTCAATTTCCACTACTTCTTTTTAGGAAAGGAACTCAAAGCACCTTAACAGTAAAATAAATGCTTTGTAATAATACTGCTTAGTTGGTTATCAAACTACTTACAAAGTACTTATTGAAAAAGGGAATAATTTCCTATCATCACCTTGATTCACGGCATGAACAATGTTAAAATGAACATTGGGAAAGAAAAATCAAATTAAATTTTTTTTCCTCATTCGGTTCCTTTGGGCTAAAGATCAACAAAATAATACTATGCAAAACTTCGCCATTCAACAGAGAGTCCAGGTACCCCAGATGGACTGTCCATTTTAGCTCAATGAACCGGATCACGTTCTACTTAATCCCTTCTCATTTAACAAAAAACGAATTAAAGTCACCAAATTGCAGTCGAGCAGTACAGTGTATTTTTTTATGAAGTGAACGTTGTCCTAACGTCGAATTAAACAATTTCTTTACATCAACAATAAATAATTCCAAGGAGAAACGCCTCAAAAGATGAACAAAATTCTTCTCACAGACAATGTCTGCTTTTTAGTAGTCACGCATATATGACATTGGCAACGTGAGTGTCATCAATTACGTTTGCCGGTTTTATCTACCCAAGTTCCCAATATTTTCTGATCAGACAAGTTTGCAAGGAAAAAGCTTAAGTGCTAGACAAAACTTCCTAGAAAGAAAATTGTCAGACAAATTCTTCCGTCTCTAAAAGTATGTAAAGGCCAGAATTATTTCAAAATGATAAGTGGAATTCGGTCGATTTCATTCCACGCGACTTTTCCAATGCAAAAAAGTATTGCAATAGCAACAAAGAAACATACCCAACATTTCACATCGGTTCCGCTAGTAGAGGCCCAAAGATGGGGACCATCAGAATTCTCCACATAGAGGAGCTATTGAAAAAAGGTGAAGTAAGAAAGAACCGAATATTGACTTAAAGGGTTGCAAAGAAGTCAGTTCACAAGCACCTTAAGAACAGGGTTTGATTCCCAACCAATAAGAAATGAATCATCAGTATTGCGAAGCGTCGTTGCAAAGATATTCTTATCCCGTCCCGAGGAGTAGACCTCTGTCCAAGCAGGATTAGTCTACAGAGATTAGTTAAATTGCAGTAACTAGTGGAAATAGGCCATACCTGCAACGTCCACACCCCTTCTGAATGTCGATGGATAGTCTCCGTGCATCGACGCATTCCCACTGACCAGAGTTTGATGGTTCCGTCCGAACTGCCCGATAGGATCTCCTGCGTATCGGGACGAATCAGAAGGGCTCGCACGTTGTCCGTATGGCCGCGTAATTGACCAATCGGCTGGCAGGTTCGGGGGTCCCACATCCGGATGAGTTTATCGGGGCTACCGGCAACGAGAATCGATCCTGCCGGGTCCATGGCCAAACTGTAAATGCTATCCTTCTCATCGGAGAAAGAAGATGCTAAGAGATAATTGAAAACGCGGGAAAATTACTTGTAACTGTATTGTTTTTAGGCGTTAGATTGCGAAGTGTGTTAACATCCCAAAGAAATATAGCATGGTCCAAACCGGCACTGGCAACTTCTTCTTTGTGTTGCGCGTAAGCCAGCACGAGAACATAATCTTTGTGTGTTGGGAGGGTGGACATACAAAAACCTGTCCGTGCATTCCAAACTTTGACTGTAGTGTCATTTGATGCGGATATCACTGTAAAATAAAGGAGAGTTACCATTTTGAAGAGGTAATAGCAGGAAAAATAGCTTACGATACTCGCCGTCACAACACAAAACGATATCATTAACCCAATCAGCATGGTGTTCCATGCTTTGCAAATATGGGTCCTAATGAGTAAACAAGGAAAGAATATAACCTTACTGATTGGCGTTTTATGTCCCAAACACGAATCACGGAGTCTCGACCGGCTGTGTATAATCTTTTCTGATATGGGTCGTAATCCAAAGAATTGACACCGAACCGGTTGCGACGTTCTTCTTTGGCCCTCAATACCATTGAAAGGCATATTTTCTTTCGAGAGTAATTCATTAGGGATAGAGAAAAGGGATATTCAGGTAAAAATTACAGCTAAAGTGACTTGGTACATATAAGAATTAGTAGGAGGGGAAATTCACACCATACTGCAAACAGCGAGACATTTTACTGGTAGGGTAAAAAATACAAGTTCCCACTTTCGCCCTTGGTTAAGACAAAGTAAGAGTGAGTAGGCTCCTCAATAAAATTAAAAACCTTAGATGTTACGAAAATGCCATTAAAGCCCCCGAGAGAAAAATTTGTATATGCTTGGAAAATCGGCCGCGAATTTCGGTCCTTGCTATTGGCCTTTGTAGTTGAAAACGGTGCACAACATTCTCATATAGAATTACTAAACATTGTGTTCATAAGCTACTTGTGCCTTGATTTGCATTCCCAAATATCCAAATTTCTTAATCACTGTGGGACGTGATATCGCCGGCTCAAAACACATAAGAGCACATACTTGAAAAGCATGCTACTCCTCGACTTGATATTAGGCGAAGCTGTATGTACTGTAATACTTATGCTATTTTAATGTACATTTAAGAAAAGAGGCAAGGTAACAATTTGGATCTGGTGACAGAATCGGCGTCTCCCAAGCCTGAGAACGATTGCGGTTCCTCCCCTCTCCAAACTTTGTACTTTTTTCCCGATCCACTTCCCTTGAATAAGTATATCGAAATTAAATCAACCGGGTTGTTCTAGGCGCACTAAGAACAGGGAAGAGGAGACCTGCGAGTTTCCCTCTGCAGTACTGAGGTCAAATGCGTAGAGTCATAAGTTGGCCTTTCTGCAACACTTGCCTTAACACTTTCTATTTAAAAGTTGACCATGAAAATAAGAGTATAATACGTAAATAATCTATAAAATACCGAGATGTCGCAGTCACCATTTCGTTGTGCATTTAGAATAACTCCTGGAATCTACTAGATGCCCTATATACCAAGATATTGGCATACTTCAACAAATAAATCCAACAATATAATTTTTGCAGCAATAAAACTGCCTTTTTTACCACGTACTAGTTGTGGAATCATGGTTCCACCTACAAGATTGCACTGTGGGGCTACGACTCCGGTGTCCACATTTCAGGAAAAAATCCATTCTAACTCTTTGTTACTTCTGACCCAAGTGTATCCCTCGAAGCCAAAAAGTTAATTTAAACCCTAACTTTGGATGAAATTGTTCTTGGGTCTAGTAGGTTTCATTTGTACGCGTTCGCTTACATAGCACGCATTCCCCTGTGAGTGGAACAGCCGAAGAGGCATATCCGTCTTTCCTCCTAATTATTCTCTTTATTGAAGTCCACAAATGCAGCATCCCAAGTCTTCGCTAAAGTAGTGGCAAACCGAAGCAGTGTAGAAGAGCATATGTAATACTTATGTTGTTTTAATGTGCCTTTCAGGGAGGAGGCAAGCAAAAAATTCGAACCTGGGAACGGGATCGCCCTCTCCCTTACCTAGTGACTGCGCTCCCCTCCTTCTTGAATATTGTATTTTCCCTATACATCTTGTCGTCTTTAATAAAGATGTCCAAAGTAAACCAACCGGGCTTGTCTAGGAACGCTAGGAATCGGGAAGCGGAGACCGAGGAGTCTCGCTCCAAAATACATTAAAATAAAGCCCTACTTACTTTGATAACCCCAAATGTAGTTAATTATAAACTTTACATCATTTATTTCATGACTAACCATGGAATAAATGAAATGTAAATAAAACCGCAGCGAATCAGCTTACTAGGCTTAATTAAAGCCTTTTATTTCACATTTGGGCTATATTTACATTTTTGAAAGTAAACTTAATGCCGCAAATAAAGCTAAAACAAAACAAGATTAGCATGTTATGCATTAACCGAAGTGTAAAGTGTCGAATGCTATTTTAATAATGCACGAGGAGAGTTTCCCGTATCGTAAAACTTATCGCAAGCTGCCCACGTGTCTTAGATTTTGTAATTCAAAAAAGACCTTTGTCGTGGCTTTGCTGGTGCAGCGCGTCAACTGGTTATTTAACTCTGCGTTCGGCTACGTGGGCACGTAAGTCGCCACGGATTGTACTTTTACTTGCCGGCTTAGCTCCTCAAGCATCCTAAGCGTCGGCAATACATTCTTCACCATAGAAGCATGACTGTTGACTACTTCAGAAAATCGTTGAAGCAATATATTCATGTTACTTCATCCATTCAAAATAACCTCATCTCAGTATCAGTAAACAAGTGCTGGTAATTTCGGTGCTAGAGTCATTCATACAAAGCCTTTCTTAAAAAAATCAAATGCAAACATCTTTTATTGTTGACCACCGTTATGGACTGGAGTGTAACTCTTAGTGTGACTATTTCCGAACCTAGGTAGGGTTGTAGTACCAAGAGCCTTTTCAGGGGTTATAATAAGCTAAAGTAGAAAGCAAGGACGCATTTTACGAGCCCAAAAAGAGCTAAGAGCTATTAGGTTATCCAGAAGTGTAAATCACGGGCTGATATGGCCGCGTAGTTAGATAAACAACAGATCAGAACACTGCGGATAGCTAGTAGCAGCTAACATGAATAATCCGTCAAACACTATTACTACCATAATTGCGGTTTGAGATGCCTAGTAAATGCTGTGGTCTACGAAAAACAATTGCATAGCAGAGCACAAAGCATTAATATGGCCATTATTTAACCCCTGAGACGAAAAATTTTGGAAATTTTTATAAGTTATCTATTTAGTAGGAAACGTTCATAATGAGCATGCACAGATAAATAAATACTGGTAACATTGCCACAGAATAATACATATTCCACTTAAAATATAGCTTAACGTAGTTAGATCGTACCCATTTATTTTAATTAGCTACTTCTGGGTGTGGTCGCTTGAGGTTTGGTGTACTGAAATCGACCCATGGATAGCGAGCCGACAATTGTTGACGAGTATGATCACTATGACTACGATCGGGAAAAAGTGGTGCCTTCTAAGAGTGGGAGGAATCGTGCGAAAAACGAGATGAAGCACAATTTCAGTACAAATCGTTCTGACCGCATTCACATTGATAACCAAAATAATAACCGCGATAAGCAGATGGAAGCTGCTCGCAAGAAGTTGGAGGCCGACAATTAATACTCTGGGATATTAGTTTCTTGCTGTTACTCACATTTTGTTCATTTGAATCAATAGACTTTTACGCTTCCAGTTTTTTGTTAAGGCTTGCTGATGGAGCTCAAAGTATCTGCATGTCCGTTGAAGTAACCGGGTAATCTGAATTGATTGTTGTCGCTTTTCCTGTCTCGACATGTACCTGATGATATTCAACTTCGAAACTGGAAAAATTGAGTACGTGGGTGATTATCGGAGTCCTCTTCAGGGTGTCCACTGAGGGACCAAATGTAATGGTAGCAGTTACGGAGGCCCAGATCAAAGTATTTTCAGTTGCGTTTGTATTTCTATTTTAGTTAGCGCCCAAACGAGTGATTTGAAGGCGATTGGGTATGGTGCCGAGCTTGGAGGTGGTGAGCGGTAGATTAGGCTCCTCGGTACGTTTTAATTTATCATCAAGGTAAACTCTCCGTGCTTTTGTGGTAGTTATAGACTGACAGCCCCGGGATGCGTTTTGACCTACACGAGTAATTCTGTCTTCCTTATAAGGGGTTTGGTGTGCGGTGGTTTCGTAAGCAAAGTAGCGTCTTGGCACGCTCCTACGCACTGGGGTGGGTTAACCACATCATCTCCTAATCTCAAGTATCAAGTAAGGACCCAGTTTCCCACCGTTTGACGCTACTAGCGCATCTATTCTCACTTAAAGTCTTCATCTGGCAAGCTACGACTGTACGAGGCCGAACCAACGCGAGCAAGACCGCGGAGCTCTGACCGGTCCGTCCGTTGACATCAATGAAGCCCTACCTTATAGTCGCCAACCATTTCACTGTAGTTGCCAGGACCACGTTGGCTTTACCGGCTCATCATCCATGACTGAGGTGGTACGCTCCTTATTTCAGTCTACTTTCGCCTGACTTTACCAATAACGATTCAAAAAGTCGGCACAATGGTACACGACCTCTGAGAATCGGCAGTTAGCAATTAGCACTATCGCAAATTAATCTGTTTTATCAGAAGGTAGGCATTCTAATGACCTAACCTAGCTTCCAGATCGATCTGCTTCCACAAGCGTGACCAAACACCTATACACAAGTTTGCAATGCCTAGGTTGCACTAACTAAACACACTAAATAGATTATATGGAAGACACTTCCGTTTAAAAAAGGGAGAAACGCGGGCGCGTCAACAGCAGATTATAATAAAAAGCAGTGGTAAAAGAATAGCATGACAAGGAGGGATAGTTCATAACCTTCGAGCCCTCAAGCGCATACACATTTGCCTTAATCCTCGGATTCCATCCCCTCATCACCCTTCTCTGCATCCGCCATCGCCAGCACCACGGGGTCGACAATCTCCCTGCGGTTCTTCGGCACTGATGCGGGTGTCACTGGACTACGCCTTAACAGTTTTCCCCCCACCTCTTCTGCATACGGTGAGGCGTCCATGGGTGTCAACGCCGGTGATGTCAACGAAGAAGAGGATGACAGGGGAGAGAGAGCTGAATTCAACGTCAGCTCATGCATCGTCACCATCATCGCAGTGGTATCCCTTGACGTTTCGTCGCCAGCAGCGGCACCGCCCACCGTCGTGGTGGTGGTGGTAGGAGGCGGTGGCGTAGGGCGCGGCTGTGGCACCGAGGAGTCGAGACTGGCGCAGTGACAGCAGCACCCGTTGACGGGGCACTCGATGAGATTGGGCGAAAGAGCACTGGCGCCACCACCGCCGTAGAACCAATCAAAGATGTGGCTTGCATGACCACCGTGACGACAGGCCTGGCACCAAACAAACCAACTGGCCAGACGCAGCGGACCACCGCGACTGGCGTCATCGCTGCCACCTACTACTTCCGGCTTTTTGCTTCTGCGCAGAGGCGGAAAGAGGGAGAAAAAGTAACCGTTAATAAATCATACGATTACAATCCTTTTCCTACTTTTCGTGCTTTCAAACACAAAAGTCTACCATCAAAAACTCGCAGGATTTTTGGTTTCGTAGTTATCTGTAAAGGAGAAAGGAATATCTACTATGACTAAAATCCTATCCCGCGAATTTTCGGGATTTATGTTTTTTCCCATCCCGGAGGAGGACAACCAATGCGTCGGAGTAGTAACCACTCTGTCACCTCCAGGTTAGTGTAGGAGAATTTTTGCACCGTTGCTGTCCTGTAGGAAGCACAAATTCCAGCTAATTGGTCGAATTGTCAGCGGAGAACTGCATTGTTTGTAACATGGCGTTTGACACCAAGAAATCAACGGTACTGTCTAGCTCACGTGACTTACAAAGTCACTTGATCTTTAAGCACAGGAGTTTCCCCACCTGACGGTTCTATTCATTTTTTATTTCAATTTTTGCGTTTTCAGATAATGAATTTTAATGAATACATTCAAGTTAAGTCACCGACGCTACAATCATATCTTTATGCTGTTTAGTTCTTCAGTTTTGTTGAATCACCATTATGCAGCCCCATGATTAAACATCTTCATAATGAAGAACAAGTAACTAAACCAAATTTAGAATAGAATCGAATGTTGACATCGCTAAAGGTGGAAATCGCCCTTTCAAATATCGACAAATTCCACTTAGTTGTCTGGTATGGATTACCACAGACTAAAATGAGTCGGAGGAATGATCTGCGCAGTCTGGAGAACTATCCGCCGATTCTCACCCAATCCACATTTAAATTGAAGAAAACCAATACGGAAAGCAGAGACCGTGGGACATTCACAAATGACACCTCACGCCAAAAAATAAGTCGCCTAAAATACAGCTTGGGTGTTAAAGGAAAATAACGCAGGAGGTGCCATTGAAAACCCTATTTATGCAAATCAAAATTGTGTATTTGGAAACATTAATCATTTTCGACTTGAAATTTTCAACTTAGATGAACTCATCGTGTTCATTAAGTCAATAGGTGTCGGTTTTTTATTTCAAAATACGGAAACTTTATATGTAAAATTAAAAGAATTTAATGCTGAGTGACCCATCGATTGAAGAAAAATCGACATTGACCGGTTCAAAGCTCAAACATAGGAAGCATACATCCGTGTATCATAAGAAAAGCTCACAACGGGATGTTTATCTTCGCCGATTTTTTCTCCTCAGCTGTTTTCGAACTAATGGCGATTTTTAACGATGCAGCACCAGCAGGCGCCTCTAATTGAGTCACTCCGGTGGCGTCTGACACACTGCCCTTGATGGACGAAGTGGCGGTTTTACCAGCAGCGGGAGCTGCGGTCTTTTTGCGGCTAGTCTTCATCTTTGCCTCGGTCAGATCACTCACCTCGGAGCCCATGTGCATGAGGCAGATGGAGCAACGCGGAAGGGGCTTGAGGCAGTGCCAACAGATTGTCTGCTTACCACCACCTGCGTGCATCGAAGTACGGCAACCAGCGCCCGCTCCTGACGCAACGGCAGCTACGGCTACTGCAGGGGCGGCAGTGGGAGTGGCAGCGGGGGAGGGAACGGGCGTAGATGTAGGTTCCTCCACAGTCCCTCGCACCACACCGCCCAGGCGCCAACCACAGTAGATGCACGAGGCGAATATCTGACGGCGTTTAACAGACTTGAATGTAACAGCTCAAAAATAAGGATAGTTAAGGAAGATAAAGTGGATGTAAAAAATAAGAGAATATAATACGATTTTATCGACCCACTGGCAAGAAGTAGAGCATACTAACCTCGTTAAAATCCCTTTAAAAAAAATAATTATCTTGAAATATGGAGAGAAGGAAGATTGCGTCGGCTTTATTATCAAGTCAAGGGGATTTTAAAACCCATCGTGCAGGAGCTTTTTTTATTTAAAAAGATAAAAATAAAACTGGAATTAAAAACTCAATATCTGGGTCAGGTGAGTAAAAGATACGGTTGCTTCCAGCACAGCCTCAACGTTGTTAACATTCACCAGAAGTCAAAGGCATGACCCGACACAGATTGGACCAGTTGAACGCATAAATGCTAAAAAGATTTGGAATCCATACCATTGGAGATGTGTGGCTCTAAGATGAAAGAAATTAACTTGAAATCTCACTAATTTGCGAACACGTGTAAGGATATCGGACACGTTTTTTGTGATCGCCAAAGACATCAAGTGACTCAAAACTTTGTACTTCCATGAAATTGGGTTTCATTCGCTAAATACAATCATATCGTTCAAGCGGCAGAAAGAAAAGAACTCTCACTTTAAAAATTAATTCAAAGATGAGTCCTGGCAATATGTGCAAGTTTTTGGGGAGAGCTATATTTAATCATGTGGTCATGGAAAAAGGGGTCTAAATCGCCTTGATATTCTCTAAATACAAATTTGGCTTTGGGAAGCGATTGCTCCAATTTTTCAACCATTAGCGTGGTTTCGAAAGCATGGCTCCCCTTAAAGACGAGAATTAAAGATTTTGTGGACCAAGAGGCCATCTCGCTAAATTCAATAAGAAATTATTTGATGCTTTGGTGAAAAAACAAGGTTAGCTGCAGCATCTAGGGCGTTCTGAGAAGAAAGAAAGTAATTCAGTATAGAAGTGAGATATGATCAAATATACTGCTTAGCTAGTCGCCTAAAGAAAGATATTAGATTCGATCAAGGCTAACAGACAGACAAAAATAAAGTTTACATTAAAAAAAGGGAATAACTTTACTTTACCTGACTAGCAGCAGCAGGCAGACCAATCCCGCGAACAGGCGTGATCGGTGGTAGGGGTTTGGCAGCGCTTTGGAGGGAGGTCTCCCTTGACGAGTTGCCGCTGAGGCTGCTACTAACAGCACCACTACTGGCTCTGGATTGAACGCTAGCGTAGAAGAAGGGAGTGACGAGACGGGTGGCGTAGTAGTTATCAAAGTCTACCCGATAGAACCACATTCTCCATCGGTCCAGCATGTCACGGTAGCTGGAAGGATGAAAGCAATGACAAATTTGACTCCTCGCCAAAAAGGAAAGGTGCTAAGAGCAGTACACTAAAAAAACTGATGTCAACTTCGGATCTTCGGAAAATTTACAGAATTTGTGTCTAGCACATGGGTAGACGAGGCGTCCAGACGCATACTTAGGTAAGCAGTGAATATAACAGAGGTGAATTATTTCAACTTTGCACTTCTATTTTTCCGCAACTGCCTTTAATTCAAAATGTTAATAACGGCGAGAGGTAAACTGCTTTTCACCTTGTTTTAGGTTTAGCTTGATGTGATTAACATGCGGACGATGGGGAACACAAACGAGTAAGAAGGCCACAAAACCCAACTTTTGGGCAATTTGCTTCGTTGGATGGCTCAGGGTTTGGGGTCGTAAGCAAACAGTGGTGAATTTAGATAGTGTTTGCTTCAACTATTTGAGCAAGTGTGCAAAATGAATAGGATAATAACCAAGAAAACTTGTATCTTAGGGGATAAAAGACGTCGTGTTGAATGAAAGCGTTTCCACACTATGGCAATTAACAAAAATCTAGTTTTTGATAGTATAAACTGATGAATAGAACAGAATAACAGAGATCTTTAGAAAAATGCAAGTTACTTTAGTGAGTTTCATGTCTTGAATCGTTAGAGCTTTGCGTGCCAGTCAAAGACGGAAAATGCCTATCAACATTGCAGTGTTAGAAAATTATTTTGTGGACTTGACTTGGACACATTTAAGCGGTATCACTTTCCTTGAAAAAACTATTTGCTCTTCTGTCCTCCCACAGTTCAAGAAAGCTCAAAATCAGCGAGGGTATGAACGAGAAATTAGCAGAGCTCACGAGCTTCATAAATTACTTTGACCGGCCCAACTACACAAATCTTCAACCCATGGCGTCATCGCCACGACCTCACAAACAAAGATGCATCAACAGCGATGGATCAGTGACCGACGTCTCAGTCGCACTTCAGTTTCACTATCCAGTCGATTTAGAATGTTTGCACGAACGATTGATCGGCTCAATTAACCATCAGTCGTACAGGCCCCCACCTTGGCCAATGGCTAATAGACACCTATCCGTTCGCCCTGATATTCTCGCCGCCTCAAAGATTCGGTCCTGTGCAGATCTGTGTTTCACTAAAAACCCCGTTGTTTACGGCTAGAAGTTTAGTCTAAGAAATCAGGATCACATACTATGACGGTGAAACTACCCGATCCGCCAACTTGATGGAGGACTCGTAGAAATATACATACAGTATATAGAACTAAAAAGTTAGAAGCCGCTAAATTACGGCGCAATTGGTTAGAATGAAAACTATAGTTTTTCAAAGTATTTAAGTTCGAAATGTGGAGTCGGCCAAATTTCGCCAGTAGATTCCTTTTAATAATCGTATCACTTATATAAGTCGCATAGAATGGTTTCCATCATGATCTCTGTATTAGCTATGTGCAGCTCTTTAAACGTCATCTAGAATTCGGTCCCTAGACAATTCTTAGACTTACCCAATAATTTTACACAGCACCAGGAAATGTAACGTCTAACGCCACCCTTGGCTAAAAACGTGCCAAACTCAACATCAATTGGGGGATGGAATGAGGTGGCTACTTCTCAGTACATTCACGATTGCAATCAGTTACTCAGTGATTTTTCATGAAGTGATAATAGTCGATTCAGAAGGAATAAGTGCGACTGTTTCTGTGAATTTCATTCATTCACGGCATTATCTTCTCAAACTATGAAAGATTGCAGCAGGGATTCCCTGTCCATCGCATCATAGTCACAGTAAATTATGAATGATTCCGAAAGTGCCATCGATACCGTTATTGTTGATTACTTCTGCAAATTTTGGGCAGTTATTAAGACTCTTGACAGCGATGACATCTTGGATACCACAGCATTACTTTGAAAAAAAAGAAAACTTCAGCGCTCAGCAGACGATGGGGTTCGCCTTTTGGTGCAGTGGTCTTCTACATCTCTAAGAGAGCTGCTTACTCTCTAATGGCATGCCATCCGATTTTAACAAATAAAAAAGTCAAACGCCCGTTAGATAACAAAATGAAACACTTACGTTTCTACCCAGTTAGCCAGTTGCCTACCACCCAGTTTGGCAACCATTTTATCAGCCGACGGTGATGCCGCATTGGCCAGCCCTGTAGCAGACAGAAGAGACGACCTGTCGGCCCCATTTCTGTAACCTCGCAAACGCATTCGGCTTTGGCCAGTGCCAACGACGCGAGCTGCTGCGGGCGTAGAGGTGGTAAGGGTAGTGGTGGTGGCGGCAGTGGCAGCGGTGGAAGTGGGAGGAGCGGCGCGACGACAGAGGTAGCAGGCGTGGAGTCCAAGGATGGCCGCAGTCTGCACGTCGAATGTGAGGTCCACGTAGTGCTGCAGTAGGTCGAAGAAATGGCCCGAGGAGAGGCCTGTCAGCAGTACTGCCTCCAGACGACCGTCACCAAGCATCCGGTGGAAGGTTGAGAGCACATACTCACTCAACTGTAGTGTGGGAAGGAGGAGACAGAAAATATCATAGGCATAGCGGCAAAATGGAGTTCTATTATGTGGAAAGTGGATGGAATTACTTACTATGAGATGTCCAAATTTCAGAAGCAATAACTCCACTGTGTCTATTCTTGCATTTCTTGACGATGCTGCTAATACAAACTTTGGAGTAATTCGTGGATAAAATTAGCAGCTATTTGTGATTACCTTTTTCTGTTTTAAAATAAGGGTAAAGCGGATGCCTGTATCCAATAAAATCGAATGATGTGATATGAGAAAAGGGCAGACGCTCTTGACATGCAACGTTAATAATTTCTGACCCCAACAATTTCCAATATAGACACATTAAATGTTGACCAAACAGCTTCATGCGACAATAATAATTCAGCAACCATCCCTCCAAGTTTCGAATTTATGCGCTTACCAAAGACAGTAGCGGTTACTTGGGTTCAATGTGTAACGTACAAAAGAAAAAAGGCATGGAAATGCGGCAAATAAGTGAGAAATGGAACAATTATGAGAAACTTACCTTATCATCGTTGAGGTAGAGGCACGCAAAGGCCAGACGGTCGATGAGAGAGAGACTTTCGTTTTCCTGAAAGCACAGTAGGATTGAGTTAAAAATCTGTTAAGAATTAAACGTTGAAGATTAAGGTAATTCAGAATTGAAGCTATTCAGCCGATTCTGACTGAAAATCTAAAAATACCAGGCAGAGTATAGTCTTTAAACTTGGCTGAAAAAAAAGGAAAAATCCGTCCGAAACCAAGACAATTTACAAAGATAGAATTGATTCCGGATGATACAAAAAGAATGCATCTCATTTGTAGAAAAATGGCCCAGATTTGATTTTTTCCGGTTGTTATAAAAATACTCAGAGTTGGACGATTTCTCAAATCAGTAAAGTGTCTACTGGAGTCTCTGGTTAATCATAGTCAAGCTTCAAATTAGAGATGAAGCAAACAGGTAAGAATGTTGACAAAGTATAGCAATTGCACAAGTCTATAAGGCACCTAGCATGAGGTAATCTTCAGATCCAACCCGATTAGTTGAGGCTGGCCAAACCCATCAGGAGATGCATAAACAACTCTTCCCTTAAAGAGCATTGAAAAGAAATGGGTTTGGAGGATTCGTGAACGAAGATGAAATCATTGAAGAAAATGATGAAAGCGCGCCATTCAAAGAAGAGTGGAAGATTTTAAACACAAATGTACAATTCTAGCCCAGAGAACTTAGAAATTTATGAAGCCCAAGCTACTGAAAATACGAACGATTATGGGATAAACAACGGGATCGGGGAACCACTGGGCGAATTTGCAATTAAAAATGCTTCAAGAAACAGGAATAAGAGGACTTCCTTTCAAAAAAATCTAAGTGACAAGAGCTAACAAAGATCAAAATGCAAGTTATGAAGCTCTCTTGCCAGTAGAAAAAGATATGAAATTCCATCAAAAATAATGTAAGACTCCTTTGAGAAAAGACTTCACCAAAGAACATATTAATGAAGCTGCAACTATTTTGGGATTCGTGATTTACGTTCGACATGATACCCACCTGTGGTTTTCAGAAACGCCACATATTTTTTAACTTAACACGCATATTTACAAATTTAGTTGACAAGCGAACGCTATATGAATGGGTAAAAATTCATTGGAAAAGAATCTGCTTGAAATAATACAATATGGGAACCAATCTCATCGGAGCATATGTTTAAAGCATAATGGTTGGCAGTTTTAGCTAACCGGAAGAACATGTACATCGAAGTAATTCTTCAAAATCGTGCATTGGGGGATATTTGAGAAAAAAAGAACGGATTCGGGATGGTGCAAAAGGTCAAAGGGAATACGTAAAAAGGATAAACATCATTATGTATTTCTTAAATATCGCTATTACTACTGGGTCAAAATAACATCTCAATTATGATGGCCTCATTTTCTAAGTCAACTGTGAAATTCGCAAAAGATACTTAAATACCAAAAGTACAACCGACTCAAGTAGGTCAGAATAAAACACCGTCTTCCATATCACATTATAGATTAAAGAAAGTACGTGGAATAGTAATAAAGCCGGAAACGATTTAAAAAAGTCATGCCATTACCAAAAGGGCGGAAAGTTACTGAAAAAAAGTTGGTTATAGACAAACGGTGTAGCAGCAAAACCAATCTCGGAACAGCTGAGGTTAGTAAAGATAAGAGGCGTGTGAAGTAAATTGGCAACAAACTGGCTAAAGTGCAAATAAAGTGGATACACTTATTGGTACAATTTCTTAAAATGTTAAGCTACTAATATCCATCAATTCTCTGAAACCAGTTCCATTAATCGAACAAGTGCCAATATGAAGGATAGCAACCAATTCACAAACAAAAGATAGGGATGGCTTCTCACAAGTATTTCCATGAAGTCGACATCGCTGGAAAAGTCGCCACGAGCGACGGTGAGGAATTTAAACATAAGGCGAAGGTAGGGGTTGTGCAGCCGGCCCAGTACGTCAGCGCAGGCGTTGCGCCAGAGGTGATTGCGAGAGTCGGAGAAACCTGATAGCGCCAGCCCGATCAAGTCGGTTTCTGAGGCAGTGAGCGCGGTGGCGCTCGTGGAGACAGCCGAGGCGCCAACCACCTGGTCCAACTCAGTCTCAATCTCTTTCGTACGACGATCTGTAAAAAAGCTTTTCCCAAATAATAAAGTTATTTCCATTTATTACCATTTGAATGGAATGAAAACTCCAAGTATCCAAATGAAAAAAATGAGTTGCAAAAATGACTGACATTTTTTTTTTGAAAAGGGTTAATCAATAATTTGCGGGATATTTTTAAATATAACATTGCGAAAAAGCGTTTTAAAAAAATATCTGGAAGTTTAGGATTACACCCGATTAATTCACCCGATTTTTCCAAGTATGTAGGATCTTTGTTTTTGCACACAAAAAGTAACATGAATGGAAGAGAAATACCAACAACATAGAAATACATTTCAAATTAATTGCAGATTTGACAGATAACCATCTTCATGAAGGGGACCAGAGTTATTTGTGAAGTGGAATTAAATTAATCAAAAGTGGTCTGTGATTTAACCTAGAAAACCTGGAAAATTATCGCTGACAAGAAGTCGCACTAGGTTGAATTAAAATAATCAGTTTTTAAGGTCTGGGATACATAATCATAAAGTATGCCATAAAACAACTTCAATCTATTTGTGTGAAAACTTTTAAATGTAATATATTAGCCCTCGGATCTAAAAAACGCAACAAATTTAGACTAAAGGAAATCAGTAGGAAGTGTCGCAATGATAGGAGACATTTTGTAGAACCACTTTCTTGAAAGCTTTCACAATAATCATAAAGGTGATGCTGGATACGCGAGGGGAATTATCTACTCTTATGACGGAAAAATAATTATAATAAAGCGAAATTTAATGGCAAATCTTTTTCTCAAACCTTATTTTCAGTTTGTTACACCAAAGAAAATTTGACAAACTAAACGAAATTGAAAATGACAGCCTATCTTTCCGCCAAAGGTAACCGACGACGGAGGCATAAAGGAAAAAACTCCTTCGATTACCTCAGGTAAGACAAATCACTTACACTCCGAAGCACGTGAAAGAAAACTGAGAGCCCAATCGAATTGGAGGTTGATAAGAGCCATTGCGGCGGCCCGCTCGAACTCCAGATTAGAGCAAACGCTGAAATCGGGGAAAGGAAGCAGGCCGACGGTCAGGTGGATAAAGTAATATTCGTGAGTAGGGAAAAGTGCAGAAAAAAAATAAACCTTTCGAAGACCCGACGCTGTACATCTGCCGGGGCGTCCAGTGGCCACATGCACATTCGCAGAACTCGCGATCTAGAGGGATACAAAGTTGTCTCCAGCTTCTTCAAAGTTATAAGGAAATTTGAAATGATGAGAATCATTGAAGCACCCAGTTTCAAAAGAAGACATGTTGAAAGTGAAAAGACAAGAAGAGAACCCAACTATCTTGAAAATAATTTTGGAACAGGAATCATTGCTATTGCATAAAACTTAAAACCCTTGTAACAGGTGTTAATTTCGGTCTTACCAGCAACAAAAGTGTTTTAAATAAATATTATAATGACGCTCAAAGAATGAAAATGTAGTCCTCGTAGCTATTTAGCCTATGACACTACTCTGTCCTTTTGTGTGATTCAATTTTTAACACAAATCATCTCCCGTACGTTTCAAAAATTCCGGGAGTTCATAGAGCAATACGTGTATATCTGATTATCGGTAAGTCTCAAGCAATATTTTTGAATAAGAATATGTCCTCAAGTATAATTTCGGGGAAAAAAACCGGAAAAAGGCATACGAGTTGTAGATTAGGAAAATCGTAATCCAACATAAACACGTAGAAAGGAAAAAACAAAGAAATCGCATTTCGAAATCTCTGCCTTCATATCAAGTATTTATGTATGTCCAAATAATAAATGCAGAAATTACATTTAACACAGTTGCAGCAATAACTTTTGACGAAAAAAGTATTTTTTATATGGCAAAATGAAAATCCGGTCAGTAGAAAAAGTGAAATTATCAAGACCAATCTCCTGCATTAAGGAGTTGAAGATACACGTACCAAGACTTGGTTGATACCAGACTAAGTGGAATTCAAAAAAAAAAATAATTGAAAAAGAGGCTGAGAGATTCTTCAAAGTCAGGGGAAGTGAGGATATGCGATTACCGCTTGGAACTGCTGTATCGCGGGAAAGGTAAATGCGCGTCAATTCCTTGCCAGTCAGCCCCGTCAATGGCTTTGGAGGCCGTCGGCTCGTCGCCACAGAGGATCGCCAAGGCGCCCTGACAGCGCAAACCCGTGGTGATGCCAGTACGACCACGTACCCCACCCCAGGTAGGATCCTGGCCTTTAAGGGATAGCAGAAGGAAGTAGGGGGCAATTCGGAATTCCTAAGTCATCGACTACCATTACACCGTTCAGTCACTCGAGTGACAAATTAACAAATGATGAAAATAAGTAAAAATGACCATGTAATTTGACAACGTTCAGAGCCAAGGTCTCGCAACCGAATAAGCATCAGGAATAGAAACTAGCAATACGGCCAGCTCAATGTTAAGGAAGGATCACCTGATTTTTTGGCCAGAAAAAATAAACACTACGATCCACTAACAAGTTATAACTTTTATTCCAAGGTGAGGAAAAAACATTTAGGAAAAGCTAGGAAAACTCCAAGGTCAAAATTCCATGCGGATCTACTAGGATTAGATGGCCCAAACCTGAATATCTTTAAAGTGCTTTGCAACATTTCAAGGAATTTCCAGCAAGGAGTCTTTCAAATGGTAGTGACCATGGGGAAAGTATATCCGATTGATTTACTTAAGAAGCTTTCAATTAAACAAAAAACGCCACACTAGGATGGTAAGAATGGGAGAGTACAAACTCATAAAATGTTCCGCCACTGTCGAAACCAATACCACTGAGACACCATGAATTTCTAAACACGTGATCTGATAAACAGCATGTTCTTACAAGAAATTACAATAGACCAACAACAAACTGGCCATGTAGGCATAAATAATTTCTATCACGAGAGAAGGAAACAAATTTCACAAATGATCAATTAAAAGTTGCGTGTCTATGGCACTATTGTGTTATTTTTATGAATGTTAATATTCACTTGTATGGATTTGACGACCATCACTTTTAATTAGTTTATACCAAATGACCGAAAATATGTGAGGGAGCAGCATTTTGCGTTTGGTTTAAATTTGGGTTCGAAATACCAAGTACTTCCATGGAATAAAGAAATATGACAAATAAAACCTCACGGCAGAGAAATAACCTAAATAATCGAGTTGCTCATTTTTGCCTAATGTTTAGGACCGTGATTCGTAGTATAGGACAAGCATTTAATAACTTGTTTCTTACGGCATACTCAAAGCAATACTCTGCGTCATTTGCAAGGATATCCAAAGGCCATAATTTTTTTTCAAATTAACGCATCAGCAATTTTTAAAATGAAGGTAGAGCATAGAGAAGATAGGCGGAAAAACCAGTCTATGCGTCATTTGGAGAGTACAGGTTTCATTGCAACAGTCGAATGTAAAAAAATTAAAGACAGATTAACGATAAGTGAAGATTTATTAACATAGATCCAGTCAATGAAATTGATCCACTGACATTTAAACAGCTTGTGTAGATCCATTTGCAAGCAATGATGAGCTTTCTATGCATTTTAAACACTACAAACGGCCGCTACTAAGCTAAATCAAATTAGCAAACAAGAATAAAGACCCTAAACGTGATACTTGATAGGAAATGAGCTAAAACAGAAAAATTCATTTATTGAGACCTAATATAAATCCAAATACGGAATCGAAAACCTCTTAACTAACGGAATGCCAGCTTTTAGAAACAAAATAGCATCATTTAATTTTCCTGTCAAAAAAAATATGGGCAGCGTATCTCTTGCAATTGCTGTAACCAAAATGTCAGTATCGATGGAAAATATGCGCCCATTCATAAACAACTATGGTATTTCGTAACTCAGTGGTCTACGCAGAATTATTCATGGTAAACTCCCAAATGACATAGGAATTGAGTTCAAAACATGATTAATAACTTCTTCCGGGGGAGAAGCACCAAGAGCAACGCTCACTTTTTCCATAGGGTGCCCAATCCTCAACGCATTCCTGAAGATCTGTCAGAGCGCGGATTTAAGGAGAAATACGCACACGGAAGGTGGGAGGAAAGACAAGCTAACACAAAAAAATATTCCATCCCAAAGAATACACTCAATCAGGATCCAAAGGCTCCTGAGTTGGGGATCGTCCGCCACTATCTCCGAATACGGTGTCTCCACGACCTAAATAGGTATCAATGAAGTGTGAAATTGAACGCGTATGCCAGATATAATTTGGTTAGCAATTAAAAAGACCACTACATCGAAATAGAGAAAAAAACACGTCCGCTTCTAAAGCAAAACCTTTACAATTAACTACCAACACTGTCTAACCATTTCAGAGTTGATGCGTTTGGGCAATGGATAACGCAAAAGTCCTAGGTAGATGTAAGGCGATAAAATAGCGACGAAAGACGGACAGTTTCCAGGCTCGAATCCCGTAGTTTGAATAACTCTACTTGCATGAAATGCAAACTATCAGACATTGTCTCCCGAAGAGACCAAATTGTCCGTCTGTTGGCAAATCCTAACAGGCCCCGCCAACTAGGTGCCCAACTTTGTAGCAGAAGTCCACTATGATTAAATTACCAATGTGAACAAAGGGCACAATAGCACGGTAATGAAAATAATCGAACAGTATGAAAATGGCTGTGCCAGGATTGCCAACAAGGCCAAAATTTAGAAGCATTTCCTTACTTGAGCTTGTCTAATTCTCATAGAACCCATTTATAATGTCATCACCGTTTCTAAGTGGACAAATACTGTTGAAGTGGTGGGTTAAGTATGCACAAATTAGAACCTACCAGTTTCCAACGAAACCTTTGAACGATCATAAATCAAATGCTTGTTTATTACCTCTAATTGTTTGCACTACCGCATTACTTCTGTGAAGTAAGTTACATTACAAAAATAGAACGATTTTTACAGGCCAACTAAAACAACCCCAGAGTAGTGTGAAGGATAAATACAAACCATAGATACCCATAAGAAAAAAAAGAATGTTATGGATGAACTGCCAAAAACATCGAAAGAGAATGGACCACTACCGAAGCGATCCAATAAGTAGACTAAAACCACATTGCCGAAGAAACGGACCTCAAGACCATAGCCAGCATCGGCACGTTTCTGCATTGCCGAGTCGAGGTTGGCATTGAACTTGGCAGCCAACTGCGCGATGCCATTTGCGAAGCGCTCAGATAGACAACTACGGCGGTAGAAGTGGCGGTGACGAAGAGATGGTGCCGAGGGGGAGGAGGGCGGCACCACCGCTCCTTCCTGTTCCACTGCACAAATGCCGGAATGCTCGAAGGTGTAGCCACGAGGGCCAAAGAGACCTGTGCGGTCAAGTCCCAGCCAAGCGGAACTGACTGTCCACAATAGTGTGTGGTTGGGCGACCAAGTCTATGAATCGAGGATTATAAGACCTGTTGCATTAGACGTATCCATATTCTTAAAGCAGCAAGAAGCAAGGGAATTGAGACCAAAAAATTGGTTGGATGTAATGTAATGGTTTGAGGTCAACAGCACGTTTACAAGGAGTGCACGCTGACACGCAAAAATCCTTCAAGCTATAGTTTTTAAATCCATATTTACACTACTTTACTTTATGAGTCTATGCGAGGGATCAACAAGTAACCTGTAATTAAGTAGTTCCATGTGTTTAAGAATACGGACATGAAGAACAAAGTGTACAATTCAATACATATCCAAACTGTTTACTACAATGATACAACAGAAGTTCAAAATAAAAGAGGACTTCTCTAGAGCTCTGGAAAACAAGTTCTGCGCTACACCATAGGGTGGTCTAAGCATCGTTAAGTAGATTCACGAGATTTTGGGAAGACCTGCCTTTATGGACAAAGGTAGCAAGTCTTCCATAGTAACATCAATTGGTATTGGTGAGGGCATAGCTATAAGAAAACTTTAGGTATAGTTTTCTGAATGAATTTAGATTTGAGTGAATCAGACCATTCATGGAGTGGAATGAGGGCATAGCTCTGCATTAGAGAGGAGGAGTTAGAAGCACAGATACGCAATTATGTTAGTCATTGTCCTTATTCAGAGATGATAGATCACGTGCCAACTCACAAGAGCGGTCATTTCGTTGACCTTGGCGACGTTAAGACAACCCATATGATCGATGGTGATAATGCAATTTACAATGGAGCCGTGCCACGCGAAAGAGACAAAGGGGGCAATAGTCCCGGTCACGGCACTTCCGTTGTCGTCTATCCTTGCTGCACAAAAAGGGGTACTGTTACAGTGTAAATGGCATTTTTTATAAAGTGCAGAATCACAATATTCTGAATAAAAGAAAGGTTCAAAATAACTAACGTTGAAACGGAATATGCAATTTTTCTATTCAGAGGTAGCCCGAAAACACCGCAGACGCTTCTTTTTTACTACGAAATCAATACAAAGGTTTTCAGCCTTCTCTTAGTAAAGAAATCGCAATTTCAAATCATGATTAATGATTAACAAACCTTTAGAAAATTACTGAATTTTAAAACCGGCTAACATGATCCGAACCATAATTTTACTGTGATTTTACTAATTTAGACAAAGATATACCTGTCTTTTTGACATAATCGCGATCTAAAAATCAAATTTGTGAAAACTAGTCTAAACTGAAGGGCAAATTTTTAGAAAAAAAGAGGTAAGTCCCAGTCTTTAAAGTAAAATAGACCGTGAACCACCTATAACACCAAAATTAAGTCTCGAAAACCTCCAACTTTTTGAAATATTCTTTCAATATTGTAATCTATCGAAAAAAGAAAGCCACACTTCAATTCGAACCCGTTGGTTTCATCGAAATTCACTCCAAAAGGATTTCATTCTCCTAATCGTTTAAGCTCATTGTTTCGATACATGGACTCCAAAAAGTTTTACTGAACCTTAACAAGAACACCGTGGAGGGCACATGTAATGAAATCTCAACTATCCTATGAGTTACTTCTTGAATGGCAAGAAGTGACATTATCTAATAAAGGTGAATATAAGCGACCTGCCTTTTCAAAATTATTAATTACTATTGGTGCTTCCCAGTGCCTTCAACATACTGAGACTGATGGAACACCATCGGCGATGAGATCTGAACGGAAAAGCAGAGCACTTACAGGTGGTAGCACGTAGTTCAGAGAGAAATTGTTCACACTCTTCCATGGGACGTGAGAAAGTGAGAAGAGCGTTGTAGACTCTAATGTCCACAGAGTCAGCCAGCAGGACGCCCAGCCAGCCCTCTCTGAAAAGGTAACAAGAAGGAAGAGTTGGGTTTAAACTAACAGCATTAGCATAGGTTGTTCACAGTTGTTTACGGAGTAATGTCAAGATAAGGAAATATACCATTCCAAAGTGGGGACTTGGGACGAAATTTGGGAAACCTTACCGACAGAATTTGTTGTCTAAACAAGATAATCTGATTGCATCAATGTAAACTATTTCAAGACTAATCGTAAACGTAAAAAGGATGAGTTAGAACAGAACTGAGTAAATCTCACCGTTACTAGAAATTTAAAGTTGGGGAATCTTTCAAGCTCAGAGTCGTCATGTCCAAAAGTGCAAAATTCAGAAATCAAAAAAAAAAAAAAAAAACAAAGACAGTTTCAAATGCATCCGGTTTATTGTAAAAAGATGCTTTCCTATTAAAATTTTACGGAACAGAACTATGGGGGGCATTTACGGACAGAGCGTGATATGTTCAATATAACGAAACTAATTGCGTACGGCAAACACATGGAGTGGAATTGAGGGTAATTTACAGTTACACGAGGTTGAGAGATGCGGAATATTTACACTCTGAAATTGGCATAAAGCTAACTTGTTACGCGCTCATTAGAATGCAAGAGAAAGAAGAGCGCCGTTTACTTACAGCCACTCAAGTGTGGCAGGGTAAAGCTGTCGCTACCGAGTGGACATCCATAAACATGGGCATTGTAGTCTGATAAAATTACCAAAGTTTGTAAAGATTCGCAAAATGACGGTCGTAATAACATCCAGTTAGCAATGATGAACACCAAGTATTTGTTACCAACTAGACATCGCAAGTTTAATCGCCTTTTCTAAATTTGGTAAACCACTCTTCATTAGAACCTGTGGTACAAGCAGAATATGTACAAAAAAATAAACGGAATGTTGCTGCCTCAAAGTACGAACAGTATTTTCGCGAAGTATTAGATTAAACAGAAAATTGGCACTGCTTTCCATGAACGATCGGCAATCGCTACAGCTATCACCTCTAATCAGTCACATGCGACATTGAAAAATCATGACACTGACCAATTTGCCTCAAACCTGGCAAAAAGCGATTGGCATTGCAAAAAGCAATAGTAGTCATCACTCAACATACCAACACCCACCTCAATGGACTCCATTTCATACAGACAACCTCCTTTCGTTCCGAGAAAATATAAATCTACAAAGACGAAAGACGGCGTCAATGGGACAGGTAGTGGAGAGGGGTGAATCATGCATAAAACAACAAAGTAGAGAATGGTTACCGGTTTTTCAAGGTTTTCTGAAGTCCAAAGACCGATTTGGTTCTGGCCAAAGTGTTAAAAAAGCGTGTGGTTGACGAGATTGGCAAAGAAAGTTGCAATGCTTAAAACGAAAGTACCATGCAGGTAACAATTGCCAAAATAAAAAATTTCGGAATTTAGTACTTCGTGAAGCATTCTATGGCCTCTGATCCCTGTATTGTTTTTTGAATTCGATTTGATAATATGCGATAAAATGCAAATAAACAGAACTGTTTTATTTCATAATATTTCAACTAATTTCGACAAAATACAGGAGAATAATTCTATATGCGTGAAAAAAATGAAACGCAACACAGTTTTTAAAAAAAACGACCCCTTGAGGCAGGTACATGTGCTAATAATAAGAAAATGCAATCAATCGGCCGCGCAAAAAAACTATTCCAAATAACCAGAACTGAATTTGCAAAAAGTGGCCCTTGATTTACCTGACAGAAAGAGGCAAATCTGGTTGGCAAGAGAGGATCTGAAGTTAGCCCATTGACAAGTCGCGTCTGAGTCATTTGGATGGTCTTTGCAGTGTCTGAAAATCCAAAAGCCCACAGATTTTTATCCATAATCCTTATACATACTTGACTGCAGGAAACAGGGCATTGGGCGCAAAACTGGATGGAGAGAAGAGGTCAGAAGTCGCAAATGAATTGCACAACGCTAAATAGCAACCAGTAAAAAAAACAGGAACAATGAACAGCAAGAACACACTGGTTTAAAAGTAGTTTTGAACATAACTTACCGGAAATATCATAGAGTTTTATGTGACGACTAGCAAGACCAACAACAAAGGAGTTCTTCGAGACCCATGCAAACGAAACCACACTTTCATTTTGGCCTAAAATTAGGAAGAGGAACATCCAAAGCAAGAGAAGAAGGCGAAGCAGAGCTGAAATAAATACGAGGTTGTGGCATAAGAAGTAAGCATACAAGCATCACAGAGTGGACGATCACAAAACGAATGCATTCGCCTGTCTTTGACATAGGTGTCACCGGCGAATTTGTCCATGTTGTAGAGAGAATCAGCTGGGAGTCCACTGGAGAATTCAGAGTTAGCGTTTGTAGCAAACTGTTGCTTAGCCCCCGTTTCTCGAATGACATCCCATACCAGAACGGACGAAGCACGATTGTGCTTTCCACGGTCCAAACCCTGGGCCAACTGAAATTGAAAGCGTTCAACACCGCACATAAAACAAGTGTGTCAACAAGACAATTATGAAACGAGACGAACAAGACTTGTCCTCCATGGGTTCCAGTGTAAAAATGCGCTAAATCGACTTGCGTGAGAAACTAGGAGAGCTCGTACTAAGCTGGCGCTTACTCAATTCCTTATTGTTTAGGCAGAAGTGATCCTGGCGCGGATCAACACGTTGAAGGCTAAGGGTGGCAAATAAAGAAATTAACAATACCTTGTAAGCTTGACACTTCCTGAAGAAAGGCCAACTGCTACGAGATAGGATGGGATTATTGGACCCTCGATTTTTATGTCTAAACTTGGCCTCCAAGCAAAAGCCTAAGTGTCAGCGGAGAACTGGCCAACATTTACCTTAATGCTGCTGTGCCCAGTGTTTGTATTTAAAAGAGTCAACTTAAACTTATATCTGTCGCCGATAACCTTAACTGTTATTAAAATATCAAATGAACTAAAATGCTCACATTTTCGTCCAGATTCTGAAAGAGATCCATCAAAATCGGTGATTCTTAGCAAAAAGATAATATTTTGAAAAATAACACAGAAACGATCTTCATGGTTAGGAGACCAGACGATATCAGTAAGACCCGTCATAGCCTAAATGAGAACAAATCCGACGACTGTGCACTCAGGTCATAAATTTTTCAGAATTCTCGGCTTTTACTGGATCTGTGAAGGCCAGACAGCTCTTTCGGTCGGTGACTGTGCTTTCTAACCACGTTGCCCAACATCTACTGCCTGGTAATGTTATTCAAAAACCCAAGTTTATTCAAAATTTGGCTTAAGCCTAAAGTTTATTTGCCTAAAACTTGCTAACAGGAAAGTTGCATTAAAACCACCAACTTTAAATGTCTTTTTTAGAAAAATTAAATAAACGTGCATTGTGCACAGAGTCATATAAAATCAGCCGAATCTAAGACAAACTTGGCACATATCGAAGGGCGGACAGAGCACGTATCCACGCATACTCCTCAGCTACTTGACAGTTCTTTAAAGCAAGACAAACATTTAACAATGTGACACATGTTATTCTGCGGAACGCGAATTTTGTGGATCAAGATCTTGCCTTTGCCTTCTTTGCTACTTCTACTAGGATTATTTTGCTGCAGTAATGTATGCCATTTTGGGTAAGTAAATTGCGTAACTTCCATACTAAGTGCCTTAAAACTGTTTAGGAATACTACGAAAATATTTCCTCCCTGCTTTTTTTTACATATGCTTACAATTATCCAAAGTTTGACCTTAGAGGGTAAAGCAAAAAAATCTAATGACAAAAGCTTGCAATGAATTAAGGTTGGTTTTATCCTTTTTTTTCTAAAAATCAGTGAGCAATCTAAATGAGTTTTGATATATCGTACTAATCTTACTGGTGTAGGCAGCCTACAGTTCTGCTACACTGGTCCACATATACATTGAGCGTCGTAGATTTGCACACATGATCCGAGTTTTGCAGGATACTAGTGCAAAGTCCGCAGTATAGGCGATTCTGAGAAATCTGACTGCTATTTAACACAAACTTTTTCCTTCTAGCCCACTAATTTCAATGTTTCTGGTCCTACTATGAAATGGAAGACATTCATCAACAGGTCAATATTTTTGAAGTAATCATTGCGTTTGTAGATCGAATCAATCATGAACAAGGTTGCAATCTTACCTGCAACCGAACGTCAGTTGCTTCTTGATAAAATAAAACGTTCCGTCGACCAGACGGAGGCAATATGTTCTGGCAAACAACTTGACATAATTCCCAATTTATCGGACCATAACCCAGCTCCCATCGGTCCTCCTCAGGTAGACTTTAATATTTTACACCTATTACGTTCCTTATTCAGGCGAAGATACCACCACAGTCCAAGACACCTGCAGTAACGTTCCAGAGAAAAATCAGCCCTTCAGCTAGGAGACGTCTAGACACCATCGGCACTGTCACCTCCGTCACAAGCGCGGTACCGGGTAAACCGCAATTGACACTTGCCTGTCCCGTGTGCGATCTGAAGGCTACTAGCTGGCAGAAGTTCTCTCACCATCTCCACACTGGTCACAATCAGTCATCAGTAACTTCGGTGTGCCGGCGCTGCCATGGTATGTTCCGGAACCACGCTCTCCTTCTGGCACACGAATGTTTTCGCTGGGGACGCACAAACCTTCCCTGTGCCGCTGTCTATTCCTCCATTGAGGATTCGCCTATCCTCAACGACTTCGGCTTCCCCCGCGAAGGTGTCTATCTTGAACGGCGTTGTGGGCTTTGTCTCACCTCAGATGTAGTTTACTCGAATTTTGAGCAGTACGAAAGGTAGGTTAGGTATTTCTATTTTAATATAACCTAGTTTTCCATGCTTTAAGTCGTTATTTGTGTATGTTGTTTCTGAAACATCCAGAATAAACTGCATTAAAACACTAGTTGCCAGCGTCTGTGATGCGTTGCAAGCATCTTTGGGGAGTCTGAAATGGAAGCTTAATGTACATGTAGCAAATATCTAAATCATGGTCATTGTGATGCAGCTAAATAGTCACCATTTTCGAAGACAGCAAATGTTTTGCAATGGAACGCATTGAAAGACCTCGACGGCATAAACTTAAGGAACTGAGGTAGATTCTTTCGGCAGAGTATGGTACAGTGAAAGTATAGGACTTCGAAATATGAATGGGAACTCATGAAAGCATGTAATTGGAATCGGCTATTCATAGAAGTGGTACGGAGCGTATTAAATCCAATCGAATTTATAGTTTTGAAAGTAGTATGACTTGACTTCAATGAAACAATTCATACGTCTGAGTGGGTTGCTTCCTAGTCAAATGAATGAAAGCAATTTAATTAACAATGAAAGCGACTTACGAAAATTCGAGTGGCGAAGTTAATCTGCCCTCGTCCAACCATTCAAAAGCAGTCTCTTCACCTCACAAGCGTTGATTGCTTTTTCGTTGTAGCAAAGGGATTTGCCGTATTTTGACCTCTTTGGTCATTGATGAGCCATAATCCAACTAGAAGTACATTCACTGATGCAGAGTTATTGTTGCCTGGTATCTAGGCTTTCTAAAATTCGCTTCGAAACCTTCTTAGCGTGAAACATTGCATCTCGCATTGTTATTTGAATTCCTAACATCACTTGAAGTTAATAAGAGTAAGAATTAATGGAAGGCTCTGATGAAACACAGTTACTTTAATTCATCGAAGTCGTTTATGCACTGAAGTGTTTTTTCGTGAAAGGGTTATTATTTGTAAAACGCAATGTATGAAGTGGAATCTGCATGCTTGCTGCCTGATATTAGTTTCTCCTCTTTAGGCATAAGTACGAAGAGCACGCGGAATCTGGTTCAAGGGCCCCGATTTGTGATATTCAGCGCCCTCAAAATAAGAGTTTTCAGGTATGCTTCCTTTAGCTTTTTAGGTATTCGTGGGTGCTACCTCTATCAACGACAGCGCATCAGTAGACGTCTTCTTATTATTCTACTTTAAAAAATAAGTAGGCACTATTGGTTACTAAGTGCTTTTCAAGTTTAGTAAAAATTAGCCATTTTCTTCATTTACGATAACCGTTGTGTTTCGCTTTAATAGGCTCCAGCTAGTGCTCTGCTTGCGAGCAAACCTCGTCGAAGGGCTAAAAAATCGAAATTGGAAAAATTGGCCACCTTCCAGAAAGATGGGAATCACAGTTCCCCAGACCCTGTTGGGGAGGTAATTGAATTCTTTATGGCTTTTGTTGTTAGTGCTACGCCTTTTCTATCAGTGCTGGTTCTAAACATTTATTGTTAAATTTTAATCGTCCGATTGCATTCATACTCTCCTAAGTCCAATCGCTTTCCCAAGTGGCGGTGAAGTTCGTTATGAGTCGTATTTGTACTTTGAATTTAGATTTGATAAGGCCATTTTCCAGTGGTACACCTTGTAACCACAGCGTTATTTTCAAAACTGTTCTATATTTAACCTTAGAGGCTTAATATATGGTTATTATCGCCCCCAAAATCCATTTTATTTACGATGACTTCCATTTGACTATCGTTTTTCACAAAGTTCCCACTTCATCCTCCCATCATTTCTGGTAGGCAAGGCCTTTAATGCTTCTGCTATAAGTTTTCTTTGATCCTCAAAAGCAGTGCACAATCACGGTGATAAAAAACTGGTTGTTTTGAGGACTGCAAGGTACGACTGGTTAATGCATGAAATCGTTCCCTTATCTCTTAGTTGCTATGGTGGCGCAATGTTTTTTGAACTCCCTCACCTCTATTGACTTGAATTTGATTGGATTTGAAAGTTGTTTGTCCTCCCACAGTGCAGCTTTCATTATGATCCGTGCGGAATCGTATGTGTCTCATAGAGAAGGAATTTCGCTTAATTTTTTCTTCCACAGCATAATAAGGGACAATTTTGCCAAATGGAATAGCACGAGATTTGGGACATAGGTAGTTAAGATCCGCATTTGTGTAGAAGTCAGTTACTTCATTGTATTGTGAATTATGAAAACTAGTGTGCGGTATATTAGCGGATTTATTTGAAAAGCGTACAATCGGATTTCACTTAGTGGCACAAGAACGTCTGACTGTTAGAGGATCCAGGTGGTTGCTAAGGCATTTGAAATTCATCATAAAATTTTACGATTTGACCTGTCACTCGGGTTACATGCAATCACAAACGATGTCGCGATGGAATAAAAATCTTATGACCATTTAGGTCTATGTCATTCAATAAGTTGATGGTAGTACTGACACCCACCAAAGCCCAGGAGCTGTCATTAGTTTAGATAATTATATCTTAAAGGCTCAAGGCAATTTTTGCTGCTGCTGACGCATATTTTGAGACGGTTTCTGCAAAGAACATCTTCGTAATAATTAATGACAATTTAATATACGGAAACTAACTGAGATATGTCGCATTTCATACAAGTAACTATCATGGAAAGCTCATAGATGATAGGACATATGCTAACGAGATTTGTACCACCTGGATAATTGTATATGTAATTGATATTTTTGAGATCAAAATGTGTACAAAATGTGAGCTTTGAATTAAAAGATGTATGTTCGAAATAGTGCTATTTGTACACTTCGCAATTGTCACAAATAGCAATGAGGGCTAAATTAGGATGTCTGAGGCTGTGTTCTCAAATGTTATGCATGTGAAACTCGATTGCTTCATCGCTACTCAATCATTTTCTTACAGTCAGCGCCAATTGCTGCAGAGGAACGCGGTACGCCCTCCGTTCAAGTTATGATGGCACCCGCCCCCACCATTTCCACCACCCGTGTCTTCTCCTGCCGTGTCTGTAAACTCTTCTTTCGGACACGTGATCGCCTCCTTCGACATGAGAAGACCTCTATTGTACATGATCGCAGAGTACGTTCACTATCTCAATTTCCGATTGGCGATTGTCATGGTCTAGTGCATTTGGTAGCCAATGCACCAAACTCGATTTGTATATTTCCCTATGCATAATTGTAATGTGAGAATATTCTGGCCCACTTAATTTGGATTTGACAACAAAGGCATTTTGCTAACAATCCTACTTTTAGTTTTTCACTGTGTGTCGTGAGTTCATTGTTGAGTGTAGTAAATTCAATAACAGTTCTCGACTCTTATTTTTTTATCCTCATTTCAGAATCTCATTGCAAAGGTTTCCGGTAGCCTTTTTTTCTCAAACTTTATTTGCTCTATAAAACTCTGACTCGTCCATCGCGAACAACGTTGTTTTCTCTAGCTAATTCTGTCGCTATAAGCAAACAACCCCACGATGTTTCGTTAACCAACTCCGCAAATATTCTCAAACAAGACACTGCTTTTGTGCTCACTTGTGCTCATCGTTTGTCTTTGAATGACATCTAATGGTGCTGAAAACATGCTAAGAAGTCATTTACTTTGTTAGAAGAAATAAAAGGTGGTTGTAATTAACATTTCGTATGATTCGTGGAAAAAATTAGTGATAAACCCACACAGTAATGTACAATAAGAAAAAAACTTGGAACAGCTCATGGAATTGTCAACTTTTAGAATAGTTTTAGTGATGAAATTAGTTTCCGAGACAGGTTGAATAGAACGTCTTAAACTCACTTCGCTATTTGAAAATCTGAGTCGGTGATTTTAAGAAAAATAGCTTTTTGAATCTCATTTCCTTTTAAATAAATTGTTTATAAATTCCAGTGATTTTCTACAGAGCGGAATACTGGAGACTGCTGAATACTGAAGTTATTCTCATTGATAATTACCACATGATAATTTATTGTGGTTTGACCTTATCAATGCTTCCCGTGGCTACAAGACGGCTGGTGTCAAAAATGATTAATCAAGATGAGGGAAATCCGAGATTTGCTTAAACCTTTAAAGACCTACCGGATCACTTTCGTTTGAATCATTCTATGCAGGTGCAAATTTCTTGCTTTCGCAGCACGGAACGATCCTTTCCACCGAATAGCGTAACTGCAAAATGCGCAAAAGACCATCCAAAAAGGACATTTCATGCAGATTTGTTGATGACCACTACAGTGTATGAGGGTTATTCGGTGAATGCATCGAGTTATATCAATTCGGGTTATTATTAAGCTTCTAAGAGACTTTGCAAACGTTTTATGTCAATCAGGCAAGCAAAATGGCATCATTTACGCTGATGAATGATTGAATCAATTCCTTTTTGCGTTCACCCTATTTTAACCGAGAGAAAACACGTTTAGTGTTTCAAAATGGAATAAAGTATCTCATTGAATAGCTGGCCCTTTACTTCAACGCTTGATATATTCGTAAAACGTGTTCCACTGCTGTTGGCCCTTGGGATTCCCTAAAGACGGAACTCCCCATTACATTACTCCTCTTTTGTCGCAGTGTATTGCCAATTTGATCCTTAAAGCAATTATTTAAAACTAATAGCAAAACTTCCCATGTATTGTAAAGAGAAAGTTGCGTTTTGTATTCTGTTACATTTTGACTGCGGTCAGTTGTCTTTGGTGATGAAAAGTTCGAAATTTTGTTCTTTACCGGAACTTGCATTTGAACAGGGAGCAATTTCATTTTGAAAGTGGTTTGCACCAAAATAAAATATTCATCAAAAGGTTGGGTTTCTTCTTTTGATAAGGCTAGCTCTTTGGAAATGTTGCAACACTGAAAGAAAACAAAATTGTTTATCGTCTCATCCTCTTATGCATATTCTATATCTTAGTGATTGTGCCATAAAAGAGCAAATAATGTTCCTAATTAGTAAAAGATAACTAAAAAATTGACAACTGAATGAAATGAAACAAGCAAGTCTAGGTAAACTTGCATATATTCGCAAAATTCGCAGCTTTCTAAATGCTTTTACGTTTTTGAAAGAAAAATTTCGGCTCATTTTGTCAGTGTTCCTGGTTGAATGAAAAGTACTAATGTTGCAATGTAATTTTGATCGTAAACCTGTTGGCGCTGTTCTGAAAGTTTGGCTGGGATGCAACGTCCTATCCAATTGTCGGGTTATGCACAATGCCTGCTGGCATTACCGTCAAATTGATTCTCGGTAAGGTAACTGAACATTTGAATTTGAGTTCGGATAGCGTGGATGAGTTTGTGATCGCGTGGAATCCGGATTATTCTTGAAGACATTAAGGTTTGCTGTTCTGGTAGCATTTCTATTATGGCTGGTAAAGGTGGTGGAGGGTCGATTGCGTAAATGAAGTGAAAAAGGTTCCATATCAATGGTGTGCAGGTCAAATTATAGAAGACTTTTCATTCTGTTACATAACCCCTCCCCTCTTTGTTTAAGTGGCATCCTCGGTGTTTCCATTGATCGTTCTTTTCTGTGGTTGAACGTATTGAAATCGCTCTTGGAACACGGAAGGTCGTACAATCATTTCCCACATTCATTCCATCTTTTCACTTTTTTCCAATTTAGTGCTGTTTCATCGGCTTTCCGATCTTTTTTACACCTTGGGTGGGCATCAGGTCTTCTGATAACACTCATAACTCAATATTGTCCCACAAATATTTGGTCCTACGTTTTTAAACCTTCTTCTTTTGCCTCATCACTGGTTTGTACTATTTCGTTGAGCTTAATAATCCTTCGAAGGTCCAGCTATCTAAAATAGATGCCTTCCTGCTATGACATCTTCACGCAGTGTAGTGCCTTGAAGAAATCGTAATGTGTACGCGTTTGGAAGTAGCTTTATTATAAAAGCATAGGTTGTCGGAGTTGAGAGATTGGTAGCACAGAGCACCTTATCGTGAGGGAATATTAGGTCGTGCTTAATTTATTTTAAATTGCAACAAATTTAATTTTTAATGACGTAAATAGTGAATCCTCTGTCCTGTTGACTAATGGGGTCGGCATTATTTAAGGGCGTAGCGTTTTAATTCAGATTTCCTTTACTTGTTATGCAAATAAGGTGGAGGTTTAAACTAGCCCATATTTTTCTCGCAGCTGAGTCGGTCGAAACGCTTTAAACTGGCGCCGGTGCCGGAGAGCGCGTTGGGTCGCCCTTTCGAGTGCGCGGAGTGTGGTCTAGTGTATACACGGAAACACGCTTTAGAGCGGCACGTTGCGTTTGCGCACAATGGTGAGACAGCCTTCAGGTGCGAGTTCTGTAGCTTCCACGCCCTTGATCGGGCCAACTTTCGCCAGCACATGTCCCGTCATTTCCATCTGAAGAACTTTGCTTGTGAGGTAAGCTGCAGCCTTTTCCTCGTCTTTTCTGTGGTGTGTCTGAATCGTCTATTTTTATCGTTACTACCATCAAAGAGCTAGTTCGTTTGACTTTCTTGTGAATAAGGATACATTGAATATAAGGAGAACTTTTCTTCCATAGACAAAGTTGGAATTCGGAATTTCATCCAATCTTTGAGATTAACTCTTAACGCAGCCTTTGTGAAATACATTTGAGACTCGATAAATTTTGTTGAAAAGGTATCCGCAGCTGTTCATTTCATTCGTACCTGCCGCGTAAATTACATTCTAGCCACACGGAAGGAAATCATGATAGATTGAAATGCATAATTAGCATTACAAGACAAAAGTACGCAGAATAGCCACTTTGACAAACGGAAACAGACTATTAACAAAAATGGTTGTGAAATGTCGAGTTTAGAAAATTTGCCATTTATCATCCTAGATGATAAATGTGGTATAATTTGTTTTAGATACGATTCTAAGGACGCGTCTTCGTTGAAAATTAAACTAATTCCGATTCGTAATTTTAAGCTTGACGCGACTCCGTCTTAATTTGCAGCTATGATGGTCTGCAAGAACAAAAAATGCTTGATTGTTTCGCTTTGCATATGCCAAACCCAAATCAGGTGATCTTAAGGCCTTGCTATTTGTCCCATTCAGGCAAGTGAGATGCGTCGTACTTGGAAAATCCGTGGCCTATGTTCATGCTATTTTAAACTGCTGTAATACATTTTTATCTTCGACTAATAATGACGGCAACGGTATTAATGTCACTCTCATTTGGCAACAGTTTTTGCACAAGCGCCGGAATCTCCTAGGTGTGACACTTTGTCTGTTTATGAAAAAGTTCTCACACTCCGTTTACGTGATTATACCATGCAACTCGGATTGTTACCTCCGCTATAGATTTTTTTTTTTAAAAGCGCTCAAAAGTTTAAAAACGTTTTGCTCATATGATCATTGAAAAGTGACGCCTTTACGAACGATGTTAACAGACTTTTATCTGATTCTCGTCTATCTACTGTTGGAATGAATTCAGATGAATGCCGAAGTTTCTGTGATGAATTGTGCACTCTCTGAACGGGTAATTGCTTGTGCAGTCTACCTAGGATAATGTATGCGTTTTTTGAAGAAATACTCGCATTGTGTGATGATAAATTCTTTTTAAAAATCGTCCCTTTTTTCAGTTCATATTCATTTGGCAAATTAATTCAGCAAAAGTTCCAACATTGCTCATTACTCCGCAGGTTACAAATTACACCTTTTTCGGGTGAATCCCATAAATATGCTAATTTCTTATTGAGTGACGAAATTGCAAATCAGAATTTAGTTGCATGCGTTAATTCCTAACAGCATTTCGGCAATAATTGGCGGTTTGATAATGCCGGAATGTCTAACTGGCCGTTGTATCTGACAGTGTATGCACAATCATTTTGTCGCTGTCAAATTGTGAACCTTCAGTGTTGAACACTATTTAGTACGCTGTCCCACTAATTTGCCACCCTTTTGCGTTTGCTTTCTAGTTTTGTTTTTTTTCTCCTCTAAAAATAAACTTTAAATTTGTCTTGATTGCGGTGTTGATTTTAGGTAGAATAATCAATTCTCCTTCGTCACACCTTATATTTTCCTTTCTTTTGATTGGGTAGGTTCGATGAATTTCTCCCTGCGTGAGTACTTACGAGGTCACCCTTTTGAATTTCAAACTAAATTCTAAAAGCCAGTCAAGTTAATCTTTTTTTACCAAATGATTATCAATAACAGTAATCCTCAAATATGTGGTCATTGTTGTTGATTTAAGGTTACATTTAATTTTTGTAAAGCAAATTCAGTAGGGTAACCTTTCTCTCGCGTCATCTTTCTAATGATATTTACGAAAACGCTTACGGTGCCATGGTTTTGTAGAATAGCACTAATTGAAGCAAAAAAGTATCAGCAGTAGTGAAAACACTTTGGGAATTCGTTTAATCATTCATAGCTGTTTTCCATGTTCCAAAGTACATGCTTTTTGCATGCCCCCTCCTTCATCAACATTGAAAGTGTATAAATGTTGCTTGACGCCAATTTTCACTTAATTTGATTTCTGTCACCTACGCCCACGTCTCAGCCTTTGGCCATTGTAGTCTCTGAGATGTGCTGCAAGGAGTTTATAAATAACTCTTTTAACGATGCAAAACATGAAAGTTGGACAGCACCATCGGAGGCGTGCGTAACCAGTATGAAGATTGGAATAGAGCGAGAATAACTGTTATTGTGTCTTTTGAATCTTTACTCGCTGTATACATAAAGGGGAATAATTTATGCTTTTACTGAGAATGGATATGCTGAAAGCGGATTCATGTTTTTACTCGATCCTCGAATTGTAGCCATAACTACGTGGAGGCATGCTTTTAATTCTATTAATATCTCAGCCTAAGTTTCTCTCCATTGATAGCAATTTGTTTGATCAAATAAGTATGAATCGGACAATTAATAGACACTGATGTTACCCGTTTGAACATGGGAAAATCTCAATATGTACCAAGAAATCCTTCATCTTGCCCCTTTTCTAAACATCGTGTCATTTATGAAGTAAATTCAATCATCTAGGGGTAAGCTATTTTCTGGTGACATCTCGTAAATGGCGGCTCGAAATCCTACAGGACAAAGTCCCAACGGTAACGGTATTCACTTTATACCTTTTTGATATAAAATGGGAAATTTTGCAACTAATTTAGGAATGGAAGGCGATTTACTGTTTTATGTAGATTCCCTTCAAGAACTTGTTTTTCTACCCATTTAAGGCAAATTTCACTAATTTGATGCATGATAGAAATATAAATTGCTTTATTCTATCCTGATATCTATTATGATTGCACATGACCCATCTCATGCGAAATGGGCACGTTCAAATAACCACATGTATTTCCCTTGGGAGCCTTTTTTCCCAAAACGCGCCTGCAAAATTCACGTTTTCTTTCCCTCTATCTTCTGCCAACGAATCTCCTGCCTCTTTTTCTGCAGCAAAAGACTTCTTTTTGTCCCTACTTCCTCCACCAAAACCACTTGCTAGGGCGTTGTAAGGGGGAAGAAGTTGGGCTAAGCCTCATGTTTCCTGAGGCACTTTCTCCTAAATAAAATATGCAGGAGAACATTACTGCTAATTCTTACTTTAATCAATCCGTTCCTTTAATGTGCTTAGTGATTACTCTACCGATCCGAAAATCATTCAACACTTGTACCACAATTTTCTTGCAACGAATGAATGGTCTAAGACCATGCACATCACCTCTGAAATATTAGTATTTTTGACATTCTTTGGAGACTAAATGATTTATTATCTATTTTTAGCTTTTTGCCTTTGAGGTGATTTCTCATTCAATTTTCTCAATTTGCGTTACCTTAAGTCAAATCGGTGTATGTGGGAGTGTGGGAAATGCTATGCTTGTGATGAATGTAGTACAGAAAGGTTATGAGTGCCAAATGTGAATGACAGCTTAAAGATGTGTTATCAATGGGAGAATGATTAATCTATTGATAACTTTGGCGTATTCTATAAGTGCTTGCTAGTCAAATTACAGCTATTAAGTATGCAACATTCTTGCGCCCAGTAGTGGCTTAGCTTGCTCCGGCAATTTTTAATCATGAATGCGTAAAATGTCACGGATTTCTGTTTACTTCCGTACTACAATTCACTAATCAAATTATTTTTACGATAGTCTTTTATTGTGTGGCTATTTACGCCCATAAAAATAGAAGCTTTTAATGAATGCTGTCGCGTTTACCAGATTTGTGTCATCAATCCTAATCCTAATGCTTATTAGTCCTTCCAGGTTCCAGTGTTCTAAGCTGCATTTATCAGCATGGACTCGGAATAACTTTAAAAAAAATGGGGCCAAATCGTTCGTTTTTCCCTTATCATCGTTTGACTGCTACGGTGGCAGCTTGGTAGTGTCTCATTCCTTGGAAGGCGTCAATCTTTCCGAAAATACCATAGGTAGCCTCCCTTTGGTCAATCTCTGACTCAAGTTGTTCTGACTCTTAAATTACTGCCTTGCAAAGTAGGCTCTCTCGAAAACCCCTCGATTTTGGCATTCTAATAAAGTAAGCAAAACAGTTTTGACCCGAAAGTGATCTTGCTCTTGCAAGCCTCTTAGCTTGACTGATTTGTTTTAGCAACTTCTGGGTCACACCCAATTAGTTCGAATCACTATTTAAACTTCAAGCACTTTGTTTTACCAGTAACTGTGGAGGTAGGTTTCAACAAATCAGCATACTTAAGAGAACTGGAAGATGTTATGTATGAACGAATGATCTGATGAAGCGATCGTAGAATTTTTAACTACTCTGCAACGGGGTAATTTATGTATCTTATGTCACGATGAAGCAATATTTTGCGATCATCTTATCCAATGCGCTTTCACTGTCTTTATACGCTCGCGACAGTCCTGGATGACTCGTTTGTATCCTCATCTGGAATACTACTTCATGATCCCACTTTAAATGTTTCTAGTTTTTAAAGACATGACTTAGTGAGATTTGTGCAAGGGAGCTTAGGGGGTGGTATGGAACTTGAATTTCCCCTGATGATGTTAAAATATGAATCAGACAGGAACTGACCTTTTTATCAATGGGCCCGAGGGTAAGCGAAACATTAGTGTAGATGGCTGGAGCAGTATGCTATGACACTAATGGTGGTAGCCGTATTTCGGAGATTTAAGAACTCAAGTTGGTAAATATGTCATCGAATCCACTTTACTTACCCTAAATGACTTCTACTCGGATATGTAGCTGTTTTTTATTTTGTTACTACTTCAATTTCGCTCAGATGCCTATCTAGTCACATTTTAGCTGCTTGCAACGTGGAAGGATAAGTGGCTTTTAAATGTTGCTACTAATGCAGTTTTGACACATATTATTTTGAGGGTTCTTGTGCGGACGTCTTTAAATTGTTCAAATCTTGTCCTACTATTGCTTGTCAACATTGTATAATTCGATATCGGAGCAGTGGCCAAAAGTAGATGCGATTTTAATGGCGTTCCGGTTGCCAACTGCTGCAGGTTTGGATATCCATGGCAGTTACCTCCCCTCCATGTCGTTTTGGCGTAGGATCCAGCCACCGAAATCAAAATTGCGGTTTGGAATAGACGTACCAACGCTTCCATCATCATAGCCTCCGGATCGTTGCTGAAGTTGAGGACCATTAGTATGGTGGCCCAATCTCAGGTGATTGCAAAGACTCAAGCGGTTAAATAGATAATAGTGATTTACGACGCTCAACTAAAGATATGCAAATACATTATATCGAAAGTGTCTGAACTTGCATACTTTGGACCACGTACCGGTGCGAACTTAATGGCTTCCAACCGCGCTGCGATGCCGTACGAGCTGTGGTGTATGCAGAAGTTAATATTGGCCTGTTTACAATGCGGTGCGCGAGACAGCCCAACCGCCCACGGGCATGCACACACCGGGATCTCCCACGCGTTGACATTCGGTGATGTCAGCTCGAAAGTAAAATTATTACTTTCGTGGAGTTGGGTTTTTTTGCACTAAACGGAATCCAAGGCATTGAACAGTTTATTAGGATCCCAGGAACCGTACATATGACTGGAATTTTGACGTGATTCCATTTTGAAGCTTCGCTAAGTGGTTTCTTAAAATTCTCGTTTTTGAAAGCTAATAAGTTAAACGCGTTTCCCAGATTCACTGTAGTCGAGTTTTTAATTTTTTAAGGTCATCTTTAAATACGATATGAGCTTTGCCTTTCAATACTAACCCCTATCACTACGTTGATAATTGTTGGGATATGAATAGGATTGCTCGTGTCAAATTACTTTCCAAGGATACTTTCAAGAATAAAATCGCTAAAGTTTTTTCACTAACTTTATCCGTCGCTAGAGGAGTTCATGTTCTTATACCGTCATTTCTGTCCATACCCAAAGTGTGATTTTTCGAAACATTTACCTGGATTAAATCAAATTATCTTCATGCAGGATACACCTTTGGTAACTGACTCCTGATAGGAATGTTCCAGTTCATCCATCAGCATGACTTTGGCTTCCGGTATTTTAAGGGTTAAGGACATGTAGCTTTAGTATTTTTGTAAAAATGGATTATTCCTGTATTACTTTTAAGCACAGAGAGTCTCTCCTATTTTGCGGTAATTTTCGTGTTAGCCGTTACATTGGACGCTATACTTAAACAACAGGGTTATTAGGCTACCACACTCAATTGTCAACTATACACACCGGGCACTGCACATTATCTAGTGCCTGAGCTGTTAGGCGTACATCTGGCACTTTATATTTGTATTTTGAGGGAAATGAGAATTGAGACAAATCTTCCCTAACTTTCTGTACATATTTAAACCGTTAAAAGCTGACACTAATTGGAAAAGTATTTCTGGAAGGTCATCTAAAGGACACATGTTTCCATGTGTGACGTTTGCATCACACTCGTGACCCTCAACAACGAAGTCATCGTATTTTTTTTTGCTCTGGTGGTTATAAAATGACAAAGTTCTAGAACGCGCTTCTTTTCAATTGATTCGTTATCTGCTGTCAATGATTGCCTCGAGTATATTTTTTGGAAGTGATCTAACAAGATCACTTTCTCATTCGTTCTTGTTCTTGAAGCCAGCCTGGGAAATAATTCATTTGATTTTGTGATAAATACTCAGGCAAACTTCATTTATAAAAACATTTTGGGAATTTTCTTCAATTTCAAGTTGCTACATGTAGAGGTGGATTTGGCAACTTTTAAATGCCATAGTCTATCACAGGCCGTAACAGTAACTTTGAAGGTATCGCAAAATAAAAAAATTAATGTCCTCCATCTTTTTGGCATTCTTGCTCTTACGTGAAGTTGTATTTACTTGCTGGCTTTCGAGGTTTCACCAAAATTATCGTAATCAGTGGCGCCGAACGTTCAGTGCTTAGTTCTAATAAGGTGAGCTAAATGTTTACTAATGCCAACTTTTTATGGTCGGGACTACAGAGAGCCTGCTGCCATATTTTCAGTACAATACGGAGACGGTGTCCTAGCACTTCTTCTGTTCATGTGTGTGACAAACACCAAGAGAGCAGCTTTTCTCTTAGGTACTTAGGTTCTATCTCTGTTTCATCAATATCGTACTCAATCGTGTATACACCATAGAATATGGCCACTTTGTATGGATGTAGCACATATATGCATGTATTTTTTAACGTCAGAAGTTTGAAAACCTTTTAAATTGCTAACGAGTTCCCACTCAATTGTTATTGAATTTAAATTTAACGCATGAGCCTTCCATGTATTTTCCTCCTCTTTCAGCTAACGTGATGTTTTAATAACTTACTGTTAGGAAGGTTCTATGTGCGCCTGCAAACACAGAGATTGCAGCATTGGGGGACAACAACCTCGCGTATAATAAGAAATCTGATTTGCTTTGCTTTGCCACGACAGCACTGCGATCACCGATGCATCACGAAGCAGGAGTTGGAGGACCACGTGCGCTTCAAGCACAGCGACAAACGCGACTTCAAATGCCCTGACTGTCATGCTACCTTCAAAGTGAGTCTCTGCTTCCTCTTTATCTTCCTTCCCTCGTTTCTTTTCGCCCTCCCTCCATCCTCCGCCAGTTGCTCATGTCTTTGCGGCCTATGCGAATGGAATTAACTTTATTGTTAATGCATAGAAGGGCTAGAGTGTTAGTAGCTGCAATGGCATGAGCAGAGTTATATGCTACTAATATCGGGGAACATGAAATCATTTGCGTGGTTTATCGAAGCAACAAGTTCTTTTACCCTGTGCTTATGGGAAAGCGCTCCTTCTTTTTCTACCCTTTGTAAATATTTTTCGCTCATCAGGTAGAATTGATCAGATCCTTTTAATCATCCGAAACAAACTTTTCTAATTCTGCTCGAAGGAGAACCTCTTTAAGACCTATTTTGATGTCACCATCGCTCGTAAGTTTATCATTTTTTTTTATTCCTTTTTTATTGGAATGAAATGGACAGTGATCAATTGATGCCATGTCCTTGGTGAGGTAGAGTCGTTCCTTTTAGCTGCAAAATCGTCTTTTTACATTGTCATATACCAAGCCGATATTCATTGCAACCGCTGAGCTCATATAAAATGTATATTTACGATGGCAGTTTATTACTCTTATCTTGTTTTACTTTATGGTCTTTACAGTCTTATGGGATTTGATAAATAAAAACACCCGTAGATCTCATTAATTATATAATGATTTTAGGCGGTGATTTTTTAAGTAGTCCTCATTATTAGGATTCCCAAACTAATTTATTTCAACTCACCTTTCCTGAAAATCTTGAGTCAATCACAAAAGTTATTTCGATTTCCAAACTGAACATCGCCAAGATATTTATTTTCTACATTAAAAATTAGCTAAAAGATTTTTTTGTGTGGTAGTGTTTTCCTATTCTACTACTTGCTTCCAAGATTTTCCTCTAGCCAATCCACTCTACTTATTTTCCAATTATGCCTTTTTTACAGTACAACAATGGTGAAGACTTATTTCCTGTAAGCTAATTTGAATGTAATCCCTTCCAAGTGCCACTCATTGGTATGGTAATAAAGGAATTCGTGTCTACTCCGTGCGCTTAACAGCACTGGTACTTCGGCTCAAAATTTTCAATTCTTAAGTCCTACCGAATGTACTTTGAAGCATTTCAGCCCGTAGGTAGAATGTTAAATATGTTTCTCTTCAGTTGATTCGTAGAATTCCGTCTTCTAATTTGAATAAATATTGAAGCATCCTGTCTTTTGCCCATTTCAGTTTCCTCGTGCTCCCAAGTGAACTGTTAAAAAAATTGTCAAACTCAAAGCTGTGGGATGCTTATTGCATCCGTTATTAACAAAACAACAAAGGCAAATGCAACCTTCATCATATTCAGGCATGTTACTCTTCAAAGCTAACAGTTTTTTGGATAAAATAGCTCATTGATGCGCACAATTACTTGAATACTTCAGGTTTTTACCCTGAATGAATTAGAAAGTGCACCCATTTGTTTTATCGCTGCCTTGCCGTAAATGTTCAAAATCTGATGGTGCTCCACTATTTCTGGCGAAGAGGTATGGCGTCCTTTCATAGGAAGGAGTCGCTAACTTACTAATGGGAGATTGAAAGGAAATCCCATGGATATACGCCCTTCAGGTGACAGCTGTTGAATACTTACTTGCTTGTATATGTTTATGCTTACAAGGTTAGTCCTATTAATCACAACATCCGGCACTTAGTGAGTCTCCTTTTCCCATTGTCTCTGGGACTTAAATTTTGCACATAATTCGATCTGATGTGACCCATCAGATGGACTATTTCGCATTCGCATAGACTGCTTTAAATAGTGTAGCAGTAGGGAGAGTTCAACGCATGTTTGGTTATCCATCTTGTTGTAACGCATTTTAATCTTGTCACAGCCTGCCATCGGGCACGATGTGCCTGAGAGTATGCGAATTACCAGTAAAAGCGCATCCCCATTAGATGTGGATTAGGTTTTCTGATTTACAGTGCATACTGGGAATTTTGAGTTTATCAAGTTGATTAAGTTGATTAGGGACATATCCCCATCATTCGGAGGTAAAATTTGTGAGTTAGCACTAATGATTTGTCCAAATCACATTAATCTATTTCTTGCATTGAGCCAATAAGGCCATATATTCGCGTTTTCTTTATGTCACAATGACCACATCCAACGTTCGTGATACTAGGCTTTCGTCTTCTAAACCATGGCATCTTTATTATCGATCTCTTTTTGCAGCAAGTGAACCCTTATGACCTTAGTCGCGATGTCATGGAGAGTTTCTGTGGAAGTATCGACAGTAGGACTTCTCCATGAATTTTCTCCCACTGTGTAGATAATTCATTTTAGTCTTTAACTGACTAAAGTGGTAGCATATTGGAATTTCGTGTTGTTTCCTGAAATTCAGTCATTCAAACTTTGTGCTTCAAAGGAAAGCTGTTCACTTCATCTACACTGTCGTATTCCGATTTTGTATTAAAGAAGTACATGATAGTAGCTAAACCGAAATTTTAAAGCTTCTTGATTCGACGCCATTTTTACTTGAGTTCCCAACCATAATGGACTTAAGCAATCGGTGTTCTGACACTGCATAACGTTTGAGGTGGTTAGATAGTAAACCGTAAACCAACGCTGAAGAATTTAAATCCTAATTTCGTTCTCCTTTCCTTAAACTAGTCGGCTAACTGTGTGAGTATTCGAACCCTTATCGAACAAGTTTTACCTTCAAAAAGCAAGAAATTTTGGAATTCTGAAGTGGACTATCTGTAAATCTACTTACTGGAGAGCTCAACAATGTTTTACAAGTATTTATCTCACCTTTTATTTAAACAAGAAAACGGCCCGCCATTGTTGGATGATCAAATCTTTAACATGGGAGGAGAAATGCGCACGGTGTGAAATGGCGGTAGGCTTAAAGCCCAGCACTCATGCATTGGCGAGAAGACCTATGGCACGCAGGGCAAAAACTACCCCACTTCTCTATTGCATGATTACGATGAGGGAAGGAAAAATATCTTGCCTTTTTAGCCTTCGCTTTATCTGCCCCTTTCTCGTGGTGTTTGTCCGTATATGCGCGATAAAATGTACTCGAATAATCGGCTTTAGTTCATTTGCATTTAAGATTGCTTTCAGTGCTTCCTGCTGAAGTTTCCAGAGAAGTATTTTTTCGGAATTCTGTATCAACTTTTTTGCCAAATTCGAGAAAATAACTATTTTTCTTTGAAATTGTGCGTGGATGTCTCCATAGAGGCTCAAGCATACTGTCGTCGAGTTTCCTTAAAATTATCTCCTGATAGGAGGTTTTCATGCTTTCCAAAAAACCCTTGCTTATTTTTTGGTGAGGTTTCGCTGACAGCTGATCTTACAGGAATTTTCTGTTTGAACCAATTGCTTATTATAACTTTCCTTTTTTTCCGGTTTCATTGAGGGTTTACTGTTTTTGTTGTGGTTTCTATTTGAAAATTGGTTTCTTAAAGCATATGTCTTGATAGCGTATCTTCAATTATTTCGCTAAATTTATATTGCCTTCAGTTTTATCTGGCAAATTGTTACAGTTAGAATAGACTATTAATAAGGGAGGAGGCAAATCTACTATTTCGTGTTTTAATGATACTGTAAAAATTTTTACTTCACCTGTTGTATTATCTACACAAAATTCGCCACAAATTATTGCCCTGAATGCAATTTTAGTGATTATTGTAGCTACATTCCGACGACTAGACACAGTAATCTATTTAATGAATCGCCTCTTAAATCACCCAACTGACTGGCACAGACGGCCAGTCAGAAATACGTTTTTGCTCTGCCTTTACATTTTCAAATTAGACAGAACCCTGGAGGCTTTCCTGACGAAAGAGTATGAGGCAAGCTTGCTGGGTATAACTCAGTAAGTGCTTGGCGCTCAAAATGGAGAAGATTTGCGCTTTTCCTTGCGTGCACGTGTTACAGATGACAGTTTTCACTGTTGGGCTCACTGTAGTGGTCCAACCGCTTTTTCCCACTGAAAAATGGACGAGTAAATAACAGGTAATACTCGGCCATGTTCTTCGCTTGAGCTCATACCCTTCACTATTAAATCAATTTAACCCTCTCAAACGATTGTTCTTTTGAAATTCTAACTTTTATAATTTTTTACGTGTTCAATGGCAAAAATTTATGTTTTATTCCATGGCTGGCTTGAAAACCTCTAATTTTACTCTTTGGTCGGTTATCATCAGTTCGGTCAAAAAATATTTCGTCCCAGTGAGCTAGCTGCAGAAAGCACATTTTCTTTGCATCTCTTTTCTCTTCGAAAGCTGAGTTATTTCTTTTGTTCCTTTTTTTTGCACCTCTCCTCTCAGCCGAATTATTTTCCCTTTTGAAATCCTCACCACGGTTGCGACCAAATTTCGATATCATTTCGTTTTCGTGATGCAAAAGCTCCTACTCAGTGGTAATGAGCGCTAACGGGTGTGGAATTGTTTTTTTCACAGAAAATTTTTTTTTAACAGACATTTGTACGATTGCGATTTAGATGAGAAACATTTTTGAATAATCACTTTATTGGATGAAATAAGTCAAGACTTTGTTCAAGTGTCTTCTATTTTACTAACAGCAAATATGGAATTCGGAAACGAGGTGAATAAAGACGGCAGTGTTTAAAAGTTGCACATGAACGAAGTTTTGATAGAATACCATTCCATTCGCTTCGGCTTCTGAGCCTGGAAAAATTTTTCATGTATGGAAACTGATAATGTGTTTTCATTGAAAGGTTACCCATTTTCCAAATTTACTTTCCGAGTATCTTTAAAACTATCTAATTAGCAAAATTTATGACCGCTGTCGCTATGAAACATAGAATGCTCTAATTTTCTTTATATTTAGCACCCATTGTCAATTTTTCCTTAAAATCATGCTATGTATCCCTGAGAGTCGGGAAATATTTTTGATGAACTGCGTTTCACGTATTGTCAGCTTGACTTAATTGTATTTATGTGGCGAATTAGATTGAAGTTTTCAGGGATTTAGAAGATTCAGCGTACAACTTCAGCTTTGTTGTTTATTTCAAGGCACTTCCTTCATTTGAGCGATTTACGGAAATTTGGGCCTTTCGCCTCCGAATCAATGTTTTCCACGCCTAGATTGAGAAGTAAATATAAAACTTGACATACTTTGTGGTACCATCCTTAGAAAAATATGCTGAACAAATAAAAATTCTTAACATCTTGGTGATAATGAAAGTACTAGATAGAGACGTCAGTAAACTATCTTAATTTACTTCATCTAGACTCCGGGGACTTTGAGTCGGCACCAGAAGACGCATACGAACATCTCCTTCCTATGCAATCAATGCGACGCTTCCTTCAATCGTATGAGCAACCTCAAGCGTCACAAGGACTCCGTTCACTCCGCCACCGGCGGCAATCGACGCGGACGCGGCAGACCGCAGAAGACCACCCGGCAGAAGCAGCAGTCAAGGAAAGCTGTTCTCCAGCATCAGCATGAGCAAGATCAGCAGTCACTGCCAGCGGCATCGACATCTGTGGCGGAACCGCTGTGGGACTACGAGGCTGCTCGTGTGCATTCTGTGAGTCCTCTGGGGATTGCTTTTTAGTGCTTTTGAGAAAAACTATAAAAGAATAAGTCAATTCCATCACCGAAACTGTTTTCACAGCATTATTAGCCAGCTCGAAAGTTGAGGTTTATAAATGCCGTTGCTTTCAAGTTGTGATTGATAATCTCAGGAACCAGTGGAGTACGAATTTAACTTTATGGTTAGTTTCTTTTTTGATTTGACCGCCTTTTGCTATTTTTGTTCACTACTTGCCGTACCCAAACGGTTATCTCGACCACCGAGGTCTTAATAGTCTTATGTTGGTCTGTCCACTTGTTAAAAAGAGACTTTTCAAAGTGCTGAATGGAACAACCTTTAAAAGAAGCGGTATGTAATTTCTGTGCTGGACTGAAATGTTTGGTAATTTCATGTATATCTTACAGACATGGGATTTTTAGTGGCCAATTTTCCATAAATAGTTATTGCTACTAATAAGCGAAGCTAATGCGAGAAGTTGTTATCGTAGCAAAAGTAACCGTTCCCCTCCCTTGGTTTGGAATGTAACCATTTATTGGACAGGAGGTATTTTAAAGGTTAACTTCCTCTACAAAAACTTTCTGCCACCTTTAGGATCGCTACAAGGTATTTAAACTGCTTTTTATCTGTTTGCTTGTGACAATATTTATATTGAAGGTTTGAAGGTTCATCAGCTTCTGATGTATTTTTTTTTTAAAAATACAGCTTTACGAAACATCGTCCCTGAATTAAAAGTAAATAACTTCTGCATCTTCAAACGGCGGTGTGTACGGTAACATTTCCCCCGTTCGGCGAACTTTTTAAAGCGTCACTGGCACTGGTGATGCTGCATGTGGTTTTTTTGCAAAAGATTATTTTCACCTTATCAGACATGCATCCTTGATTAATATTAACTTATTGAAAAGTGGGCGATCTTGACAGCCCCATTAAATAGAGCGTTGTTAACTTATTTTAGCTGTGTTTTTTTAGACGACGGGCGATCAACTTTGCACTTCAGTGAACACCACGAGTGGGCTAGAGCCTGTCTATGTAGTCGCCTTCGAGACAGAGGTGGGGTGGATCCCAGCCACAACCTCTCCTGCCACTATCACCGAGGCGAGTCTCGTCATGCATCACCCTCCACCGCCGCCGCAACCACCGCCTCCACCACCCTCGCACACTCTTGCCGCCCCACGCGGAGACACCGTGCTACCCTGCGTCAGCGACTTTTTCTCCTCTTTCCTTCCCCCCACCTCCCCTTCCACACAACTTGACGACCATACTGTCCCACCTCCTCTGCCCCCACCCCAAGCACCGTCAACAGCGGTGGCAGGAGTGGCATCTCACCCATCTACCACTCATCTTTGGCGCTCTGACGAAGATGTCGATGATCTTGGTACAGCCAGCGCGGTGCCCGCAGACGACCTCATTTGCGATTTCCTGACTTGTGAGGTGGTCGGAGCTGAAGAGGATGTGGAAGGCACGGGCGGTGTCGGTGTTGGTGGCAGCAACTTTTCCGTTGGCTATCTCATCGGTGGAGGTGGGGCTGACGGTAGTGGCGGTGGTGGAGGGGGTGGAGGAGGAGGGGGTGAGGAACTGCACACCTTGCCGCCTTCCGACTGTCTCTCCCTTGTGCCTATCGTAACTAGTGCTTTTGAGGAGACAAATACTACCAGTACCAGCGTTGGTGTTAATGTTTCCACCACCTTCCACCCCTTCTGGAGTGTATCTTGCTCCTCCGCCTCCTCTTGCACCCCTGCTGCTGGTGCTGCTGGAATTGTCCATGAAGACTATTCGGGTTTCGAACAACAGGAAGTTGCAGACAGCATGTGATGGCAGAAAGCCTGTTTCTGTGTCAAAATTTGTTTTATTAGGTAAACGATGTTTACTTTGTTTCTGTTTTTTATGAGTGGGATTTGAGAAAGCATAAAGTTTCGTTAGAGAAAATTACGACTAACTTTTAACCAAGGATATGTGACGTTTTGGCAAAAAATGAAGAAGAGGCTTAAATTGTAAAGATTTTGTTTCGATTCTTTGTTTTAAATACGCGAGTCGCATTTTCCAAACACTGCCTTTCAGATATTACTACGTTTTGTACTTTTTTATCTCAATTTTTCTGTGAATCTTTAGCGTTTAAACTTTCTTTGGGAGCTTTGAAGAATTTATTTGTCGATGAAAACTCAATAGACCTTTAGTTTTTTTGCATCTTAGTGCACCCGCCTTTGTTTATTCACTAGCATTGGTATTCGCATTAGTAACCGTGCTGGATCGGACGTTGTCAATTTGCAGTAGAATGTTGATGTAATTGTCCGTGATGAATGTAAAATGGGTTTTTTCGACTTCAAATTGACTACAGGGTCGCTCAAAGTGTTGACGGTTTCTACTACGGCTCGCGAGAGGATAATTTTGTGGAAACCCCATAGTCAGTACTTTGAAGGGAGAAGTTTCATTTTGAAACTTTACCAATGATTGCCCAAATATTAGTAATGAACTGGCCATTCTGTGCGCAAAATCGTTCTATGTTTGAATGTGGGTATAACAGCAGATTGAATGCATATGTGCATATAATAGTAGTGAGCCAAACAGTTTCTCAGGCTGGTATGCCCTTGAATATGATGCCATTTGCTCACCGGGGACAACAGTTGACAGTTCTACGAGATTACGCCCATGGCCGTGTCCAGAGAGGTCTGTTTTCATTTTCTTTTCATGCTTCTCCAGGTATGTAATGAATGGCGACGCGCTGGGTGCTGTATCTAATTTTTAATGGAACTACGTAGGCAGCAGGGTTTTTTGAAAATGATTAAGAACTGTATTTCGACTATTTACCATAGTTAGTTATTCTTGGAGTCGTAATTCATCACCCAAGTTTGTTAAAATGGGAATTTTCCATGCTTGGGGCTTTTGCTTAGGAAAACTAGAACTATTTACTGGAGTAATGGAATGCATTACACTTAGGTGGTAGACTTTTTAGAAAAGCTCCAGCTAGTAAAAAGTGGACTGGTTTGTACATGACGGTAATCGTTACCCATGGCCGGTGAATCCTGCCATTTGATTTCATGATAAAATAATGATATGTTGGAAACCAAGGGTTATTCATTGCCGATTCCGACCTTATCTGTTTCATTCTTATTCCAGGAATTTGACTTCACTTTTGGTATCCACTGTCTCCCTTTAATCCCACTTTCATCTGACGGTTCATCACCGCAAAGATATCAGGTGTTTCATCAAAAGGATGGGGGCTTGTAGTTAGCATTTCATTGTACTACTCATCATAGGTGATAAAATGCCTACCACCACGGTAACCCGAGGAAAGTGGCGGTCTTTTGGTGTCAAAGAAGGAATGACGAAAAACGGCGTGACTTGTGATTTTTTAAGCCAAGCAGTAGCATTTATGCATTTGTAAATGCTGCCTATTACGAGAGCCTCCGTATCATATTCTTTGAGAGTAGTTTAAAATCCCTATTTTTGCTCGTCCTGAGTACAATATTCTCAATTCTTGAGCCTAACTGTGAAACGAAGTAAAGTTCTTCTATGTGCAATAAAAGGCTTAGGCTTATAAACATTACAACTAAATTTGCCGAATAATTTGCATTAAGAATTGTTTTGTTTAGCTTACTAACGTGGCGGATGCAACAATTTTGAAATGTAGTGTCAAACGACGTAATAGTGATAATTAATTGTCCGCGAGATTAAGCTTGCAAACTTTTACGGCTCTTTTTTACTGTTTTTGAAACATGAAACAGTTCTGCATTATTAGTAGAACAGATTGCATTTGTTTGCCTGTCAGGTTGCCCATAAAACAGCAATTAGGGTTTGCTCTCGAATTTTACTAAACAGATGCTGAACATTCTTTACAAATTTATGAAGTTCCGTCCTAACTGGACTGAATTATCATGGCGTTTAAATTTGTGACATCATTTGTCAGGATGTCGAATTGGGTATTGAACTAGCTCATTCACTATGTAGACTTCCTAGCATTTGACTTGGAGCCGGTCTTTACAATCAAGTTCAGTACGGTTAAGGAGGCGTATGTCGCTCGGGTTTATCTGCAATCATGCTTTTTTTTCCAAAAAGTAAACAAACCTTCATCTTCCTAAAAGTAAAGTCAAAAGAAGAAACGCATTGAATTTTATTTGAATATACACTATTTACATTGAGTTACCAGTCAGTTACTTGCCAGTGGTGACATCATTAGATTGATATCCAGCCACTTTACCTTCACATATTTGCTTGCAATATTAGGATGAAAAAACTACGAACTCCATTTAAAAGGGTACAAATGTAGTGATTTGCCACTTTCTTCAACCGTATTTAACTACACGGGTACTTCAATCTCTGGCAGTTGTGTTCCCGCACTGGGGCATGGCTTTTGGACCATACTAGTGGCCGCGCAGCTCTTCTGTATGTTAGTAATGAATATTCCCTACTTCTTTGGCCTATTACGATTTCTACCCAGATTAAGGGTGCTACAATTATATGTTGCCTGGATGGTGGGAGGCTTTTTATTGATAATTTCTCCTCTCTAGGCAACCATAAATACGTTTTGATTGATCCATAATGAATTTAACCAGAGCTAAGGCACAAAATCGTTGCCTTTACACCCAAACATGTGATCGTACTAGAATTGAATACAAGTTTCATTCCAGTTCAGATAATATTGTGGTTGTCGGTACGTAGAATTTTCATTTATTTAAGATGCGAACAGTGATTCCACAGATTGGTTGTTTTCAGTAGTCACTGAAACAAATAAATAACGTATATGAGGCGTCACTTGAATGTTAAAAACGACTCCGCAAATGCAGAGCAGAATCAAAAACCGGGCAATTGATACAGTCATCAAGTTACGTACTTTGGTATTTTTAAAGAATGATGCATGGGAATCAGGATACTTGAGGATTCCTTATAAAGGTTCCCCCTAGTCGTTGAGTCTGGTTTACAAAAAATGCATTTTTAAGTACTTCGTCATCACAGGCATCACTATGAAGCCCGTATTGGTGATGGGTGACATGATGCCATCGGAAAAAGGTGATATCGTCCCTCGAAGTGCAATTAGCGCTTGAACTTGTTCTTCAGATAAGAGTGAATCTATGGTGATTTATGAATGGGTCTAACTCGGTGGCGATTCGCACTCCCATCTGCTCCTCCTTCGCGGAGCGCTCTTGTGTTCAGTTGAATATTTGTGGCTCGTTTAATTTAATATTACTGTGTTTCTGTGCATTCTAATGAAGGCACCTAAATATCCCATTTTAGACTCTTTACAGTTTACGCCGAATGTATTTTCAAATCACTTCTGCATCAAAAACGGATTAACATAGAGCTGGCTAGATTTAATTTATTAAAATATATCTAAATTAAAGTGAATAATAAGTAATAATTTTGAATATCAAATGACTTTTGAGATAGTGCCTAATAAAATCTTTATTTCAGGTGCCTTGAATTAGTTTCTAATTAAAATCCAAAATTACTTTTTATGGACTTCCGAAATGTCATGCAGTGCAAAATTGAATTCCGTGAGTTTATTCATCCCCAAAAGAGCATGTGTTTTGATGGTTTTTAGACGATTTGATATCTACTAAAATATGTTTGAAGGTCAATCCTAGCTGACCGCTTCCGTTGCCTTCCGTTACTTGTTTTCTAATTCGCATAGTAAAGTGTCAAGAGTATTACTGAATCGTGACTAACCTTAGTAGATTCATGCCACTTTGTTATTCAGCAATTGGGAATTGTATCGGACATGAGATTACTTTTAAATCAACCGAATCCCATTGAAAGCCATTCGTTTCTTGGAAAAGTGGCGACATTAGACTGAAAGTCCAAGCAGAAATGTCACAGAACCCAGTGGAACTCCAGCAAAAGGCCAATGTCAATTGCTCACCAAAACTCGGAATGTCATCAGCAAGTCACGGCTTTCGCCCGAATATTTAAATTGGTAGATAAGAAATAGAGTAACGCATGCTGTAGAAGGCAAATGATACCTGAAAACCTGTAATTTCTATTTCTTAATTTGTAGCCACTCTTGCATAAAACAAAATTTTACTTTGAATACGCGAAATCGCCCAATAAATGGAAGCAAAAAATTAAAAATCGGTGTTTTAGAAAAAAGACAGACGAAAATATAGCTTGTAGAATCCGGTCATGAAGCCACTGCGGAGCTGTTCACTCTCGAGGTTGGAGGGGTTGCCTCACGAGCGTTAAAATGTTGTGAATTTGGTAACTCACGCCGACGCTAAAAGGGCAACAGCACTACTGCCTCGTGTCAGGCCTATTGCTTGCTGCATCTTTAGGAGCGCACACAGTAGTAGTCCCTCCTCCGCCTCTGTGTGTAAATGACGTCGGGTGATTACTTTATGGCCCCAGTGAAGATGGTTTTTAAAATGAGCCATTTGTGAAATTGGATGTACAAACGGAATGCACGCTTTGACGGTCTAAGAATCACTTTTAACGTAGGTGCTTAAGTAAAATTCAGTGCTTCAAAGCTGTGAATTCCGGTGGATCTGTTGACATTGAAAACACTGCTTTCTATAGTGCAATTTCATGTTATAAATTGTGGAACTTCGTAACAAAATTAATCTTGATTTGCCTACTAGTTGGGTTTCTACGAGTGCAAGCTGAGCCATACGCAATGATATTGCAAGGTAAACTGTCTCACAAAATAAAATTTCCTAATTAAAATAACTAAAGGTAGTTCAAATCTTAAATAAAGGTGGAAGATGTCAGAATTCGAATGCTTGATAGAAATTCTTGACCCTACTTCGATTTCAACTTTTCGCAAGCATGAAACTTTGAAACCTTCTACTGATAATTCCGGGAGGATGTCCAAACAGTGAGAGGACAACTTTTCATCAACGGTACTCTTAAAAAAATGCCATGAAAAAAAGTGGGAAAGGAGGTCTCTATTATGTCAAAGGTTTCAGGTACACACAGTGGGGCGGTGACCCACAATTTGGCAACAAGTGACTTTAATAGGGATAAGTTCGACTGATTTTGAAAAACCGAAAATAATATGAAAAGTCAAGTATAAAAGTTGAAAAAAATTACTAAGGAGAGATTGAGCCTTAACTTGCATGACGAAACCCTCAATATCGAGGCATTCCTGCAGGAGTGAAACAAGACTGCTCTGAAATCCTTTAAAAAGTAGATGCGCGTACAACCAAGACTTGATTTATTTTTGGGCAAGTCAGCTTCACAAGTTAAATATTTTGCTTCGAATTTTCGACAATTTGACAAAATCCTGGCATTTTTACTGCATGGAAATCTTACCAATGTGCAGCGGTCTAAGTTTTTGTTAAGTAAAGCTTCAACAATTTTTGAAACTTTTTACAATTTACAACTAAGGTCTAAATTTACACCCTTCAAGATTTCTAAAATTTATCCAATTTTGTAGAAACACGCCATAAGAAAGGGGAATTTTCGGGTGTCTTCGGAGGTTCGCTTTTGTTCTCAAGCTTTGAAAACAGTTGCATTTTATTACCCATCATAAAATTTCAAGTTATTGTTGACCATCAAACCCACTTTAATTTGATAGATCGTCTACGCAACAAAGTAACCATCTCTAAAGTTACCGTAGTAAGCATTTCATTACTTTAAAAAGTGCTTTTATTAGACCTTGTCCAATGCATTTTCACAGGTTGTTGTCTAGAAATCTGCTCGCCTTTCTTTCAAGAACGTTATTTAGAAAATTCAGTCCCAGGTATGTAAAATTTGATAAATGTAGTTTTATATAAATAATTGTAAGCGCAGTTGCGTAGGCTGAGGAAAGTATTTTGGTAGACGGGAACGAATAATTCGTAAAGCATCTCAACATGTTATGTTTCAAATAACCATTCAACATTTTTCTTGAATAAATAGTTGGTTCACGTCCCAGCAAACATCTGTATTATTTTCTGAAGTCTTGATACCATGTCTGGTTTCGGTTAGTGCTTTCCGAATATGTGGTTAGCAAACACGAAACCCTAGGCCGCAAAGACACCCTAACAAAAGTTGCCTCATCGGCGTGATGATTCAACCTGTTGTGCAGTGAAAAAGGTACACGACACTACAAATGTTTCCGCACAAACCATCAAGGTAAACGAGCTACAGATGATAAATAAACTGACTGTCTTCCAATCTGCCTCATGTTTTGTTAGCACTAAAAAATTTGACACCGTCCCAATCTTTTAACATGTTACCCTTGAGAAATATAAACTGTAATTTAATAGGCCAACTTCACCAACCATTGTTTATTCACTGGTGGAAAAGTACTTGCTACCTTTCCTAGTACAAAAGGAAATACGGCAGTGCATTATGTTATTATACACTTGTTCTTGTCTATGTAAGTCAATTACACCAACTTTCAGTGAAGCGATCTAGCCTTTCTCCCAATCGCTCGTTGTCCAATCTGCGTTGACCGAAAATTGCGATAGAAGTTGAGCTGTTTATTCTCCAAAAATAGTTTTTGGATGGATGCGCGATTATCACAATCGGGATTTTATGATGGTGCCGCAATCGAATGTGTGTATATCTTGAATGAGGTGATAGTTTCAGTCGTCAATACAGCACTCCATTTTAGGAACAGAGAGCTATCCATGTGATACACTCTTCATTACTAAATATACTGAATACAGTGATTAGCAGAAAGGTGCGTAGCATTGCCAAGCTTCATCTCATCTATGCAAATCCTTCGTCGCCATCAACACTTACCACAAATTTTAATGACATGTTGGAATGCAATATTTTCATTCCATAGACAAAACTGCTTTGTTTTACTCTAAAAAAGATCTTTTACTTGTCTTTTAAAACTAAACTATTCATAGGCATAAAAACCTATGTAATAGAGATTCTGAAATAATTCAACCTTCAAAATTAGCCAGATTAAATCATTAAAACGCATTTTCAACCATTTTTTTGTTCGTTTTTTCATCAGGCAGGTGCAACGGGGCAGTGTTCCAAAAAGTGTGTGCTCGGTAAACAAATTTTCGCACAAATGCGAGTTCGGCACAAGCGGGTTCCGAGCCCATTGGAATGCCGTTGGACTTAAAAACAGGGCGCTTGTTTTTGTTATTTCGGTCAAAATCATTCAGGTGAATCAAAATGATGAATTTTGTTTGTCGACTGAGATTGCAATGTCATTCTCATCACACTTTACATTTCTCATTGCAATAACTGGAACGCGTTCAGCTACATCACACAGCATTCTGTCAACTTTTGGTTCTTAATAGTTGGTAATAAGAGTTTTTCCTGCAGGGGATGCTGTCTCTCGGACTAACTGAGCTTGAAAGGAATTGACTTTGCATTAACAAACAACAGTAGTCAGTTGATGAGATGCTCTCTACCACAACTATGCCCTCATGATAAAATAAATTCTTTAAAAAATGCCTCTTTTCAACAGTGTTTGAATTTTTTCATTGTCAACCAGTCTTAGGTCCTAATTTTTCTTCCAAATTCTTTTCGTGTTAAAAGGGCATTATATACATATCCGTGACTAGATCTGTTTTAGAAGGCCGATCCTCTTTCATCTTAAACGATTTCGTGGTGTTCTTTGGCGCCGTTTCCATAGACGTTTTAACCTCGTATAATCTTAAAGTCGTTTTTTGAAACTTAAGCGGCCTTATGTGGTAAACGAATAAAATTGGCTAAACCTATCATTATTACGAAGCATACGTCAAGTGAGCTCTAGAATTTTCGCATTCTTCATTGATGAATTGTATAGGTAAGGTTATTACTTTCCCAAATATTATAGCTACACGCTTGATGAATGAAACAGAGCGTGGAATGATACAAAAAAATGTGAGCACATAAGCCGCATGGACAATGACTTTAATGAAGTGCAATAAAGCATAAAATGTAACTTCGCATTGGTAACTACCGTGGTAAGTGGGATGGTTCATAAAAAAAACCATTTTATAAGAAAGAAAAAATCAAAAGAATGACAGAAGGGTGTTTATTTGATCAAAGGCATTATATAAATAAAAATGAATAATCGGCGAATGAAAATTGGGTGAGAAGAAGCTGCTTTTATTAAAACGGGACTTAGAGGATATTTCTTGATTTTTAGTAAAGTGGGTGAGTGACAAAAAATAATTACCTGCGTCATTTAAGCTGGTAAGCATTAAGTCGTACGAAATATCAACACTATCGTATGTCAATCAGACGACAATGAAACCACTTAATATATGCGCTTGCAGAAGCGAATACACTTGTGTAATTCTTACGGTAATGATGAATGATGAACATCTCAAGCAAATGTTTGGTAAAAACGAAGTATTTTTTCTTGCCAAATGAAATAGTTTATCGCTTGAGGATCATGATGCTCGGCGCTTCTTTGTCCTTAGATTGTAGTAATGAAGTGAAGGAGTAAATGGTGTACTAGTTTGGATAATGATTAACACCTGAAAAATATCTCAGTACCTATTCAGCACTAAATAATTGTGCGAATCGCTTGATTTTTATGAAGTCACCTTTATTATATGTTTATGGGATGCATATGCATGGCCTTATGAAAAGTAAATACGAAGATGATATCTCCCGTGCAAACATTGAAACCTTTTCTTCAGAAGATGGCCCTTCGTGCCACTCGTTAATGCACCACTTTGTTGCAAATGGATGACTTTTCCTTGGAAAGAGAACATCTTCACATACTGCAGCTAAATCTCGCTGAATTCTATACGGATACTTCCTCTATCATAATAACTGAATTCAGCCTCCTTGGGTCAAATCTCGCGCGTACTTTGTTAAAAGACTTCAATCTTTAAACCCCAAGTTGCATAATATCCACCTACGTGGGTTAGAACCACTCGCATATTCTCTCTTGTCGAATGCTGCGTACAAAAATGGGACGACTGAGCGACAGGTATAAGTGATTTTCGAAAATCACAACTTTCTGAAGTGCCATTACTTTTCCGGAATTGCTGGAAGTTACATTTGAAAGGCACTCTTTTTAAACCATGGCAATTTACAGTTAGGATGATCACCTGTTAAAGGAAATACAAGAGTTACCACTAAAGAGCACAGGTCTCAAACTTAGAAGGCAGTGCTAATCACTTATGCTGCTTTATTCTTCTACATTAGCAATCTCATCTCAATTCTATTTCTGATGATACGGCTTCCACTTCACGCAATGATGACATGCTGGTAAAGCTTAAACATCGAAGCGATTTGCATTTTGGAGGCAAACATCACCCTTAAGTCTATGCTATTCCTTAAAATAGTATTCCAACACTAAGTTCCTGTCTAGTGGAGCATCCTCGGCCTTAACAAGAATCGTGGCAACTGAAAAACGTTAAATAGTGTCGCGGTTACACCAGTGTCTAAGTGAATATATTCGACTTCAGACATGAGCCCGCGCTTTTATGTATTTTCCCATGCTGTGGTGAATTGCTATCAAATATGCTGAATGGGTTTGCACTGTGATGCTGTGACTTGTTTTAGTCTGACCGACCACTTCAAGCTATTCCGGCAACTTTGTTTCCAGATTCTACAACGTTCGCTTTTTTTCTTTTTTGCAGATTGAAGTCAGCACCAGTAAACGTGCTATTTTCACCCTAAACTCGGATGGATTAGTTGGTAATTCTTCACTGTTCCCTTTTTCAGATATGATCTCATCTATGCAACTTGACATTTTTAATGACCCTAACCTAACTTAGGCAGCATCCAAAGTCCGTGGCCGTTAAAATATTACCATCTCAACGAGGTTTTATACCAAGTACAAGCCGTTTTATTCACAATGATTCCTTCACTTACCCCTCGGATTCAAATTATTCCGGTTCAGTAGTATTACTATGCAAGAAATGCCAAACTGTCCTTGTTAGAGACGTTCTCAAGGTAGGTTTGATCAGATTATTTGATCTGTTTGCAAATACCTCAAAATAGAATTTGCAAAAACTTCTTCATTCAAAAAGCCCAATGTTTCGTATTAGTTTAAATCTGAAGGAGGGGGGCTAATTATCCTGTTTGAGCCATGATTATAAACGTTTACTAACTCTGTTTAAAACCGATTTTGAATACACCAAGTTTCGCACCTACACGTGAAATGCTTCTCCCATCATTTTAGCTGGGAAATCCCATCTACTATAACTCAAACTTATCGAG